AAAATCTAGGGGGTCTCTTTGAACGTAATTTACACGTTCATTCCTCAATTTCCCACCCCTGAGACCTAATTACCGGCCCGGCAAAAATAATGATCTGTCGATTGACCCTATCATTATATTTTTTGAGGGCCTACAGGGGCTGGCATTTAGTTACCCGTAAAACGCGTTTTTTCTAGAGAATTCCCTAGGGACATGTCGGGCAAAAATCCCTCCACCCGGGCCTTAATTTAGGGGCCAAAACGATGAATGGAAAAGGAGATGAAAAGATGCCTCAACTGGCTAACGAGCAGATACCCCAGCGTTGCGTGTGGCGCCCTCCCTCTTATGGGGTCGGCTACTACGATACCGCTGGGGTTACTCAAACCCCAAGAACTGAGCCTCTACTTTGGTGAATCCTCTTTGGTCGCTCTGGTCTCCAGGAATGTGTAATTGATGTGGCCCCTCCTCCTCTCATCTATAACATCAGTTCACCACCCCAACTCCAGTACATGTCCTCGTAGATAGCCAAACATCAATCATCACTAACAAAAGTAAAAACAAGACGAAAAACTCGCCAGTTGATAAACCAATAACAGCAACGTTTGTTGCTATCTGAATAAATAGATGTATATTGAAAAATACAATAAGTGAATTTGCGAAGACAAAGTGGTAATAAAAGTGACGAAGAAGAAAGAGGTAGAGAGGGGTTAGGGGGGCTGCGTTTGCGCCTCGAGTGTTAAATCACCGATAATGTCAATACGTCGAGTCGCAGCTCAACAATTTGATGAATCAATTGAAAAAAAATAGTCATTAAGTTCCGTTATCACCGCGAGTTGAGTTATAGATAATTGAAAGGGAATGGGGATTGACAAGTGCACTAGTGGATGAGTGGAATTAGCGTGAATAATACATGTTTAAAAGTCCCTCTGTGACAGTCCAACAATAACACAAAGTGCAATTCGATGAAAATAGATGATTGTTTTTTACACAGTTGAGTTTTGAGGGGAAGAAAAAGGGGAAAGGGTAGATAGGGTTATACTTTTGAAACTTGGAATTTACTGATATTTCCAGTAGGCTATAAAAAGTGTCTTCTCCCTTGATAAAATGCCTTCATTCATTGCTATTAAGAGAAGAGAAATGATGATTTATTGAATTGACGACGAATGTTGAATATCCCTGTGTTGTCGTTGTATTATGAAAAGAACGAGTAAACAGCGACCGGGTGTGGGTACGATATCATCAGTGTGCCTGTCCGAGGCCAAATCGGACAGAGGCTCTCCCTGTCCTGAACCCCACCTGTCACCCTACTACATGAAAGAGCAGGACATCCCCGAGTATTTAGAGGGTTGTGGTCTGACGACCTGTTCATCAGCGTCAAACGATATGCCGGAGTCAGTGGTGGAGGTTCTCGCCAAGGATTCCCACAAGGAGAAAAAATTATCATCAGCATCAATCGGCCCATCGGGTGATACAAAAAAAACTGTAACTGTTAAACATCCTGAATCGAACAAGCCAAAACCCACAGCGAAAAAGTCCAAGCCCATTCAGGCTGATTTGGATGTCGCCAAAGAGTTCATCAGATGTCGAGACGAATGCGTCACACGACTCGACCTCAGCAAATCAAGCATTACCAATTTGCCAAGTTCTGTTCGCGATCTCACTAATTTACAGGAGTTCTACCTTTATGGCAATAAATTGGCAACTCTACCTGTTGAGATTGGCTATCTAACTAATCTCAAGACACTAGCACTCAGTGAAAATTCGTTAACGAGCCTTCCAGACTCCTTGGAAAATTTGAGATCACTCAAAGTCCTTGATTTGAGGCACAATAAATTGAATGAGATACCCGATGTTGTCTACAAGCTGACATCCCTCACGACGCTCTTTCTACGGTTTAACCGAGTGAGGTACGTATGCGAAAATATTCGCAATCTTACAAACCTCACGATGTTGAGCTTGAGAGAGAATAAGATAAAGTCCCTACCCGCGGGAATCGGTAGACTCATCAATTTGATAACTTTCGATGTTTCTCACAATCACTTGGAGCATCTACCCGAGGAGATTGGCAATTGCGTCCAACTATCAACATTAGATCTCCAACACAATGAGTTGTTAGACATCCCCGAGACAATTGGCAATCTCGTTTCAGTGACGAGACTCGGCCTGAGGTATAATAGATTATCTAGTATTCCCAAGTCCTTGGCCAACTGCAAATTGATGGATGAATTCAGTGTAGAGGGTAATCAGGTATCGCAATTGCCTGATGGCCTTCTCTCATCTCTCTCAGACTTGACGACCATCACTCTGTCGAGAAATTGCTTTTCGGCTTATCCCTCAGGTGGCCCCTCACAATTCACCAATGTTGATTCGTTAAATATGGAGCACAATCAGATTGACAAAATTCCCTATGGAATATTCTCCAGAGCTAAGAACCTCACGAAATTAAATATGAAGGAGAATCAACTGACTGCTCTTCCTCTGGACATCGGCACCTGGCTCAACATGGTCGAGCTCAACCTGGGTACCAATCAGCTCATCAAGATCCCTGATGATATTCAGTATCTGCAGAACCTCGAGATTCTCATACTCTCCAATAATCTTCTCAAGCGAATACCCGCCAGCATTGGTAGTCTGAGAAAACTCAGGGTTTTGGATCTTGAGGAGAATAAAATCGAGTCATTGCCCAATGAAATCGGCTTCCTGAGGGATCTCCAGAAATTGATTCTCCAATCGAATCAGGTCACCTCACTGCCACGCGCTATTGGACATCTTTTGAATCTGACGCATTTAAGTGTTGGTGAGAATAATCTCAATTATCTTCCAGAGGAGATTGGCACATTGGAAAATCTTGACTCACTCTATGTAAACGATAACGCCAATCTCCATAATTTACCGTTTGAGCTCGCGCTCTGTACGAATTTAAGCATTATGGGCATTGAAAATTGTCCCCTGTCGAAAATACCTGCTGAGATTGTTGCTGGAGGCCCGTCCTTTGTTATTCAATTCCTCAAGATGCAGGGACCGTACAGGTCTATGTAATAAAGGGAGGACTTCGAGGAGAATGGGGCACGCGGCTGCAGGTGGATTGTCATGAGGTGTTGTAGAGTGATTAGAGAGTTCTGGGGGACATTTTGCAAGAGAAGAACCAGGGACAAGGACTGCGTGTCGGTTATAGATCTGTGAGCTGGGAGCTGTGATTCTTCCTCGAAGCCTTTATCAGCGATTTTTTTTTTTTCAACTCTTTTTTTTTTCTCCACTTCCCCCTCAATAAGGTGAAAGAGAGATTGGGTGGCATTGGTAACGAGAGGATGGCAAATAATTCGCCAATTGAAATCCAATTTTTTTTTCTTTCTAGTAATGATCAGGAGTATATCCAGATTATATGCATAAATTCTCAAAAATTTTTACAGTACACTCGATCTCAGGATTAAGGAGCCAGGATGTTTTTCATTTTAAAATCAGTGGTTATTTCGAAAAAAAAATAATACACTTGATTTTGCTGAAGGATAAATTGAAGAATTCCTGGCTTTCGATGAAAAAATATAATCAACTTTTATTCAAGGACTGTGGTTTTAAATAATAAAATCCTTTCTCATGGTACCGAGTACGTGTTTCAATGTGAGAAATAATTTTCAATGAATAAAATTCATCGAGCCATTCGCACCGTCCTGCGTCAAATGCAGTTAACTATAAATATATAAACTTCACTTATCTTTCATCAGTTTGAAGAGATTCAATTAAGCTATCAATCATCAAGAATTTTTCAATCTTCGTGGATACTTTCTCTTTATTTTTAGTTTTTCCTTCGCACCTCCGGAGTCTATTCTCAACTCAACTGTACGACATTCTGCCAAAATATGAGAATTACTCATTACAGTATTTTTTGTATGTTCAAGTGGATCGCTCGGTTCTTGGGATAATCAACACAAATTAATGTCCCTTCACGAGAAAAATTCATTTACATTCTGGCGCACAATGGAGATTCAAGTGAATAATGTCAATGTTACGCCATATTAAGGATTAACGGAATGCATTAAGGCCCGGATGGACTGTCTGGAAAAGATAATTTACTCTAAAATTGGGACTTCTAATTACTCCGTCAATTAATCGTTTTTTCCGATAATTTTTAGCTAGCGGCCTAGTTGTTGACAACCGCTAGAACGCTAGCTAACAATTATTGAAAAAAAAACGATTAATTGCCAAAGTAATTAGGAATCCGAATTTCGGAGTAAATGATCTTTTCTAGATAATCCGCCCGAGCCTTAAATCTTGAACGAGAATTATTAAATAAAAATTTGGAAGATAAACGTGAAGAAGACTATCATACCCGTTAATCATTGAGCAATTCCTTGCGTGATTCAATGAGGAATAAAAAAAGAAAATACAATTGAAAGAACTAAATAACACTAGCCGTTACACTAGCTTCAAGACAAATATTTTGTTATACAATGATGCAAGCCATTTTCTATATGTACCTGCATTTTAAATAAATCGTTGATCACGCTGAAGTAAGAAAAAGCTGAAGAAGAAAATCGTAATAAAAATTGTTGACTAAAAACGAGCCTTACCTTCTAAAGTTACAAAAAAAAATATTGAAAAGATAAAGAAACTTAAAATTGAGGAAAAAATATATTATACATATACAGAGAAAGAGATATTATGGGGGAGAATAAAGAAGTGTATCTAGATGTAGTGTTTTTCGTCCCCAATTCCGTGGCATTTCTCGTGGAGATAATTAATGATTTTTCTCCTAAATTAATCAATCCTTTTTTTTGTAGTTTACTGAGTCAGAAAACGCACAAGTTTTCTCCAATTATAACATTTTAGTTATTTCTTTAGCCCACATGGTGGGAGTTAAACAGTAATTGATTCAATAATTCAGTAATTAAGTTGCAATTATGAGATTTTTGTCTTTTGTTCCTCGGATTTTATCACATTTTTTTATAAATTGAGATGATTGCGTCAATGAATTTCTTAATACCAAAATTTGTGATTGGAGTGAGGTGAAAATTGGAGGAATTGGATTTACGTGTACAGGTACTATTACCTGGAATTATTTTTCGTTATCAATGGATATTACAATTGTTCTCTTACATCTTCATATGGTACCATAAGTTACGTGTTATTAATGATACCATCAACAGAATAATGAACAATAAATGTGCTCCATTAAAATTCGGGCAGAGAAAATCCATTGAGTTGTGCCATTTACATTCGGTTGTTATTTGTCATATTAATTCAACAAAAAAAATCTTAAATGAATGAATATTACAATGATGTTGAAAAATGATCGTGAATGATCATATGGTAAAAGCCATGTTTCTTAAATTTTAATCCTGTTGAGTAGCTCCAACCGGCGACACAAGAGTGTCTGTATAATTTTAATGAAATGTAATGTTAATGTAATTCAGTGTATATTGAAAAAAAAAAGAAATCAATATAGATAAGAGATGAGTATTACTGTATAAATATTTCTAAATATACAAAAATGTAATGAGCATACGAGACCTTTTGAATTTATTTATGAATTAATTTTTTCGTAATTGGCGCATATTTTACTCTTTGTTTTTAACGAGAATGTTGAATTTTTGGTTTCCAATCTAGTCCTTGAATTCTTGGGGGTTCTCAGAATGGATTTTAACGTCTGTTCTTTCACTATTGAATAATTTTCCACCGATTCTGCCTTTTCGGAATCCTTTCTTCCATTTTCCTGGAAAGTAACTTGCTTTCGATTTTTTGAGAATGACTCCTTCTCAATCTCATATTCTTGACCATCAGTTTGATTATTATTATTATTATTATTATTATTAGTTTGACATTCTCGAAGTGGCAATTTTATCTTCTTCATGTGTTTAATGTTATCTTGAAGATCCTCGATTTCTTTCTCGAGAAGATTAATTTGATACTGCAAAAATCGATTTTTTTCTGACTGGTCCTCCGTTGGCTTTGAGGACTCAGTTGAAGAACTATCGAGATAATTGTTGATAAGACCACAAAAATCGTGATCTGAGGAGAATTGGGAGATTGAGGTGCAGAATACATCGATTGAGGTCCAGATTTGCTGGTGACAGGTTGCCTGTTGCAATAAATAATCACAAAATAGAATGAGATAACTATCACCTATAATACAAAGAGATGAATTACCAATTTCTCCTTCTCCCGTAGGTAATCTTGTTTTCGTCCCTCCAATCTCTTCTCAATCGTTTGTGACACCTCTCTTATCAAATCCAGTTCCACTAATTTTTTAGCATAATCACCCAATAATTCATCGAACGATTGCTTTTCACTTTTCTGACGATCTGATATCGCCGCGTCTTTGAGAGAGGACATTTTCCATTTAAACTTTTCGAAATTAAAAAAATTATTCGAATTGTTGCCTTTGACTAGTGCAGTTCAAAAACATCCCTCTGGAGGCGCCATTTAAATTATTCTATCTCACGAAGTAGTAGCAACATAACCTCGTGCTTGAAAAAAATACCCAGTCAATTGAAGACTTAAAAATAATTACGGGATAAACAAATCATCATGACGTTATTAAAGGTAAATGCCAATTAATTCAAATCATGTAATTAATTATGACAATTTTGTAATGATACTGATTATTCTCTGTCTGTTTCAATGTTTCAGTCATTTTCCTTCCTGAGGCACGCATTATTTACAAAACATCAAATAAATTCAGTGCAAATTGCACATAGATTTTTATCAACAATTGCTGAACCTGCGCAACAACCTGTAAGTCATGAACTATAATAACAGAATCGGTTGATAATTTTATTAATTGTTGTTTCGTTTTAATTAGCCCCGGTTGGATAAATTATACAAAAAAATAGAAATTGAAGTACGAGGGAATGATCCTGCAGTTCTCACTAGTTATGGAATATTTTCAACGGAGGCTGCTAAACATTTGGGAATAACTGTGGGCAGGAAGTGAGTAAAAACGAGTCATTCTGATCGAATTCGTATGAATTTGCTATTAATTTTTATTCGATTTCAGTTCGGCACCGAAGAAACACCAGTTCGAACGCTGGACAGTTCTCAAATCTGCTTTCGTTCACAAAAAACATCGAGTTCAGTACGAAATGAGGACTTATTATCGATACCTAGACTTCTTCAGATTAACTGAATCCACTGCAGATACATTTCTCGAATATATACAACGAAATCTACCCGAGGGTGTTGCCATGAAAGTGACGAAGGTGAGAATCAACAAAGCTCGGTTAAACATCCATTAAATCATTGAATTAATCTTTTATTTTCATTTGCAGGTGGAAATCCAAAGGCTGCCAGAGGCGGTTAGCAAACCTAGTTAATTTTACAACAACAAACAAAAATAATCAGAAATATGATAATTAATAGATATTTTGTAAGAATTAAAAGGATATTCTTCGCGAACGAGGTGATACTGAATGGTTTAATCTTTTGGTTTAATAATTATTATCTCGGAATCTCGCTGACGTTTCTGCTGACGTGCACTGACGGCTTGGATCTCAGGGAACAATCCTTTTCTCATGAAAGGTAGAGGAGCGTGATTTTTGCCAGCCCTCCGAATACTGATTGTTTTCAGTGGAGTTTCTTCGATCCTTCTCTTTTTTCCTCGTCCATTGAGACTCATTATTTCCTTCAAAGATGAAAAAGCATCTTTAACTCTTTTGGATTGCGCCACGTTGTTTGTGGAGATCATTTTATCATCTGCTCCTGCTTTTCGGTGAGTCCTGAGTAATTCTGCCGTTGAAGTACAGCTTCGCAGAATGTAATCATATCCTAGAATATTTTTGCAATATCAAATTTTTCATTAACCGTAATTTTTCCAATTTTTCACGTGTTGTCTATATTAATATCTTACCTGCGAGGGGTGAACGGTTGCTCTGACAATCCACAGAGTAAACAATCACCAAAACAAATCCTAGATGAATGACTTTCATAGTAAACCCTCGACTGTTCTCTCGCCACATGCAAATTTTCGATAAATTCAGAATGAAAAAAAAAAACTGTAAACTAGTGCTGAAAATTTGATAAAGTGAGGAGGCAAGTTTTCTACTTCTCCAGTCGAAGAATCGACAATCACTGAATGACTGGAATGTTTCGGCCCCTCTCGAAGGACTCGCCGATGCTCAACAGCGCTCGTAATTCGTCGATCGTTTGTAATTTTCTGTTTCCAGTGCAGTAAACCGGCAAACGGACAAATCAAAATGAAATACATGATAAAATAAAATAAACGAGGGCAACTGGACTTCTACTCAGGAAATAAGAATGTTAAGATGAAATTTGTCGTCTTATGACTTAACATTCTCGATAGTGCAGCTGAAAAAATGTCAAGGCTGGGATGATGCATGGAATCGAGAGAAATAAATAATAAAACTAGTAATAGTTGTTGCTACGAGGACTATCCGCGTAAAAGTCTAATGATAAATCATAACGGAGTTGCAAAGATCTCGGATACATGGACACCTTGGGAACCGGTTTCACAGATTAGCGGTCAAATAAAATTATCCCTTCCTTTGAATCCTCTCGAGAGTCACTCATGCCCAAAGGGAGATGGTTATTTCGCCTGCAGATATTTTCTTTTTCTTTCACCTCATCACTTCTTTCACTTTATCCCATTGAGTATTTCAATATGAGAAAATCAAATGAGTTCTGCATTCTTTGTGCCTTCACATTTTCTTTATAAAAAATTTAAAAAACTAAACAGCAGATATTTTGACATATTGAATTTCAAGTGCTGCAGTTTGCTTGGTAGACAGATGCCACGTCGGTAGCCACTGGTCCTTGGTCTGCCAAAAACGGAGCATAGCCTGTACAAAAGAAGCAGAAAGCCCTGAGTTCTTCGTCTGCATTAATACTTGTGCTACTTAGATTGAATTTCAACCGACCTTCGCCTCGACGTTCCTCCAAGGTTTTTCGTAATTGCCGCTTCTTGTGTTATCGGGAAATACCTGGATGCCTCCTACGCCTAAGCCCAGGACTAGATGCAACTAAAAGGAAATCATTTTTTCAATCAAATCCACCACCTCTGACAATTCGGTAATATAAATAACAAATATTCCTTACGTCTTTAGATAAAGAATCCGATTGGTTATTCAAGCGAGGCACTTCACCTACTCTTTCGTTGTCAACTTCGAAAATCAGTCCTTGTTCGCTCCAAATTGTCGTGTAAACGTGGAACTTATCGCTCCAAAATTCGAAATCCTTCAGTTTAGTTATTTTTGTGGACGTTGTATTATTCGGAATGACTTCTTCAACCTGAAATTCTAGTAATCTAGAGCTCAAATCTCCGCCTGAGCCGTTCTTCATGTAAAAATTGTCATTGCCTCTAGCCATTCCTAAAGTTACTCTGATATTGGTACCCTCTAACCGAATCTCCGGGAAAAGCCAGTCTCCTTTCGGAAATTTCGCTTTGATTTCAATTTTTCCGTATCGAAAATTGAATGTACTTTTTGTTGTTAAACGCGCGGAAATTATTGGGGGAAGAATATTGTATGATACTGCGGTGCGAAAGCATTCTTGGGGGAGTCCATCACAACTGAAACAAATAATAATTAAAATCAATTAGAATAACAATAAAAAAAGGAGATTATTGGATTATTACACAAGGTTGTACATTGAAAATATGTGTAATATTACTTGGCTAATTGAAGACTCCCAAAGTACACGACATTTTCCCCAAACTCGTCCTCCAATATTGTCGGTATAATTTTCAGCGCGCCATTATCAATTTTTATATTTTTTTCTAATTTATGATAGACGCAAAATTGATAATCCTGCAATAAAAAAATGATTAAATCGGATAAAAGTAATTGTAATTAATATTTAGGATATGACGAGACTCACGGGTTGTTGAGGAATTTTTATTTCTCTCTCCCAAACAGACGAGTTCAATAAGATGAAATTATTTTGCCTTGCCCAATCGTCATCGCGGGAATTCCCAGAGACTTTTTGTTCGAAATCTTCCTCAAAGATGATATCACCCTTGCATGCCGCTTGTTTTCCATTGAATACAGTTACACTTTTATCACATCTCTTTCTACGGATCACTTCATCTGCATGATTATATATTAATTCGTAAGAACATGCGTCATCATTTGTCATTCCATTCCTATCTCTTCGACTTGATGCCATCAATGTTTAGAAATTATGATTAAAGAATAATAAATTACCTGAGTTGTTAATAAATCCTCCGAGACTTTCACAAACTGTGAGAATTATTAATGAAAACTGAAATAATTTAATTAACATGATAATCAGTCAGTGAATGCAGTATAACTGAAGGTATTACTAGAGTAATTGCAACTAGTTCTGTCCAGTGTAGACGATCAACTAATTGGTCGTATCCATCCATGGGAATTTTCGAACGTCGGGGATTTCCCGCCGTTTCTACGAAACCGCGCATGCGCATTGGGTCATCTCGAGTTCAGCTCGAAAACACTGCGAGGATTATTATTTACAAGTTGTTTGATCGATGAAAAATAAATTGTCAAGGAAATAGGTCAATATGTTGTCGAGTGTATCTAGAGCAGGGAATTTTAAAAGATTGTCTCCAATTTTTCTAACGAGTAATTTAATAGAATGTACAGGAAGTCAGGGTGTGAATTCACAGAAATTAATCAGAGGTTACTCTAGTTTTTATCGGAGTAATAATTGTTTAGTCGCTTGGATTAATAGAAATATCAGCAATTTTTATCACAGATCTGTAATTACTGAAAGTTCGTTCCAAGTAACTCCCACCAAAATCGTCGAATCGTAAGTTATCATCGAACTTGTAATTTTCCACGTGAAATAGTTGATATCTATTGCCGAAGAAATTTGTGTTTTTTAAAGGGAATTAAATAGCGTGGAGTTTGAAAAAATATCGGACGACACATTGGACTCATTAGCAGAGTATTTCGACGGAATTGTTGAACGTGCCGAGCATCTTCCTGAAGCAGATGTCAGCTATGGAGTAAGTCGATTAAAAAAAGTATATAAAAAATAGTTAACAATGAAACTAATGTATTTTGAATTTTTCATCAGGATGGAGTGCTAACGATAAAATTCGGCGATCACGTAGGTACATACGTTATAAACCGTCAGAGTCCGAATAAACAGATCTGGTTGTCCTCGCCAAAGTCAGGACCAAAGCGGTATGATTTCATAAATAACACCTGGATATACAAGCACGACGGAAATTCACTGCATCAGCTTCTTGACGATGAAATTTCACTAGTAGTTAATGAAAAAACTGAATTTGTCGATAATTGTGCTTACAGTAGAGAGAAGAAGAAATAAATGATTTTTCTAGACTACACATAGGCCCTTTCCACCCTCAACGTATCCAAAGGGCTAATTTATGATAATTAATTGTAGATAATTATGGATGAGATTATGGAAGATGGAAATCTGGTGGATAGAGTTAGGATTTTATTGCAGAGAGACATGCAATATTATCAGGTAAAGAAATATAGTTGGAAAAAATTCAAAGATAAATGCATTTTTATTTGATGATGAATGAAGGCGAAGCAAACAGTCCTTCGGGAGTCACTGTGTGGAAGGGTGAGTGGTGGAAAGCTGGATTTTCCACGTCATGCGTCATTTGCCGCGATAAAGATCGTTAAATGGTGGGAGGCAGAATTTTTGATTGCATTCAGGCATCCCTCTGGACTCTGCATATCCACGGAACCAATATCAACGAGTATTGAGGGAGAAGAGGTCATTAAAAAAACACCACCTTCCGAGTTTATCATGCTCGTCGTTGACACTTCTCAATTATTTATTGGTAAACACTCTGATATTTTTTCCATTTTTTTTTATAAGAGAAAAATAATATTTCCAGAGCATTTGCATGCATTAATCCAAGAGTCCCTTGATCACGCCGATCTCGCTGTGCTGACAGCCACCCTGGGTGCAGCTGCACTCGTGAGAAATTGCCTCTGGTGTTACAATCAACAATCCAAAGACAAAATTCCAAAGCAATCGAGCGAAAAACTCTATGAATTTTACAAATCGTACCAGGAAATGGCAGAGGCAGTTGCTGAACGTCTCCTTGATCTCCATTGTCGTTTAATATCTCTCTATATTCTCAATGAAGCTGATTCACTCAGTTGGCAGAGTGACAAATATTTTTTTGAGAAAGAGCGATCGTCCTTCATTATTCAAATGTGGTGGCTCTATATGCAGGGTAATTACCATGATTTTCATTCGCATACTCTGAATTATTTATTCACCTCAAAAAAAGACTCATGAGAGAGCATCTAATTGACATAAAACAAGGCATTAAAAATCCTCTTTGTACACTAGGAACAAAGGCAGATCTCTGGGACACGGTTTCGCCGAAAATGGCGCAGAGAATTTTCGCTGGAATGCTTAACGAGTCGCTTACAATTATTGTAGCTCGGTTTATTCACGTACGTACTTGACTGTGAATTTTATCGAAAAAACTCAAAAAACAAGAGAAATGCTGGTATCAATTATTTACTCGTCAGGGTCGACCAAGCCTGCAGAGATCTGAGCAATTCTGGGCAGACGCTTTCAACGTTTTGAGTTGCACTTCATACCTGGCCTTGTCAGCTTGTGATGACGGTGATGAACTCATCGCTATCCGTACTAACAAATTATCAATCGTAATGAGAGATATACACGCAAAATGTGGTGAACTTCTTGTTTGCCTCCTGTTACGTGGCACACCCCTCAAACTCCTCTATCAAGCACGTGAATCCCTTAATTCTTATATTTACAGCAATTAACAATGAATGACATTTATTATACGAAATAACGAAATTACGACAATACGTAGATCTGCAGAAATGGATTAGAGAATATGGCAATGCTGGACAAACGGTGTGGACCATCTCCTTGGCTCCTCATTGCAGCCCCAAAACTCTTCGGGAATTCCACCTTCAAAGACGGCATCACTCAATTATCTGAGGATCAATTGCTCATTTTACAAGTGCATGTTCTGAGATCTCAGCCCCAACCAAATTGGACTCAACTTCTCAAAGTAATCCATCACAAAAAAACAGTAGCCTATACATTAATAATCAAATTGTCTCATTCAATTAATTCAATCAAGGTGTTGTCAATGAGAAATTGTACAGTTGCGAGAATGCTACTGATAACGTTAATTCGCCAATGCAGCGATACGAGGGAGAAGGACAAGATTTTTCATGAGAAAAAAAGCTTGAAGGGCTCGTCAGAGTGTGAAGGATTTCTCTGCGCCGGTGACCACAAAAATATCTCGAATTTTCCCCCTCCAATGTGCCTATACAGTCTGATGTACGTGTCAGTTAACACTCCGATGAATCCAATGGATGTAATAATACCCGGCCTGAAGCAGGACGTCAATTGGTCCAATTACCTCGATCGACAACAGGTGATCCGATTATTTGGCAAACGATAGGTTTAATTGCGATTTAATGACGGAGTGACAATGGGGTTTCAGGTCTGGAATCAATCGAGACCACCTTGGCTCAATGCTCTGCTTCAGCCACTTCGACAAATAATGGATCCTGTCGTGGAGATTCTCCTCGAGGCGGTCAAGGTTTTTTATCAAATCCATTTAATCCCCTCCGGAATTTGTTCCACTCCCTTGATCACTCCAAATCACCGTTTTTTCATTTTTCTGGGAAATTTACTATGGGATTAACATAAAAAAATATCACATTTTTGCGGTTTTTTATTATTTAATCACTCACGAAGTTTCAAAATAATGCGAACGTTTTTCTCTATTTTTTATATTATCAAAAAGAATCACAAAACTCTAGAGGAAACGCAAGAAAATAATGGCATCGCCACAAAACTTCGTGAGCCATTAAATAATGACGAAACGTTAAAATTTTATAATTTTCCGCCTAAGTCCCATCAATAATTTGCCAAAAAGATTTTTTAACGCGGATTTCGATTATATACGAATGTGGAACATCTGTAATTGATAATAATTAGTCAAATTAATTTTCCTCCAGACTGGTGCGAGTATCTATCAAGCAATGTCCCTAGCTCTTGCGTGCATCACAGAACTCTTCGTTTGCGCACCGATGGGCATCCTGAGAGCTGCCAATATGATGAATCAGAGTATTCCAGCGCATTGTCACCCCATGGGTGGGTCTGTACTCGTACAAATATTCTGTGCTGCACTTTACTCCTCCCTCTTTGAAGTCTCCCTCCGAGCACCAGAGTCCTCCGATAAATCCGATATTCAGGACACACCCAGAAGTATCGCAGAGTCATTCTCATTTGATCCTTCTGATCGATGTGCTTCAGCAACTGCTTTAGCTGAAGCACTTTGCAGCATTGATGAGGATAATAAACATACTCATCAAATTCAATCGCTTCTGGGGCTTATTCATAAGTGGTATGCATTCATTTGGAATTTCACGAGAAAACAATCTTCTTTAATTTATTTATTTGTTGAAGGATTGAGAAACAAGACCCGAGTCCTCGATTGAAAAAACTCGATACTGTATTCTCGTGGAAAGAAACTTATGTCGATCAATTACTATTTACAGAGACTGGACGTCGATCTTTGAAGGTAGTCTTAATGCAAGATCTTTGAAATGGTTTAAATAAATAATTATTTCTTTAGGTGGTCCATGAATATCTCTTAAGAGCATCAGACTGGGTATTGAAGAACTTGAAGGATGGAAAAGAAGTATTTGATGATTTCACGGATTCGAGCGATGTCTTCATTCCTTCGAAACCTCTCACTTATATCATGTTCCATATCGATGATACACCATTCGATCAGGTCTACTATTAATTGTAAATTCCATCAATCCTTTATTTTCAATCTATCCTCCATCTTTCAGTTCTTGACGAATTTCAATGAAGCCAATTGGCATGCCATTTTGAAAATGCCACTGTCAGTGACACTTGAACGGGTTACGAGTCAAATTATCATCAGACCTGAACTGAAAAATCCGGAAAATTTATCACACGCGGACAAGGAAGTGGCTCTGGCTATCAAGAATCTCTGCATCAATGCTAAATCACAGAAAACGGTGGAGTAAATCCACCAATAATTCAACAATGTGAGTTATTAATGATTATTTAAACAAATTCTCCAATGCAACGAGTGTTGAATAATAAATTTTTTATTGCAGAAGTACAATGAATTTTGGCACATTTACTTGAAAATAAAGAAATAAATCAAAATGATTGATAATATTTCAGTAGATTTTTGACCGAACGGTCGGATTTTATAAAATAGAATTGACTACAGATATAATTGCGTAAATTTCTGTTGCATTAGCAGAAAAGTCATTGTATTTATTACAAATGGAACTCAGGAGTATCGACTATATCTCACAATGATACACAGATATATGTATTACAGAATGAATTTTCTCGTATTACGAGATACGAAAATGAATTTCGTTATTTTTATTTAAATTTTCGTGTGGTTTTTCGCTGAAAAAAGCGGGATATTTAATTTTCTTCCGTTCCTGAAGAGCTCGAGCCCAATCTCGACATCAATCCTTCCTGCAATACAAATTAATAATATTATAATTATTTGTGATAATTGATTTATTTGTTTACCGGTGGAATTGCTGGACCAGAGCGACCGAAACGAAGACGGAGCGAGGGTGAACGTTGGGATTTTCGAATCATGAGATGTTCGTACGGTATATCAAGACTAGAGCCTGCCATGTTCACTCCTGCAGGGTAACTGTTATCCATTGAATTATGACGCACCAGGAATCTGTAGAACTCGCGGAGATCCTCAAGATCGCGGTCTACGTTTTCGTCAGCTTCAACAATAATTAGCGATATACATATCAATTTAGTGCTGATCTCTTAATTTATTTACACATAGATTCTAAAACTCAATTGATTAATCACCTGACTGAGAAAAAAACATTCAAACATAATGTTGGATTGTAAACAACACAAGGAAGAAAAGACGAAAGCAGCTTTTTTTTTTCTCTGTGTGACCTGAGCTAATTACCTGTGTAATCCATATAGTTCTCTCTGCTGACAGCTACTCCGAAGACGAAGAAAAGAGCAATCGCTGTGACACCGTAGTACTTCATTATTACTTTACGTCCCGACAAGGAATTCTGAAGCGAGAAGAAAAAAAATTCACCTCTTGATTATCTACACGTTGAAGGTTGAGGACAGGAAAACTTTATTTTCCGGTCCACATGCTTTTCACTCCTATTTATACCCATCCTTCGTTCGCTCTTATGTGGGCTTTCACTTTTTGTTACATGAATCCTTTGAATTCGAGGGAATCGAATCACCGAAGAAGAAATATTTTGCAAGAGCCAGTTTCTATAAGTTGGATAAACCCATAGAAAAGCATTATCGCATACTCAATGGAAGGGAAAACAGGAATGCACGTGTTGCCAGTTGCATAAACTCATAGTTTTATTTCTACTACCTTGAATTACCAGGGGGTGGCTTGCTACTTTTTGTATGAATATTAATGGAATTGGGGGAAGCTTGATTACTGGCGAAACAGTGAGATATTTTTTCAATGCCGAGATCGTTTCTACGGTTGATGTCCATGGAATTATAAATTATCTGTCGACCAAGTTCGTGATGAGAAGCTCAGGTTCAGCGTCAAAACTTATCTGATTTTCAACAGTTGTTTTGGAATGTTCGTAGCATTGTACGTCCCTCCAACTTTTCTTTCACTAGTTCCAAGTAAAATTGCATTGTGAGTAAGATCATGATTAACTCTCTCTTTTTTTTAATTAGTCTTGTCGTTTATCAAGTAGAACGAACAGATATCGGTCAGACCTGTCCATTTGTTTTGTCGCGTATTTTTCTCTATTTTCTTCGGTTTGTCCATTAAAAAATGTTGTTAGAAAGCTGGAGTAGGATAAATGAGGTAACAGAGGGGAAACTAACAAACAAGTAATTAGGACTGTCAGCCCCCAGAGCACAATGCGTCCAGATCCATTTATTCATTTACACTCTTTCAATTTTTTTCTTTCTTCTAATTTGCGAAAGGATGGAGATGCAGAGGTGGATAGAGCAGAATTAAATAGAACAAGTGCATCAGCAGCGGTAATATGTCTCCATCCGAAGTCAGAAATTTTCCCTCGGGGTTTAACAAGAATTTTCATCTTTAAAGGGGAGACGAACGTGTGAGAAAGGTCACACTTGAAATTTAGGGGAAATTCGAAGAGGAAATTATCAGAGGAGAGGATTCCACCAGTAATTACCCGATTCTACAACGAAAATTCATTTGAAATAGAACATTTCCATTCTGCATAAAATTTCAATGAAATGCACATAACAATTGAAATTTACAGAACAAATAGAAAAATTTCTTGAAATGAAAAAAAAACCAGAGAAACTATTTCCATGTTATTATGGGCGATGGGAGAAGATTCCGCGACTAAAATGGATGCAACAAAGTTGTTGGATCTTCGTAATTACCATTTAAATCGTAGAGGGCTATGATATGGAAAAAAAATGCACACACATCTTCTGAATAATTCATCATTTTGCTCCTTTATGATCACAGGCAAGAATATTTTTGAATATCGAGAGAGTTTAATTGGAAATATCGTCGCGGTCTATTTAATTACGTTCTATTTACTATTCATTTGTCGCGTGGATTGAATGAATTCCGAGCAAACACAATTGTAATCTCGTTTCGGTGTACCAAGGCAATCGTTGATCACTAATTAAATATTTATACTCATTTTCATTTTCGTTTTAATCATTAAATTAAATAAATAACTGGCGTTGTTGATGGAATTGTGAACACCAATATTTAATATTCATCAATATTCAAATTAATTTTAATTTTAATTCAAGTATTGAAGAAAATAAATAAATAAATGGGAGTGTTAATGGATTTTTTGTTTGCAGACCCTCGACAATATCTTCTGAGAGGAAAAAACCGCCAATTGGCTCCTGATCATCAAAAAATCAATTAGTGGGATCCACCAAATGGTCAAAGTATCAATAAGTGGGAGGAAAAGTAATATCAAAGCAACTTATGGCTGCCGCACACAATTATCATTCCACCGGCTGTCTTTCTCAGAAATGATATTGCTCAGAAAATAAGTTTTTGATTGCGTGTCCATGGATTTCCCTGTGCAGTTTATCATATATTTGACACCTGTGGCGACCAATAATCCCTCCACATGAGCGGCTTGGATCAGTGAGCCCTCACAAATGTGGGAAAAAAAAAAAACAAGTTAGGGTGAGAAATTGGCCGGTCTGAGGATCGGATATTGAGCCCCATAAATGACTAAAAATACGTCTTGAAAGATTGATAAAATTATGAAGACGAAAACGTTTAATTCTTGACGAGATATTGCCGGCTTTAGGTTTTATCATCATTTAACGACAAATTTTTAAGTGCGGCGTGTTTTATAAATATTTATTTATTGTTCATATATATTGTTATATATTGTTTATATATTACTAGTTTTATAAATAAATATTTATTTAATTTTGAGAATTTTTGGATTAGTTTACCGGAAAGCAAGAAAATTTTTCTACAGTAATAAAACTTTTTGAAACATTGAATAATAATAAAATTTAAAAGGGGTAGATTTTTGCCGGTCAATTTCTAAATTCTTCCGTTTCTCAGAAATTTCCAATAAAAAAATGAAAAATAAGAAAATGTCGGTAATAATTCCTCAAAGAAAAATTTGATCCAAGAATATCCATTAACATCAAATGACTGGTTTTCCACCGAAAATGTGTGGCGAAACAAGTTTTCCGCTCATTTTCCATGCCGAGGTATTCTCCAAGGCCCATAAATAAAAACCCTAAAAGTTTCTTTATTCTTCTTCATGATTAAAAATTCATGCATCTGTTACACTTGACGACGGTACCAGACGAGGGGCATATTTACTTTATGTTCTCAGCAAAAAAAATCTCCCGACAGTGTAAAATTCACCGATATAATCTCGTCCCCAAGAGACGATCCCATAAACTCCCTTCTTCGCAACCCCCCAGAATCGAATTACGATTATTTTTCCCTATTAATGGAGGTGATTCGAAGATTGGTAGCAGTTTAATGGATCGTAACGCACCAATGGCTTTTTCACGAGCCATAACTTCATTATTGGTAAAATGTATCATATAGAATTGAAATACAAAAATCGCAAGGTGATCAAAAGACGATTGTCTTCTGATCACCAACCGATCAAGTGTTCAATCTAAACGAGAAAAGAGAACATGAAAAAATGAAGAGAATCAGACACTCAAACACCTGAATAAATATCGATAATCGACAATAAAATCGGCATAAATCACTCACCGAAGACGTCTAGGAGGCAATAAATCCGGATTCACGTGTAGAACTCAGGAAATTCTCGTTAATTTCTCCAAAGAAGTTTGCCCAGAGAAGTCTATTTTCCAGCAGCCGACAAATTCCTGATTATCTTTGGATCGAGATTTTTTCGATCGACTTTTTTTTTAAATTCGCGATAGTCTAAGTTATCACGCCGGTGATAATAGTAGCAAGTGTGGAGAAAGACGTTACGCTTTATATATATACGGTGGAACCCCCAATGAGGGGTGAGAGGGGGTTGAAGGCTCACAGGTGGCCGTTGACGTAGGAAGGGATGAAACACCAGCGCAAACTCAGACCTCTTTTTCACATATTACTCTCATTACAATCCCCTTTTTCAAAAAAATTACAACGGTACTCCATTTCATCTTTTTTTTCGACAATTTTTTTTCTCCCTTTCTTTTCAATATTTTATGTTAACGAGAAATGTACAGAGCGTGAGATGAGTAACCGCACACTAATTTCTTTTTCGTCCTCTAAGAGATTACGTTTCTTTTCTTTCTCTCTGTCTCTCTCTCTCAAAAATTCGTCAGTACTAATGTAAATTCGCTAATGGGAAATGGTACTTCTGACAGATCGGAGAAAGCGACAGGAGTAATCGATACATCTAGTTTCGAGTTCGATAGTTGCTAATGTGAAATTTTAACACGCAATAATAATGCGTAAAAAAATATCACAATAAAAATATTCAATTATAATTAAATTACATTGAATTGATTAATTAATAATGTAGCGAAATAAAATATAAAAAATAAGAACACAATTGAATAATTATAATGTTCTCTTTTGAGCATCTGCCATTTTGACTGTTCGATATTGTTAATAATAATATATTTCATCGGGGTATTTTTTATCATAATATTAATCGATACATCTCGTCTCGAGTTCGATAGTTGCTAATGTGAAATTTAATTACGCACTCTCAATAACACGCAATAATAATGCCCAAAAAAATATCACAATAAAAATATTCAATTATAGTTCAATTACATTGAATTGATTAATTAATAATGTAGCGAAATAAAATATAAAAAATAAGAACACATTTGAATAATTATAATGTTCTCTTTTGAGCATCTGCCATTTTGACTGTTCGATATTGTTAACAATAATATATTTCATCGGGGTATTTTTTATCATAATATTAAAAACTGTGATATCGTCACGTGATCCTTTAACGCGGTGATTTTATGTGTAGCAATGAAGAGCTTTAGTAATATCGAAAAAAGCTTTCGTATGTATAAGTCATTATCAATTAATTTTCATTTTTTAATTAACTGAGTATAAACATTGCCCTTTTTTATATACAATTGCCCCAGTTGCGTATCCTTTCATCAAACATCAGCGTGAAGAAATAAAGTTACGGCGATGCCGAGAATTTTTGAAGGGATTCAATTCATTTCTTTGAAATTCATTTATCAATACTTGGTATTATATTATTTCACATTTTATATTATGTCTAAGTCCTGCATATTATATAATTCAATTGCACAGTGGCGGGGAGTTTTATGCATATTCTATTCATAAGTATTTAATATTCTTTGTGTGTTCCCAATAATATAATTCATAATTATTTAATCACTATTCTATTAATAATATTATTAACAAAAAATGAACGACTCTCCGGTATGTAGTGAAAAAAAAAGAATCATGAAATTGTTTTTAAAGAAGTGATTGAATATTTAAAAAAAAGGTAATTACCCATCTAAAAAAGGAATTCTCCTTGCGGGTTAAAAATATTTTCTATAGTTTTCAGTATTTCCATTAGAGTTACAATCATTATGATCATTATCTTTATATCCTGATGAATAAATAAATGAAAAAATTTACACTTAAATATACATATAAAAAATAAAAATGAAATGTTAAAAAAAAACATTTAGGGGAACCCCTTCGGGCTAGAACGATTAAATGATGGGATTTATCTAGATCTGTAGAATTAAAAAGATTTCATCCCACTCGATCATTTTCCGTCGCTAAGCCAGATGAGTAGTGAGATGAATTCCATTAGCCCCTTGAGCCCAGCCAAGGGTTACGACCCCTACAAACCTGTGATTCTATAACACTAAATAATCCGAATCATTCAATCGAGACAATTATTTTAATGACAAAAGCAACTTCCGTAAGCTTTCTATTTCCTCTCTCCTTAATTAATTAATTTTCATTTCAATAATTTTGCTAATAAGCAAGGAGGGTGAATGAGAATTATCCCATTAAAATCTCCGGGGAATTTTCATTCTGGGAACAGGAACGGAGCGCTTGACTTATTTTTTTAATATTAATTAGTATCACCTGGTAGACGAAAATTTATCGGTGAAATACGTCGTAAATTATCCGAGCGTAAAGTAGAAATAAATAACCTCGGGATTCGAGGAAAAGAGTCATCATCATAAGGCAGGGCTTACAAAACTACTGGCGAAAATCAAGGCCATTGAAGTAATGACCAATTTTCTAGATCTATCTCCACAGAATACAGACGAAATTCTAATTCACCTCAGAAAACATATGTAACTAAAGGTTAAAGTTGTTCGTGAGCATAATGACCCATTTGTGGTGGATACGTGGGTGGTCAGCTCGTTGGAGGGTATTAAGTATTCCCAAAAGCTTTCAAATACCACATATATAATAAAAAAACAAAAACAACTTAATGGAACTATGTAAAATCACTCGTCATGCCAGGAAGATAAATAATCTCTTTGTTCTTCACACGTGTGACTCGTGGTTTTACCAATCGAAAAAGTTTTGTGAAGCGTATCTAATCAGTACTATCGACTGGTCATTTTGAATTGTTGAATCTGTCAAAGGGCATTCGATTTGAATACGCCATTTGAACTTCCCTAATGAGAAACTCAGACGATACTCTATCCAGCTCTGAAAATCATTCTTTTTTTTTTTCAAAAACAGAATTCCGAAATGGCTGATTAGTATTTGAAGATGTGATTTTCAGACAGCTGGGTGCAGTGAGCGTGAGAGATTGCGAGGTAATTGCCATTGATAGTGTAGATAACCGGTGGCAGTGTCACATATGCCGGGTTATTGAGATTACACGATGCATGACTATTTTCCGATGATAGATAATTTTTCAATTAAAATATTCAATGGAATGTCAACTGAGTCTTAATGAGAAGAACTTTAGAAAATAATTTCACTTGATATTTATGGTGAATCGATAAATAAAATAATGAGTGTAAAAAAATGATAAAATAACTCTTATGCATGAATTTCTGATTAGGTCTCTGTTGATGGTTATGACCAAGTGTCTTCAAAGTCATCAGACTTCTTGGATAATGCAGCAGGTGGTGCATAAACGAGCCGAATAGAGTGGGTAAAGCTGTGGTCACGACGCCACCCACTTACAACAATGACTGGGTCACCTGTGTCGATGTATTTCCACTGTCTCAAGTAATTCATAGCACGCTCCACTCTACAATCTAAGTCTTGATTCCAGTCGGGATCCGGTGAGCCTGGATAAATCCCAAATGAGCCGTTATAGAGAGTGACTGGACTGTTTTTCATAAATCTAATGGAATGGAGAGGGAAACAAAAATCACTGACATTTATAGTGGATAGGATGAACACCAAAGTACAGCCGCAGCCATCGTGCTGTAATGCCATATCTGGTGACGGCTGCAATTGGACAGGATGGCCGATAGATCGAGAGGAGCATCGCAGTTCGTCCGGTTGTCGTTGTCACTATTATCCCCGAGGCATTCAGTTTCATGGACATCTCAACAGCAGCGATTGCCATTCCGTGGGTTGGATCCAGTGGAATTGTCCTCTGGAATCAATTATAAATTTTCACAAACTAAAAACATTACTTCTTAAAAGCTAATAGCAAAGAGCAGCAGAGACACAAAAGCCCCAAGGACACTAATCATCCGTGTTCTGATATTTTTTTTAGAAAACTCTCAGATCGCACCGCTATTCCTTTCATCTCACAATCTCTCACCCCACAACCTAAGGGTTCAAACGACTAAGACCTCTACTCAACTTTATTTGCCGGAGTACCCACGTCAAAAACTCCTGATACCAGTAAAAAAAATGTAATTATCAATGCGAAATGGATGAAGAGGCGGAAAAAGGTACAGAAATAAGAAAATTATAGAAATACCTTGTAACTTGAATACTGAAGAATTTGTCTGTGCCATCTAGCAGCCTCGGCCTTACGTAAGACGAGTTCAATGTCCTCAAAGACTTTTATGGTATTTTTCAGATCAAATATAGGACTGGCAAGGAAAATAGTGTCTATTCCTTCTAATACCGCGTTTGTCACAGACTCGAGCTTCAATTTTGTTGAATTGTCGTCGGCCACGCGATACGTTACCAGTACAGCTTTCCCCACCTTAATTACCACAAAAATAAGAATTAATCATAAACTAAGAGATAAAATCGTACGATGTGGAGGCTCATATTGAGCTGATTTATGGAGCTGTTAGTTTATCTTTATTAGCAGAACCGATGAGTATCGTAGGTGATAGATTTCGTATTTACCTCATTGCACTTTGCTATCATCGATTTCTGGGTAGGAACTAGTTTTTCTACTGGTATTCCGATCTGGAGAGACTCTCGATCGATCAGGATGCCATCCGATGCCTTCAAAATCTCATCAAACTTCTCGAGTTCTTGGGGTGAAGAAATTTTCGCGAGAATACAAATTGGTCGGCTCCCTAAAACCAAACAAATAGTAAATAATCAATTAATGGCAGAATTTAGCCACTGGCTGTTAGGCTTGCCTAATTTACGGACACGAATCTTCATATCAGATACTGTCTTTGAATTTTCAACGTGTGAAATTATTAAAAAATCGATGTGAAGGTCCAGAGCGAGCTTTATGGCTTCTTCATATTTTTCGTCTAGTTCCTCCTTTGGGGATACGTGATGAACGCATTCTTTCTCTATAAATGATGGAAATAGAGTTCAGAAAGACGATAAAATCTTTGAAGATGTTCCTCACCCTTATATAACTAAAGTTCACGTTTTTAAATTCTTTTGGTAAATTATCGATGGGATTAATATTAAAAAATCTAATGGTTTTGCGTTTGGTCATTATTTAATGGTTCACGAAGTTTTGTGGTGGTGCGACAATATTCATGCATTTCCTCTACAGTTTTGTAATTTTAAAATTTAGAGTTGAAAGTTTGGAGAAAAGGCAGAAAAATGCTGGCACCACCTGAACCTTCGTGAGTCATTAAATAATGACAAACGACAAAACTATATGTCTTCACACCAATCCCACTGTAAATTTCCCAGAAAAATTAAAAGAAACGTTAATTCGGGTTAATTAAGGGTGTAAACACCCCTAAAATATCTATGAGAGATATGAAACCAATTTTATCAATCTCCACATAGCCAGATTTTCTGTCCAACATAATTGTGGGTAACTCAGGACAGCAGACACCAAAGTAACCGATTTCCTTCCCATCACCAATTCTTTCGGTATTCTCCTGTATGAAAATGTTCAATTGATGTCCCGCGGATAATCGCACTGTTCTCTCTAGAGTATTCATGTCCCTGATCTGGAGATCTGGTCCGGGAAGATCGAATGCAATAGCCGGAGGATTGAAGGCTAAACCAGGACGAGAGCTGAGACACTCAATTCCATTTCGAAGATTGTTTACCATTTTTTCCTGACATTTTAGGTCCTTGTAACAGACATTCAGGCATACTATATCCACATTCTTTGAAATCAAGTCCATGATCTCCGAGGTTTCCCTAATCTTCTCGCCTGAGCAATAATTTGATGATTCTTTCGGTCATCGAGTAGAAAAAAATTGAGAAACTATTTTTTTTTTGTTTACCAAGATTTATCATGATTCCAGTCAATCGAAGGGGCTTTGGACGATAATTAACATTCAATTTCATCTCGTTGTTAATTCCTGCGCCCTCGTACACTGCATCTTGAAATTCAATCATCTGCAATACATCATGAATCAAATGTTCAATTTTTTATTTCAATTTTACTTAACATGGAAAAATTCCATTAATGAAAATCAATAAAACTTGAAAACGTTTCATCCGTCTCATCTTTTTTACTCCCCTTAATGTATGTGTCACGTACGTCCTAGTGATTATGATTGATCGTTCATTACATTTTCTCGTTAAACTCAAATAAATTTAATTGAGTAAACGTGAGATATTTGTTTGACTCACCCTGGGCATTAGTGGGTGGAGATAAAAAGGGATTTCGTTGATATTATTAGATTCATTTGGGGGAAAAAAATTGTATTGAATTTAAACATTTTGGGTACAGCTGATCATTACCCGCTCTTGGAGATCCCCGTAGTTCCATCTACCAGAAGACATCTCGACTTTTCTCAGCTGGTCTACTATTTGCACATTTCCCCCAATTGCTGCCAGTAAAATCCAATCAGTTATCTTCTTCAGTGCTCGTCGATCGCTAACATAAAAACCTACCTTAATCCCCTTAAAGCACCCCAAGAGACAAAAAATCTTCTGCCTAATCTGTGTATAATAATAAACAAATCTTGAGTTGTTCTGCGGTTAAAATAAATGGAAAGACTTTCGAATCAAGTCAATTTTCATTCCACCGTTATTTTGGATAATTTTTGATAATATCCCAGTAATTTCAGCTGGCTGAAAGTCAAAATTTGAGGGGTTCAGGGTTCGTAAAGTTTATTTTGAGTGGAGGAAGAAAAAACGAAGACAGTCAGTTTGTGTCAGTGTGACAGACGTTTCAGCTGAGGTGCGTGGGAGTGAGCGATATATATATATATTTTTTTTTTAAAGAAAATTTATTAAAAAATGGGTAGCACTGATAAAGCCGTTATTACTGGATTCATATGCAGACTTTGTAGTAAAATGAATCGTTTTGTTATACATATTTATGGGGAGGAGGGCGAGAGGATGAAACTCGCTGAGAAAATTAATGCCTATCTCCCGATTGAGGTGAGCAAATTGTTTATACATCATTCAACTTTCACCGAATAAATAGTATATGGTGAATATCATTATCCAAACAATAATACTGATCCGACGTGTGTTTTATTTTTTCAAGAAATAAATTTGAAGCGATCCTTTATCACCTTGGCTCGAATTTATTACTGAATATTCTGTTATGGAGCAAATATTTTTGTCTTAAATTTTGAATAAACAATTTCAAAAGAAAAATCAAGGGATAAAATATTATTACAGATAAAAATGAATGATCCTCTACCGAAAACGGCCTGTCTACACTGCATCGAAAGGTTGGAGGCCCATCACGAGCTCATGGAGAAAATATTATTCGCAAGAAAACGATTAGGAATGGATTCCGAAATGAAAGAAGTCTCGGAGCAAACAACAACGAGCACTGTCACGGTGGATGCTGCACCAGCCTCCAATTCACCTCCATGTTGACACATTGTCCTATTTAATTCATGAGGAATGATCGATAATAATCTTCGCTCAATCAAGTCTCATAAGTCCTTGTATTTTCAATTTTTTGTGTAATAATTTAAGCTGTTGAATCATCGAAAACATATAATTATCATTTTTTAGGCGAATTTATTGATTTTGTTAGGATGAATGTCCATAAATAATCTAAACATTATTTTATGATTTATTTTTTACCATTTTTTCATCTTGCCAAACGAAATCCTTTTCTTTTCTATTAACCAATTTTTTGTTTTTTTTTTATTACCATCTTCCACTGGATATTTCTCCATGAAATGTGTAAAATCATTGAAATCCTTATTTTTATTTTATTTTTTTAAATATAATATTTAAAGGAAATCTGTAAAAAATTTTTGACAAATGCCATTGTGAGTAGATCACTTAATCAAGTAGAATCAATCTAGATAATTTTATTAAAATTTGGAGTTGCAACTATAATTGTGTACTTAATTATTTTGAGAACCAAAAAAATTATTACGAAGGATGAATTGAAATATCCAATTACCCTTGCATTACCGTTAGAGGTCCCGAATCACCATTTCAACTCGAAAATCTAAATCTAATCCACGTCCATTAGCAAGGTTTTTTTTCAGGTAATAAAAACATTCATGTACGATAACAATTATATTTGTACAATTACTGTATCATATAATGTATTTTTATGTAAGAAGGGAGTATTTAAAAAAAGGAACATCTTTAAAATACTCATAATCCCCTAAGTAAATACGTAATAAAATTAAATTGCTGTATAAAATCCTCTTTCAACCATTTTCCTCCAATTATTATTTATTTTTCCATGCTCTTTACAATTATCTGGCGTCTTTTAGCATTCCTCAGCATTTCAACCCTTGGAAAAACACTTTTATCATCTAATGTGTACACTAAACACCTAATATTCCACAATTGATTCGTTCTTTCGTATCATAAACTGTAAATAGGAAACTCTTAATCAGAATTATTCACACGATTATAATCTAGATATCGTACGAGAATAAAAAGAGAATTTTTCTCATTTTTTCTAATGGTACCTAAATTTTTAGCTAATTGTCTCTTTCTCCTCTATCGTACATATCAGGCCCCAATTGTAATCTTTGCAAAGTACTTATCAAATTGACTAATTTTTTTCAGCTCCAAACACGAGAGATAATTATTTACAATACCGAAAACAAAATCAAATAAAAATAAAAATCACAATTTCAATATTTTCTGTACACGTACAATTTTAACTCAAACAATAATAAACTGAGTTAACCAATTCGATTTATTTATGATCTAGATAAATCGATTGTAAATTGCATTTTCCAAAGTCCAATTTCGATTTAGCAAAGATTCCGAGGTTGACACTTTCTTGTTTGTTATTTTATCAATAATAGATGATGGACAATTAGCTACTCCTTGCCCAGTATCTACAGTTTCCAATAACAATAGTTATAGAGAAATGATGAAATAGATTGATTGAACAATCAAAGTTCATAAACTTTGTTTTAAAGTGCGCTTGAGATAGTGAATAACTTCAATTCCGCTATTTACAGGTTCCTCCATATTTCCAATGATTTATTGTATTCGAATGATAATTTTTCAATCCCCTTTAAGCACAGGCCTGTTGCATCTCGGCTTTAGCAGCTTTCATTGCTGCTATTGATAATTTCTTAGCTGAAATTTAACAAATTATTTCCTAATTAATTTTATTTCCCAAAACTCATACGTATCGAAATATTTCCCCCTTATCACTTTATTTACCTTCACGTTCTCTCCTTCTCAATTTTTTCCTCCGCCTTTCGATTGCTGCCAACTCAGTTTTTACAATATTGTACGTCTTTTTGAGTTCTGATAATTTTTGCTGAAGAACAGCTATCCTTTGACATCCATCGAGTTCAGGATCTGTGAACGAGAATTTGAAAAAATATTAGCAATCGAATTAATACGAATAACAATAAAATAACAATGAAATTCACCAAGATCCACGAAGAAATTGTACTTCAATGATTTCTGATCCCTGCCTAAAGCTGTCTCCATCCCATTGACGACACCTTCCACCCCTTCGACATGTCCACTCCCCCCAGCATTGGAGCCCTCACTGGTGTCATCACTATCACTCCCCCCGGGTCCCTGTCTAGTGGTCCGACCACAGCTCCTAGCACCTTTTTTATCCTTGCCACACTCGGAATTTTTTCTATTCCTCTTCCTCTTCTTGGGTGTTCCAGGATCCTCAACGGGTCTTTTCACAGCTCCACCTATCTTGACCCCATCATTGCCCCCTAAACTGCCACCCACATTATCAATCCCTTCACTAAACCCACTGGCTTTGGCCTCCTCACTCTCCCCCTCTTCCCTGCTCTTGGCTGTATCTTCAGACGTTGGAGAAGACACACCAGCTCTCTCCTCTCCCCTGGGGGACTCTGAGATATTGGAGATTGTCGAATCAGGTGTAGTAGGTGGTGTATTATCCATAACAGGCGCAGCTTCATTACTTTCTCTTCTATTTGGATTCTGAATTACCTGAAGGGCTTGCACTCCTGCAACTCCCTGCACTTGCTGTACTGCTTGGACCACTTGTTGTCTACCTCCTGCCAATATCCCATGGCCTGATGCCCCTTGAATGCCACAGGAACTCGCTACAGTCATTGACAATCCCGTTCCTTGACTCGTACTCTGAGCACCTGATGTCGGAGCACTTGCGAATGGCATCTCGAGTATAACAATCTTCTTGTCAAGTTTATCCTTCCCCAAGTCTCGGTCAGTACCATCCTCCTGCTCCAGCACCTCCATCGCTGGTGCTGGTGATCCCGGAATTTCTTCCTCACACAGCAAATTCATATTCTCACCCTCCTCCTCCTGCTTAACCACAACGGTCGATAAACTACTCTTCTGGTCCAGCTGATATCCTTGCTCTGGAGGAATCGACTCTGCTAAATTTGTCTTGATCTTCCCGTCGAAGATGGTCGCTGTGACTTCAGGTTTTTCCGTCTTCACCATCTTATCGCATTTATCTTCAGAATTGTCAATGACCAGCTTCTGTTCGGAATCACTCGAGTCAGTGGAGTCTAGGAATTCTTGACTCAATACTTTCTTTCGTTTTTGTTTGTCGAGCTCTACCGATTGTTCTGGTATTTCTTTGAGTGGATCAATCTGACGTTTTTCGAGTCCTCGACGATAATCGACGAGCTTAGTTTCCACTGGTTTTTTAATCTCCGAGTCTTTCCGCAGTTTCAATTGCTCAAGTTCATCTTCCTTCTGTTTTATCACTGTCCTCACTTCTCTCTCTCTAGATCTATCTGATGACAGATCCGATGAAGAGCTCTCTTCCAGTTCCTTTTTCTTCTCCTCAGGTCTCTGTTGTTTCAAATTGTGTGAATCCACTGATTCACTAATTTGCTTGCCCCGTTTGTTTGCACTGTCGTTTTTCTTAAGATTGTCTCTTCTTCTCAGTTCTGCATCTTCATCTCGTTTCGAATCTTTTGGTTTCTGCTGTCTAAATGCCAGAGCTGCTGCTGAGAGTTTCTCTTCAATAGTCGATGTTGCAGGGAGTCTAGCACTGATGGGTGCTGGTACCAGATTTGTGCTTGGGATCAACGACATGACAGATGGAATTTTAGCCTCCAGGATCCTTCGTTCCATGGCTGATGCAACTGACGAAACGGTGCTGGATATGACAGTAGAAGGATTCGATACAATTATTGTACTTGAAAGTAAACTCACCGGAATCAGTACTTTATCCTCCTTGTCCTTACTCGTTGATGGCAATTCCAATTTTTTCTCATCACTTTTTACAGATTCATTTTTTTCAACATCTGATGATGTGTACAACGATGATGGACAAGTGACACTCGGTTTCTCATCGACTTCTGTAATCTCTGATTCTGAAATCACCAGTCGATCTTCTACATCATCACCATCAACAATATTTTCGTCGTTGCCAGATATATTGAGAAACAAAGCGTCGGAATTTAATGTTGATTTTGTAGACTCTTCAAGAACATATGATGACACTGTGGAAGACACAGGAACAATCGTTTTTACATCAATAGATTTATCAAACTCTTTGGAAACTGATTTAATGACACTTGTCTCGGTGTTTTCGGTGTCCTCTGTACGTTTTATCACTGGTAATCTCTTCGGCTTTTTCTTCGGTTCTGCTTCCCCAGAAGTGGAGCTCGCCACAGATACTATCGGCATCGGTTCTTGTTTAATCTCCTTTGGAGCAACAGGGGGTGTGGTTTTCTGCTTTTTCTTGGGACTCTTGAGTTCCTCATCGAATACTCTCTTCTTCAATCCAGTTTTATCCTTGTCACCTCCTGAATCTCGTTTATTCCGAACTTCAAATTCAAAAGGCTCGGGTTCTTTGAACTCATAAACATCTTCAGTCGTGGGAGAAGGTGATGCTGGAGGTTTAACAACAACTTCTTCAACAACAGCCTTAACTTCAATTTCTTTTTCCTCCTCCTTCTTTATCTCCTTAGTCTCTAGCGTGACGTCTTTCTCAAAATCCTCAAGTTTGGGTTTGACATCTTCATCCCCAGAGTTCTCAGGCTCCATTCTGATGACTTCCAGCTTGACAGCCTTGTCGAATCCCTTCAATTCGGATCTAATTTGATTGAGATCAAAGTCTCGGCCTTTTGGGGTCTCTTCGGGTCCCGAGGGCTTCTCAAATGCATCGGGGGCCGATTCATTCTCTTCCGGCTCATCCTCGTCATTTTCGTTATCATCTTCATTTTCTTCTGGCTCATCAGTCTCATCAGCAAATAATCCACCCCCACTCTCCGCCTCCTCCGATTTAGTATCCTGAATCTTCTTAACAGCTCGCCTCAATCTTCTTGTCCGCCTGGGCAGCTCTTCCCCAGCCTCTTTTTCATCCTCAACTTCAGAGTTTTCGTCAGGTTTTATCCTATCCTCAACCCTTCGTCTCACCTCTCTTCTCCTTCGTTCCTCAGTACCTCGTGATCTCGTTCTTGCACGTTCTGGCTCTGTATTATCAGTTTCATAGGCATCAGAATCTTCACTCTCAGTGGCAACCGACAGATCCGTATGCCCAGACATTCTCCGGGTCCTCCTAGTCCTCAATTCAATCCCCAGCTCAGCATTTCTCGTTGCATTTCGAGTTGGTCTACTAGCTGGTGTAGCTGGTGATTTTGTTCTGGAGCTTGAACTAGCGATCGAAAGTGGTGTAGTTGATCTCGTTGGTTCTTTATCTTTGTCCTTATCCTTGTCTTTATCCTTGTCTTTTCCATTACCAGAGGACGAGGACAAACCTCCAATGGAGGAGATTGACGAAGAGTTTTTGGTACCACTAGGTGCAACACTCTGTGCTCTTCTCCTACCTGTCTGCTGAAGATTGGGAGTCTTTGAGCCTTTAGCAGCACTGGGGTTGGTGCTGGGAGTCTGTGGCCTAGGAGTGGCTTTCGTTCTCTTGACTCGTCCCTGGGTTTGTGTAAAATTCTGGGCGATTCTCGTGGCTTTTATCCACTCATCGTAACGAGTATTCCAGCCTGTGTAGTGAACAAGATAATCCAACTCTGCTCCCTCGTCTATTCGTTGGATTTCAATGACTTTCGCTTCATATGTGACTTTAGATTCATGAGTCGGACCGTAATAAACCTTGAGACGATCGCCCAGCTGGATTGGACCCTTGTAACAAGGCGCTGAAGACTCTGTCCCACTGTTATCATCCTTATCCCTTGACTTTTCACTGTCTTTCCTTTTTTTTCTCCCTCTCTGCTGCTTCTTCAAATCATCCTCAGTCATCCTCCGTTGTTTCGTAGAATTGCCTCTGGTTTTATCAGAGTCACGAGATATTTCACGAGCCTCCCTAGATTCCTTGGTTTTGGTATCTTCTTTCGATTTGGATCGAGTCTTGGTTGATTCTTCGTCTTTACTCTTGTCCTTTTTGATAACAGCCACAGTCGAAGCACTCGAACTCGACTGAGACGAAGTGGAGGACGAAGATGAGGCATTCTCCTGTTTCTTCTTCTCATGGGATTTCTTCTTAGGCTCCTCCTTTGGTTTCGTAATTGCTTTAGATCGATTAGAAGGAACTGGTGTGAATCTCGAAGGTTTCTGGGATTTTTCAGAGCTTGATGATTCAGCTGTGCTCTCTGCCTCAATGTTCACGTCAGAATCTGGACCAGAGATGGATTGCTCTTCGGGAGGTTCTTTCTTCTTGACAGACGGTTTGGGTGGCTCATCCTCGACTGGAGAGGGTGCAGGGGGAACTGACTTCTTCTCCTCTTCAGGAATCAATTTTTTGTCATCTTCTGGGTCTCTCTCTTTGTCAGACTTTTGGAGAATTGGAGGGACTGGAGTATTTCTATCTTTATCTCTAATGAGACTCCTACCTGGGCGCTGTTTTCTAGTACCACCTCGGGGATGATTCACCATTGTGCAGCCGAGTTTCCTATAGAAATCTTCGAAGGAGTGTAAAAATTTTTTGTACGCTTGTTTCACAAGATTATGGGTACTGATATTTGCATGACTGGATAAACCCAGTCTTCTTGTTATGGATTTCCATTGATTCTGGTTAGTGACACGATTATAACCACCAAGTTTGTAGACAGCTCTGAAAAGACGATAGAGATCAATGTCCTCTGAGCCTATCATCGGACAATTGTTTATGGGAGTTCCTCTATCATCCATGAATTTGTATAATTGTGCTACAAAATGGTCCTTTTCCTCCCGAGGCTCGTCATCAGAGCTATCAGAGTCCAAATCAGCGTCAGTATCACTATTGCCACTTGACAGAGAGTTCCCGAAGAGGGAATCTCTGTCCCAATGTGGGGGAAGTTCGTCCTTTTCGAGAAAAAGAAGAGCTTTCTCGACAGCTAGTTTCAGAGTACTATTCTCAACCTTTGATCCCAACTCTTTCGTAAATTCAGTAGCTTCCTTCTTGGGAACCGTGTAATATCTAGCATCTTTGAATGACCTCACCAAGTAATCATCCCTGACCCTGATCCTGACAGTATCCTGAGCGGTTGGAGCAACCACGAGTCCTGGAAACCAATTATCTTTCTTCTTCTTATCACCCAGTTCAACGCACACCACTCTTCCTATCTCTGGCTCAGTCTCCAGACCTTCTTTTCCTCCAACTCCTGAGCCCGATGGACTTCCCCTGGGTGGACTCTCCTCGTCCTCACTACTGTCATCCCTATCAGAAGATAACCAAACAAAAAGGAAAAATAATATAAATAATAAATTAAAAAATGAACCAAGAAAGAAAAAAGAGAAGAGAGACATTAGTTTTGTTATTAATATGAATTTGGTGAGAGAAAACTCACTGTGCTTGCCTCGAGCGTCTCCCACGTCTGCCACCGATGACGGGATTGCCAAAGTGCTCAGGATGTGTCAATGGCAGTTGATCGAGAGTTTCAGATTCTGCAAAGTGTCTGCCACTCTTCAAACACAGGGCAGTTCTCCTCAATGTTGTGATATCTCCATCATCGAATACCACAGTGTATTGACTGCAGTCTTGAATTTTGGTGATTGTCGCCTCAACGAACTCCTTTTTGTCTGCATGTCGAGCCTCAACGGATGCACTAACCCTCAGGGTACCCCTGATCTGGTCATCTGTCACTGTAGCAGTCCCCAAGCCTTGCTTGTATGTTACTCTGCATTTCACCGAACGTACAACTTTGCGGATTTTTGCCTCACAGAATGCACCTTTATATTTGGCACTGACTTCGGTGCCTACTGACAGGTACGGTGGATCGTCACCCTTCAAAGATATTGAAGAAAATGATTTCTTCATTTTCAAAATGTAAGTCATCCGATTAAAATGGTGAGGCTTTTTTTTTGGAAAAAAGAAAACGATCTTCCACGTTTCATTCGTACATGATATTGCGTCTATTATTTTTCCGCTTTCCCCCAAAAATCAGATAATCAACGTGTGATGAATTCCTAAAAATTGTCATCTGTTGAGAAATTTCTCATCAGATGGACAAAAGCAGGATTGTACGTGGAAATGACCAGACCGCGATAAAAAAAAGGTGAGCAACACGGTATTATTATTCAGAGAGCGATAAATAATACGAGATAACATGTGAAAAATATTTCTAGACAGGCTCGTGCACTCACCAGCATTTTCTATACTTTTCTCAGCTCCATGTACCCAAACATTAGCTCCAGAAAACGGTAAACCATTCCACTGACAAAAGTACGGTAATTACATACCACAAAGTTAGATATCTGTTATAAATATGGAAAATTTGAAGCCCTGGATAGGCAGGGCGCACTGGATATCACGCAATTCTCCAGGAGACGTAGACCGCTCACGTACGTGCGTCTCCCTGCGTCTTTGTCATAATTTTCTCTTTTGCCTCCTTTCCCCACTACTTTTTCACTCAAATCCCGAGTTTTGTGATCACAAAAACGTGAAAACGCACCTAACGCTCGGAGAGCCCCCGAGAATTTACGAACGCATGAAAAAAAAAAAACAAAAAAATGGGAAGAGACTAGTTGCGCTACAGCATTTCGTAACAGCGGGAAATCCATTCAAATTCAAAAATGGTGTGGAGGTTTTTCAAGTGGAAAAAAATCCGCGCACTAACAATTGTACAATCTATAAAAGCCCACCACTACAGACCGAGAACATTCAATAAATAAATGTTACGTAAAAATTCTTGAAGATAATAATTCTGGAGCAAAGTGTTAAATTTGGATTACATTTTTTCGAGCCCAATTTTCAGCCAATATCTCGGAATTGAAGAAAGATATGGATTTTTTCATGAATACCTTTTTTGTAGCTTTCATTATTTTCTATAAAAAATGTTTATAAGAAAAACTTCCTATGCCCCTTCAGTTCGAAGATATTGGCTAAAAACTGGCCTCGAAAAAAAATAGAGTAATCCCTGTTGGATGGTACAGTTTCCAGAAAAATGATGATACTTTTTCCCACCCTTTTAGTGGCAGACCCGAAGATTTACTGAATGTTTCAGATTTTTCTCTAGTTTTTTAATATAAATTCATCTAAAATCATTCTCGTAAATCGCTTAATTACATGAAATATTCTGATTTTTCTTGAACACTTCATGCAAACCACAACAATCTCTTCTAACAGAATTTTCTAAATATTGACTGCAATTACTCACATGCAAGGTTTGATATTCTCACGAGTAAATCATGTGCGAACCGCGCAACTGTCTATAATAATTTATTGACGAATCAAGGTACCTCTGAGCCTCTACAACACCCGCCAAATCCACCAGCATCAACCAATGAAATTATAAACCAAAACAAACATCAATGTTGTTCTGCCGATAGTTCGACACCCGAGAGCTTAACCATTGAATCCATCGCATTCCACTCCTGCAATTATAATTACAATAACTTATAAATAGCGAGTGTACGTGAATTATGTTACCATGTCTGATAGAAAAAGATTACCAGAATTAGCATTGACTTATCTAAAATATGGAACCGTATTGCTTGGTACATGGCCGCCAAATAGTCGTGCCACAAAAATAGAAAAATTTCTAATAGAGTCAAGGTGGTGGATGCTATGTATCCTAGCTTGGAGCTTGCAGCTTCCAGTACTATACACGTGCTATGTGATAAGAGGAAATTTCATGGATCTAACAAAGAACATTTGTTTCGGAGCATCAATCGCCCATGGAATAATCAAGATGATAATTTGTCGAATTCATCGTAAAAAATACGAGGTAATAAATAATCACTTCATTTTCAATTCAAGCATTTAATTAATTAAATGTTGCTATTAATTTCAATTAATTTCAATTAATTCCAATCAATTCCAATTAATTCCAATCAATTCCAAATATTGCAATTGATTATCAACTGATTAATTGATATTAATGATTCATTCATGTCAATTACTGCTTGCAATTAATTTCAAACTATTGTTTCCTGAGTGCCATTTGAGATTTGTCCATGAATAGAGATTAATCGAGGAGATCGAGACGTATCTAGGGCATGCTACTCCTCGAGAGCGAGTAATATTAGATATTTGTGTGAAAAAAGCAGCGCCTATTTATCTAACATTCAATGTAATAGGATTTGTAGCAGCAGCCTCGTACGTCTGTGGACCCCTAGTCCTGGAGCAAGATTTGCCCATGGATTTACTGTATCCATTTGAAATTCATTATTATCCTGTTTTTCAAATAATCTACACGATACAAGCAATAGCAACAATGCAATGCGCCGCTGTTGGGCCCATTGATGCCCAAGTATGCATGCTCTTTTGGTTCGCTATTGCTCGACTAAAACTACTAGCACATGATTTTAAAAATGTTATGAGTGTTGATGACCTAAATGCCTGCATTCGAGCACATCAGCGAATATTAAGGTTCATATATTTTTTAAATTATCGGTGGAATTGATTTGAAAAAATATTACGTTTTTACGTTTTTTCATTATTTAATTGCCCACAAAGTTTTGCTGCGGCGCGCTAATTGTCACGAATTTTCTCTACAATTTTGTGATTTTTTTTAAAGATTTAGAAGAAACGCAGAAAAATTTTCGTGAGTCATTAGGTAATGACGTCCTTAAATTAAAAAAATCCATTCTCTATTAAAATTTATAACTAATTTAGATTGCTAGGAATTAATATTGTTAATATTGTTGTCAATTTAGATTGATAACTTTGTGGTTACAGATTCAATGGAAGAGCCTGTGAAGTAGCACGACCGATAATTATGACAACTGTTTTAATGGCTACTCTTTCGATCGCCTTTGGTGCAATGCACGTCATCGGGGTAAATTTGACAGACCATTATGTTATTATTTAATGAAACTTTTGTAATCATCCCAACTGTCTCCTAGCATGAACCATTCGAAGTGAAAGTTCAATTCGTGGGTCTCGATATTGGATATGGGGCTCAGCTTTATCTAAGTGCTTGGGCAGCCGAAAATCTCACAGCAGCGGTGATTACTTCTCTCCATCATTACTACCCTCTTTTTCCTCTCTCAGAGCAAATTAATCTCTATTTTTTGCTCTGCAGATGAACGATGTAAAATGGTCTCTGTATAATTCCCCCTGGCTACAGAACACAAAAAAAACGAATCAAATAGTTATTTTCGTCCTTCAAAAATTGAATATTCTACCGAAAATTTCAGTCTGTGGATTCATCCCAGAATTATCACTCAATTATTATGCGGTGGTAATAATTTACAATTTTTTATATATCATAAAAAATAAAAGTTCTGATGAATATCTTACATTTCAGTATTTATCTAAGACAATGTCGTTCTTCACAACTCTGCGGGTGATGCTTCAAAAAATGGAAGCGCCAACTGAACAAAATCAGCTAAAATATCATCAGTAAAATAAATCCAATAATCCATCCTCCGAAGGAGAAAATTAAGCGAAAGACAAACCAATTGCACTTTCATTTTATTCCTTTTATTTTGAACCCACTAGCTCATGATAATGACTTGCATCAACCCTAACTGAATAAATCCTGAAAATTTCTCATGTTGAAGTACAATTGAACGTGCATTTACAATAATTACCTCCCCTAAATGCAGGTCTGCTATTCTCACGAGTGAAACCCTCTCAACCCGACTCTGTGCGAACTCGACAACTGTCTATGTGTCTAATAATTTATTGACGAATCGAGGTATTTGAAGCCCTCGGATGGTAAATCCATCAGCATCAGTCCATTAAATGATAACCGTCTCTTCATCGGCAACCTCTACCGAAGAAATTTCCTTATCTCGCTGATATGGTATATTAAATGATGATGCGGTAATGGATCGCCGAAAATTACCAGAATTAGCGATAGCTTATGTTAAAATTGGTACAACATTACTCTGCACTTGGCCGCTGACCTCTGGAGCTACCAATCTGCAACGAAAATTCAATCAAGTTAAGTGGTTGTCTCTATTGCTACTACTGTGCTCTCTCGAATTTTCAATTCTCTACACGGCTTATTTATCTCGAGCCAATTTTATGGAACTCACGAGATTCATTTGCTTCGCCGCTTCTTCGGGTCATGCAATTATAAAAATGATTGTATGCAGATGGCATCAACAGGAATATCGGGTGAGTTGTGAAAAACTTACCGAGAGTTGAAATAATAATTCGTTGATTTACAGGAATTGATCGAAGAGATGGAAATTTTTTTAACATATGCCACTTGCCGTGAAAGAGAAGTATTGGATGTTTGCGTGAGAAAAGCAGCTCCTGTTCACTTGACATTCAATATTATTGGACTGGTCGCGGGTATTTCGTACATCTGTGGACCCATAATTCTGGACCAAAATCTACCAACTGAAACAGTCTATCCATTTGCTACTGATCATTATCCGGCGCTTCAGATAATTTATCTAATGCAATCAATCTCAGTTTTGCAGTGCTGCACGGTTGGGCCACTCGATGGACAAGTGTGCATGCCTTTCTGGTTCAATATTGCTCGACTAAAACTCCTGGCGAGTGATATGAGAAAAATTTCTGGTGTCGATGATCTCAATGCCTGTATCAAAGTCCATCAAGATATACTGAGGTCTCAAAATTTATTCTATTTTAGCAGATGAAGATAATTACTTACATTTTTTTATCAATCACATTTTCGAATTATCAGATTTACCCAAAAGGCCATTAAAGTTACACGACCGATGGTAATGACAACTGTAGCAATGGCTACTATTTCCGTCGTTTTTGGTGCCGTTCATGTCATAGGGGTAGACATTTCGCCCATTCCCCGAATTTTCGCTGCTAAAAACAGCTCTCCCATTTTTTTTTCAGAATGAACCATTGGAAGTCAAAGCGCAATTTGTGGGCCTCAACGTGGGATACGGTCTCGAGCTGTACTTAAGCGCTTGGGCAGCAGAGAACTTCATGAAGGCGGTAATTATCCAGGTGCCTGGGTTACCAGAGAGAAACATAATTTGTTATTATTTTTAAAAAACGAGGATGAGTACCTGCATATTTCTCTACAGATGGAAAACGTTAAATGGGCCATTTACGATTCTTGCTGGACTCAAGGCCCACGAAGAACGACTCGATCACTCATTATTGTCCTGCAGAAATTAAATAGAATACCAAAAATTAGTGTTGGAGGATTCATTCCAGAATTATCACTGAATTATTACGCCTTGGTGATTATTCCATCCCTTAAAATTGCTCCCAAATTTCGATTTTCTATTTTCATTTTAAAAATCATTTATATTCTAGTATTTATCTAAGACGATGTCGTTCTTCACAACGCTGCATATAATGCTTCAAAAAATGGAAGAATCAGTTGAAGAGACTCGTTTCAATGATTCTCAATAAAGTAAACTTGATTTTAACAAATATTATCGAAATTGACTTTGTCAATGATAGGGTATGTACCGAGGCTTCCATTTCTCAACTTCAATATTCTCCACGGGATTGCACAAATAGTCTGCATTTCTTCCCCTTGACTACAGCTCTCCAGGTGTCTTTTCTCACGAGATAATTACTCCTACTTCCATTACTCCATAACAAAGAGTTGGCAAGTCGTTCTAGTTTAATTACGCTCTTATGAATTGCGTGCCAACATCAGCCGCTGAATTATTATCAAGTAGTTTATACGTTGGAATCGACGAATCTGAATCTTCCATGGTATCCAGTCACTCATTCGGGGCTTTAGGGTGAAACTCTCATTGGAAAACTTGATTGAAGTCGCGGTGACATCATGGGTCGTGAATTGACTCCAGAATTCGCGATTACATACACAAAATTGACGACAGGAATTCTCTTCACCTGGCCACCGAGTTCCAAGGCATCGCGGCTCACAGAAATAAGTTTTCAAATCGGTTGGTGGATTTTCTGGCTCGTCTCCGTAGTACTCATTGGTCCACTGCTCTCCACAGCATTTCAACAACGAGCTAATTTTATTCAGCTCACCAAGCACCTCTGCATAACTGTTTGTTGCATTCAAGTAGTTGTCAAAATGGTCATTGGAAAGCACCACTACCATCGGTTCCAGGTACCACCTATGACAGCAATATTTTTACCTTCTACATTCTCAAATACTAGAATATTTAATATTGAATTACACAGTACTTGATCGAGGAAATGGAAACGTTTGTGAAGAAAGCGAATAACTACGAGCGAAAAGTACTTACGCAGTACGTCAATCGAATCGCTCCCTTTCACTACAGATACAACATGGTTTCATTTGCGGGAACTTTGGCTTTTGTTTTCGGTCCCCTCATCCGGGACCAGCCATTTCCTACCGAAGCAGAGTATCCCATCCCCGTCGATCAGCACCCTGTTTATGAAATTGTTTATCTACTCGAGTCCATAGGAGCTGTTCAATGCGGCTGCACCGGTCCCTTTGATTGTCAAGGCTGTTTACTCATCTGGTATGCAGCAATTAGACTTCAATTTCTCATTGAGAAGATTGAAACTGTTAGCAGTGCTGATGAGCTCAAAGAATGTATTCGTATGCATCAGCATATATTGTGGTAAATGATCCATCCAATTGCTGTCATTCACTCAAATTAATCCAAATTAATCTATACTCATTATTTATCTTTCAAGGTACATTGATGAAACAATCAAGGCTGTACGACCAGTAGTAGCAGCAACTGTGGTATTGGCTACGTTGTCCATTGCCTGTGGAGCAATCCATTTAGTTGGGGTAAGTTTGTGGTATCAGTAATTCCAATATGCATTCAATCACAGGCTCTTCTCGCAGAATGCACCGATTGAAGAGAAAATTCAGTTTGTGGGCATTGATTTTGGGTATTCCTTGGAGCTCCTATGCGTGGCATGGGCCACAGAGAATCTAACGTTAGCAGTAAGTAATCTTCAAATTTATTCAAATAATTTTTCTACTCATCCTTATTATTATACAGTGTGAAGAAGTTGGCTGGGCTCTGTACAAGTCTCCATGGATCAAACGCTCCAAGGAATTCAAAAGAATAATCTTTTTCGTGATGCAGAAATGCCATAAACCTCCGAAAATAGCAATCGGTGGACTTCTGCCCGAATTATCTATAAGTTATTACGCAACGGTACCGCAAATTCCATCTGTTAAATAACAAATAATAATCATAATGATAATAATTTTAATGTTAATTTTTTCCAGTACATGTCGAAAACATTCTCCTTTTTCACGACGCTGCACGTTATGCTCAAGAAATTCGAAGAAAATGTCTGATGCAATTTGATATAGGAAAATGGATAAAAAAAATAGAACAATTACCTAGTGAAGGCCGTTTTCCAGATAATCGCTCGCTAATTGTCTTTCAGAAATTCTACCTGACGTTTGCGTGGCACTCCACAAACGATAAAGAGTTGACTGCACATAATATAACTAATATAGACCATCAATAGTTATATTACAGAAAATATTTAATTGTTGGTATTGTTGTTTTTCTTCGCGATGAATCGTTTGATCACTTCGCTGGTGATTCTGATGGCTATGATGCTGTCAATACCAGAAATGGTACAAGCTGGAAGTAAGTCTAAGAGAAAAAAATTTTAATTAATCTATATTAAGGGCCGAATGGAGTATCTCGGAAAGATTTACTCCAAAATTGGGATTCCTAATTACTCCGCCAATTAATTGTCTTTTCCGATAATTGTTAGTTAGCGTTCTAGTCGTTGACAACCGCTAGAACGCTAGCTAACAATTATTGAAAAAAAAAACGATTAATTGCCAGAGTAATTAGGAATCCCAATTTTGGAGGAAATTATCTTTTCCAGATAATCCAACCGGTCCTTAATTTTATTATCTATTTCTCAGAAAGTTGGAAAAAAACTTGAAAAATGAGAAGATATCGGTAATAACTCCTTAAGGACCGGTTGGATTATCTGGAAAAGATAATTTACTCCAAAATTGGGATTCCTAATTACTCTGGCAATTAATCGTTTTTTTTTCAATAATTGTTAGCTAGCGTTCTACCGGTTGTCAACAACTAGGCCGCTAGCTAACAATTATCGGAAAAAACGATTAATTGACGGAGTAATTAGAAGTCTCAATTTTGGAGTAAATTATCTTTTCCAGACAGTCCATCCGGGCCTTAAGGGTATTATATATTTTACACCCACATATAGCCACAATTAAAATTTAAAAAACGTGAATTTTGGATATGTATGGATGTGGGGCATCCTTAAATAATAATGATTCTGCTTCAGAGTGCACAGAGCAAAGTGACTGCGATAAACACAATGATTGTCCCCCAAATGTGTCGGTTACCTGTCGGGTAATGTCAACACATTTGAAATACTGCATGTGCGTTGCTCCTGCTCCTCCTGCTGATCAACCTGATGACTCTTAATGATTCTAAATGAGAAAAAAGAGTATACATGTATCACGCTTCATCCCAGAAAGAATAAAAAATAAAAATAACTGATTCCAATTGATACAATTACCATCAATTTTTTTTACAACTTCCGGTTTATACTCCCACATAATAATAAGAGGATAGTAATCGTAATTTCAAAGAAGGTTTTGCCATTTCAATTTCAAATGAGAATGAGATCATTGCTGATTGAAAAAATGGAAATCTCTCATTGGTCGTTGCTCCCGATGACAGTTTCCATGCGAACCCACCCTTATCACAACAAAAAAAAAGGAGATGGAATTTTATTTTCACGAAAAACCAATATGGTGACCGTGATACTAATCAACTGTTGAAGATCATTGAAACAAGAGAAAGAAAATCCAAACGATTTTTTTTCAATCACATTTCAACAAATACCGAACAAATGTTGTAGTTTGATGTGAATAATCATGATTTCGTTGATAATTGAGTAATGGAAATATCGAGGTGATCGTCGCTCCGTTAATTTATTTAAACAAACACGAGGGGAAGGGAAATCATGTGCGATGTGTGTGCTGACTTTCACGATCTACTGCTCTGTTGTAAGATTATTATTCCAATGATTTATCATTTATTCGCTATTTATCATGACCATTCACGGATAAATAGTATCGTAGACCGTGTTAATGAGTTTTTGGGTTATAGTCAACAGGATAATGACAATTTCTTGGTTATGAAGTCGACAATTGAACACAAATTCACCTCTCAATTTTCAACTGTCGAGTTCAATAATTCCCCAAGACAATGAGTCCGACATTAAGATCTTTTACAGCGCTTTCATGAAATAATGAGGAATAATCTCCTCACCAAACAAATTCAAGTACGAAGGGAAAATAAATGAAACAAATCTCGTTTGCAGATGAAGACAGAGCCTCTAAAGAACAGAATGACCCATCCCTCAGTCCTCTCGACATCGACACCATCCTGGACTACGTCAACCAGTGGGTCCAGCGCCAGTGCATGTGTTGCTATCGAGAGCCAAACAACTTGGATAGATTCATACGACTGACGCACGCTGTCATCCTGTCATCCCTCAAGCAGCTGTCTTCAATTTCCCAGAAGAAATCAATTCCCTCTCAAAGCCAGCCTTCGAAACCAGAGGAGAAGCCCCCGAGCCCGGAGCCAGTCGCCTCAGGGTCGGCGATCAAATCTCCACAATCCTCTGATGACTTGAAAACAAAAAATGAAACAAAGGACTCGAGTTCTGCATCTTCTGCATCCTCGCTCCCGGAAAAAGCCCCTCAAGCTCCTCAACACGATTCTAAATGGACCCAGCAGGACCTGGAGAAGCTCTTCCATCTGGTGTCCAAGATATTTCTCCTCAACTTCCCGTTGTACATCGCGATAAAGCACGGTGGGGCCCTCAATCCTTTAGCTCCAGTTAAGGACGAAGGAGGCTACTGTGAGCCCCATGACCCAGAGGTACCCTCTCCTCTCATCCGTGCAGTCTCCATATTCTGTCACAGGGGTGGCTTCAATCTCATGTCATCATGCTTCGACTTGGAAGAGCCCCTACCAGTGGGTCTAGCCCACTCAATGGTAGCTGTCATCTGCAATCTCAAGCTCTGGCTCAACTATGCCTCTGTGATTCAGCTTTTCGTTCCACTGCGGTCACGAGTGATGAAATACATGTGTCGCCTCCATGACAAAGAGCTTCGCACCCCAGCTGTCAGAACAATGGCAGATTTCATGTGGAGTGCTATTAAAGATCCAATTGAATCGGTTCTCCCCACCTTTGATCGAGATGGCCTAGATCTGGCATTTAAGTACTTCACGAGCACAACATTGACAATGAGACTGGCAGGAATAGCGCAGATCAATGCCCACATCACAACATTCAACGAACTATGCAATTCTGAAACTGTCGCTGAAGTTGAGCAGGTTGGACATGCACTTGCTGCTTGGCTGACTGAGAACAGTATAGTCTCCCATATTTTTGGCCCCAATCTCCATGTAGAGGTCATCAAACAGAGTCATGTTGTCCTGAGTTTTTTGGCGATGGAGGGGAGGATATCTTCATCGGACATGGATATCATCTGGCAGGCAGCCCAGCTCAAGCACTGTGCTCGTCAGGTCTACGATCTCCTCGCACCTCTGGTCAAGCATCTGGCACCACCTCCAGTGCTCCATCTCTACTCTCTTCTTGGTAAATTGGAGCCCAAAGACCACACTGAACAGAGCCTCTTCTTGGCATCAGCACTGATTAAGTTTATATGGACATCTGGAGCTTCTGGATATCCTGGAGGGCTCAGGGGAATAGAGGGGTCAATGAAGAATAGAGAGGCTGCTCTTCAGGGTACTGAGGGAATAGAGAGCAGCAGTACAGATCCCAGTGGGATGGATGGCACTTCGCCGGATGAAGAAGATGAAGAGGAACCCTCTCCTGCACCCTCTGAAGGCCCATCGCCAAGGAAACAAGCACGAGGCGGTGACAGTAGTGATTGCGAGGGCAACTGCAAACCTAAAACACCAATAACCAATCTAGAGGTTGATGAGTTCCATGAGAAAATATCCGAGGATCAAAATCAATTAATTGATACTCCAGTAATATCCCCGGTAGAGGACGAAGGAGGTAATCTCAAACTTAAACATCAGAGTGGATCGGACGAGGCCGACACTGAAAAATCAGCAGCAGAGGAGCCAGGCGTCCAGGAGAAGAAAAAGAGAAAAGTCTTGCGAAAGAGAAAAACACCGATAAAGAGATTAACAACTGAGGAGAAGCCTCTACTAGTGAACTCCCTGCAGGACGCTCCCAAAGAAAAAATCCAAGACACCTTGGACTGTGTCAAACAGCATCAGAGATCTCTGCTGAATCCCACCGATCAGCAAGTCCCCAGTTCATCTGTTCTCCTGAGAAATGCCCCAAAAAATCCAGCAGATAAATACATGTCCCTGGTATCTCACCCCGAGTCAGTGGATAGCTCTCATGACGACGAAGACAGTGACAATGTGACCGCAAGTATCGTTGTAGGTACAGTTGACGGGACTGGAACTGTTATATCAGAGCTCGCTGGACTGGTGCATGCAACTGGTCAACAGTTTCTCCCATCTGGACTCGATGAAATGCTTTCCGACGAGGAGGGATCCTATAGCAGCAGAATTTCCAACAAAAGCGAGAAGAACATGGCAGATTTTGATGGTGAAGAGAGTGGATGCGAGGAGGAACTCGCTCAACTCGCTGCCAGACACTTGACTGCTATTCAAATGCAGGCTTATCACTCTCACAGCCATCAGTCCCACCACCCACATCATTCCCACGCACACCATCATCATCATTCTCAATTGGGCCAGATCAGGAGATCAGTCTTCAGGCCTCCACAAGTGAGGACGAGAACTCTGAGACAGCAACAGAGACCAATGTCCTCCAGACACGCACAATTCAACCTTGAAACAGTCTGCAAACCTGGAAATACTCTGCTATGGGATCTACTGCAGGACGAAAAAATTGGCCAGCTCGCTGAGGGTCTAGCCCTCGAGGCGGAAAAGGCCCTGTGCAATTTGCTGTGCTACAACGTCCATCGCTTCATCCCCATGAAATTTATCGAAGGTTGCCTGGAGAATCTAGCAGCTAATCGGTCAGTTGTGGTGTCTTTGAGACTGCTGCCAAAATTACTAGCAAGTTTCCAGCAATTTGGAGCCATAGACGCCCACACAATCACCACCTGGGCGGATAGAGAGCGAGGAATGATGAAGCATTTCTTCAATAATTTGAAGACATATTCCAACAATTACGCTAACAATGTTAGCTCGAGTACTTCTAATTTGTATTCTCATCAAACTGAGATTCAAGTGCGCCTCCAATTTTTATCATCGATATTCTCACCCCTGGGATCACCCGACTGCTTCAGATTGAGTTTAGAACAAGTAGATATACTCTGGCAGTGTCTCTCTCAGGATGCAACCTGTGCTGATGAGCTATTCAGTTGGTTACTGAGCCAAGCAAAGTCCACTGAACAGCATGCTCTCGGCATGGACACGCTCAAACATCTCTGTATGAGGAAGCTGCCATCACTGCCCCCAGAGACCATCAGTATGACTGGTCTGAGCCTCTTCCAACAGCTGTGTAATTTAGCCAGACTTGCTGCTGCCCATTTGGATAGACCCCTGAGGGATGTTGACTCGATAGGAATGGATTTCCTCTGGCGAATCGCACTTCGAGCTAAATCGACAGACGTCAGCATGGCAGCGATTCAGTATCTCAACGGCTATTACATGTCTCGTCAACTCAGTCAGGAAGCTGAATTTGTATCTCAATGTATGACACACTTGGCTGCAGCCAGTGGAGACCTAGAGCACAACGAGGAAGCGAGTCTCAGGTGTATTCAGCGAGCTCTACTACTCCTGAGAACACATTTGGAGGCCTTCAGGAAGAAATACGCTTATCATTTGAGAAGGTGGGCCCTTGAAGGCAGGGGTGCAGGCTCACATTTAGCAATGAGCTCGTCGGAAAAGGGTCAGCATTTGAAAATTTTCGTTCAGCCAGCTGGAATTCCTGATAAAACAAGTTTTTCATTGCTAAGCACGGATTTTGTCGCTGATTTAAGAGCTGAAGTAGCTAAATGGTGGGATGACACTCAAAATTCAAAATCATCGAGCAGTTCGAGCACCTCTGGAATTAATTCAGAAGCTGGCTCTTCGGGTACTTCAAGCACAGGGAATTCAGTCCTGGGAACTCTTCTCACTGATGCACCAATCAGAATGATAACCCAAGGGCAGGAGTTGACGTTCGATTACGATGAGAAGACTCTTCAAGAGATGGGCTTCAAGGATGGACAATTGGTTTTTATTTCTCTTGGAGCAAATGGGGGACGTGGAAACGTAGGAAATCGAGGAAAGAGAGATATGGATTCACCTTCGCTGCTTCCACCACCACCCAGAGAATGTCTACCCACTCTTTTGTTACTCAGACCGCAGTATTTCGAGCAGTTGTTTACTCTGATGAGAACCCTGAGTGCAATGAAGTCTTCGGTCAAAGGTGGACAGAAAATTCCACATACTAAGGCCCAAGTGTTATCGAGAAGAGTCTGGGATACCCTGACGCTCCTGCCGACCAGTCCAACTCTCCTCCAAGGCTTTCAGAAGCTCGAAGAGGCTTCCTTGCCTGATTTGCTGGACCCCGCCAGTCCCCAGAAGCTCATGTACTCTCTTTACATCATTGAATCCCTGAGCAGAAGAAATCCAGTCCCTCCTACCTCATCTTCAAGCTCTAAATGCACAGAGGTAGAGGAAAATGAGGGAACCGAACAAAAAGAAGAGGACGCTGTCCCCTGGTCTACATTATTCGTTCAACACGGAGGCCTACGGCACCTCTTTGACATTTTTATGTCAGGATGCCTCGAGCGTGGAGACGGCAGTGAATGGCAGCAGGATTGTCTGGCAAGTCTCCTGAAGCAATTATGCCACTTGGGGGTAATTCGAGAGGAGAAAAAACGTCACAAATCCCAGGAGAAGCTCATAGTTCCAAGACTCTCTGAAGCTATGCTGTCAATGATGTCAGCGGACTCTGTCATGCCCCGAATCACCAGTATTTTAAATGAGGCATCACTGCCCAAGGATCTTAATCACTACAAGACAGGACTCTTTGGAAGATCCCAGGTGATTCACTATACCATGGCACTGCTCGTCTGCTGGGTTCACAGTGATTCAAATATTAGGCAGAATCTCTTCTGCTCGACATCGGAATCCTTCGGCAGGACCTGGCTCCGTAGATTAGTTCTGGATGATCCAGAGCCCGCAGTTAGAAGGGAAATCTGCACAGCACTTTACAAATTGTGTCTAGGAATGACATCGAGCTCCTCCCCAAGTTCAGACGAGGATAAAGACGAGAGTGCCTCTGAGAGACGTTATGACAGATCTGGACTGATCGTTCCAATGCTGAATACACTCCTGGAGCATCTGCACGTAGCAGAAGCAATGCACCCGTCCCACAGACGTCGTCCAGATTTACCACTCCATCTTCATTCCGCAATCCACGAGGATGGAAAGGAGCCCTATGGCCCCGCCTGTCGGGACTATTTTTGGCTAGTCTGTAGGCTAGTTGATGCCCTCCCCGAGGATGCCATTAGATTCCCAGAATTACCGGATGAATCCGAGCAATCCCCAGCGACCATTGACCTTGAGGCACTTGCTGGGAGAGTCATAGACTCGGTTTTACTTCGAGAACACTTGGAAACCCGACACAATACCGTCGAAGACGATGCACTAGTGGGTCTTTTAAATCTCACTTGCAATATCATGACGCACAATCCTCCCTGCAAGCAGTCAAAAACCGGCAAGAATCTTCTCAACAGGGTCTTTGATTTTCTCTTCGCTCTGCCAAACTCGAAGATGAAACATGTCCCAAAATGCAAGAGCCAGGTGTCGAGATCAGCAGCATTTGATCTGCTAGTGGAACTAGTTAAATCAGCACCAGACAACTATAGAATCCTCCACGAGAAGCTGTTGACCCAGCATAAACCAGGCCCACACTCTCCCTATCCCTGGGACTACTGGCCACACGAGGATGGAAGAGCTGATTGTGGATACGTTGGGCTAACCAACCTTGGGGCGACCTGCTACATGGCCAGCTGCATGCAACATCTCTACATGATGCCTCAGGCGAGAGCTGCAATTCTCCACGCCGAGTGCAATCGAGCTAACAAGCACCAGTTGACACTTCGTGAACTCCAGAGGATGTTTGCTTATTTATTGGAGTCTGAGAGAAAGGCCTACAATCCCAGATCCTTCTGCAGGGTGTACACAATGAATCATGAGCCTCTTAACACTGGCGAGCAGAAGGACATGGCCGAGTTTTTTATTGATCTCGTATCCAAACTCGAAGAGATGACCTCAGACTTGAAGGATCTCGTGAAAACACTGTTTTGTGGTGTCATCTCCAATAATGTTGTCTCACTGGATTGTGAGCACGTCAGCAGAACGCTGGAGGAGTTTTACACTGTCAGATGTCAAGTGGCTGACATGAGAAATCTTTACGAGAGTCTCGATGAAGTTACGGTGAAAGATACCCTGGAGGGTGACAATATGTACACGTGTTCTCAGTGCGGCAAAAAAGCCAGGGCTGAGAAGAGGGCTTGTTTCAAGAAGCTACCACATATTCTCTGCTTCAACACTATGAGGTATACTTTCAACATGGGGACAATGTTGAAGGAAAAAGTTAACACACATTTTAGCTTTCCTTTGAGACTCGATATGTCGGGATATGTGGAGAAAAAACTCATGTCTCATCATGAGAAGCGAAAGTGTGAGACAGAAAAGACTGAGTGTGAGAACGAAGATGAAGAGGAGATGAAGAGCAAGAAGGAGGATGATGAAGAAGGTCATCGAGCTGAGCACTATCAGTACGATTTAATCGGTGTGACGGTGCATACAGGTACAGCAGATGGTGGTCATTACTATAGTTTCATCAAGGACAGGACATCAGCGAATAAGGATAAATGGTTCCTCTTCAATGACGCTGAGGTCAAACCCTTCGATCCCAGTCAATTAGCAGCCGAGTGTTTTGGTGGAGAAATGACGAGCAAAACGTACGATTCAGTCACCGATAAATTCATGGATTTTAGTTTCGAGAAAACTAATTCAGCGTACATGTTATTTTACGAATGGTGTGCAGATCCTAACGATCAGAGTCACAACAGAGAGGAGGAGGCGACTGGCTCGAGTCCAGGAACTGTCAGTATGTCCCAATCGTCTCACGACGATTTGAAAGTATTAGGAGATAAACTCCCCATCCTGGAGTTGAATAAAGAGCTCGAGGATTGGATTTGGCAGGACAATATGCACTTCCTCCAGGACAAAAATATTTTTGAGCACACATATTTCAGTTTTATGTGGCAGATCTGTGGCTACATTCCTCAAACTCTTCTCTCCATTCAGCCTGATGTCACTGAGATGTCTGCAGAGCTGTCGACATCGTTCTTCATGGAGACGTTCATTCATGCTAAAGAGAAACCGACAATGGTTCAGTGGGTTGAATTGCTGACCAAGCAGTTCAATGGCTCCAACGGTGCATGCGCCAGATTCCTCGAGAGAATGGCCAGTGATTCGTGGTGGCCTATTCAGATACTAGTCAAGTGTCCCAATCAAATGGTAAGACAGATGTTCCAGCGTTTGTGTATTCATGTTATTCAGAGGCTCAGGGCAACCCAGGCGCCTCTATACTTGCTGACATCCAGCGAAACTGAAACAGAGCCTGATGGTTCTCAGGTAAATACTGTTGGCACTCAGTCCTGCGTCACGAGATTTGTTAGAATGCTACTGTCACTGATGGAGCATGCTAAACAGCATTTGAAACACTTGACCGAGTATTTCAGTTTTCTGTACGAATTCAGCAAAATGGGAGAAGAGGAGACCCTCTTTCTCATCAGGGTCCAGGCCATATCCACCATGATTAATTTCTACCTTGGTCACAAAACCCACGAGATGGTGGATACTGTGAGTGAAGAAGAGGAAGAGGAAGAGGAGGAAGAAGTGGTTGTAGCTGTTCCTACCGAAAAACTTCGTCCAGCGTCGTTGGACAAAATGATAACACTTATTGCGAGTCTCGTCGAGAGGAGCAGAGGTGCAAATCACCAGTTGACTCTGTCTCCTGCTGATCTGAGTGCAGTTGCCAGTGGAAAGGGATTTCCATTTCTCTATCAACAGACAAGAGACGTTATTAATCTCACTCAGACAAAAAATTTGATTCTATCGCTGTGCAGGTGGAACGACAGACTGGCGATGCACATCGTCACTATGATATTTCAAGCGATAACAAAGCACACAGACGTTTGTCAACCCTTCTTCAAACTCCTCACACTATTGACCGAGGGTTCTGGACCCTCAGTGAATGCTGGACTGCCCTGTATGACACAACTGATTCTCGGTAGAGTCTGGGAAGCTGCAAGAGTGGCACCTCATGGAGCCCTCGAGTGGCTAGCTCTCGCTGTAACACGAAGTAAATTGGCACACGCTTGGGTTCTCCAGGGACTTGATACGTGGCTCCAACACTTTCTCATCGAACACTCCAATCAGAGAGTGAGATCAGCTGCAGCCTTCTTGTTAGTCTCTCTTGTACCCTCCAGCCATTTCAGGCAGGGCTACAGATCTGCCCACAGGCTGGGACTTGGCTGTAACTCAAACAGGGAATTTCAGCTGTCTCCGGAAGCCACTATTATTCTGCACCAGATATACACTGCTCTTCTGAGGCTTCTGCAGCCAGCCCGACACTACATCGACATCCAGAGTCATGGAACCATGAAGCTCACTGCTTATTTTGCTCTCATGACTTACTGCGTCATATCGAAGACGGAAAAAATAATGTTCGGACAGTATTTGAACGACTTGTGGAGTCTCTTCCACCCAAAACTCTCAGAGCCCAGTATTCCGGTGCATCACAATAAACAAGCTGTTCTATTATTCTGGTACCACGTGTGTTCCGATTGCCCAGAGAATGTCGCCATGATCTTGCACAATCCACACGTCACCAAGAATATTGCATTTAATTATATTCTTGCGGATCACGAGGATCAAGACGTTGTCCTCTTCAACCGAGTCATGCTGCCAGCCTACTACGGCCTGCTTCGCCTCTGCTGCCAGCAATCCCGCACTTTCACCCGTCAGCTCGCAGCTCACCAGAACATCCAATGGGCTTTCAAGAATATCACCCCTCATCCAACCCAGTACTCCACTGCAGTCGATGAGCTCTTCAAACTCATGCAACTCTTGGTGGCTCGTCATCCCGATCAAACCGAACAGGAGGAGTCAGAAATTGCCTCCTTCAGACGTGGTACACTTTCCTCTTATCTCCAGGGTCTAGACGGTAGATCCTGCTGGGCAACTCTCATCTCAGCCTTCAGAATCCTCATAGAATCGGATGATGATCGTCTCTATGTAGTGTATAATGGCGGATTGGGGATGGCTCTGGAAGCCTTTCACATGCTCCATATAATGTACCACGAGGCAACAGCGTGTCACGTAGCTGGGGATCTTGCAGAGTTAATAGCTATAATAGTGGAATTAGTGAGATGCGTCAGATGTGTTCGAACATCGAGAGACAGTCCTGATGTCAGAAATATCCTGGCAAATTGCAAAGAGTGGCCAGAGGTGTTGAGGAAGTTAGCAACCCTGCTCAATACATACAATCCTCCAGAGCTTAGAAATTTGGCCATTGATCTTCTGAAGGAGCTCGTAATGCTGGTGCCAGCCGAGGCAATTCTAATTCTGGCTCCTCTGCTCTCCCACTGCCATGCAGCCCTTCAGGAGTCCCACGCTGCTGTTCCACCAGGCCCATATCTCCCAAGGAGATCGACATCAACAGCTGTTGGCAAAATGGCTGCTAGACCAGCGAGACCAATGGTTCAGATGGCAGTCCCCCATTCTCAGTTGGAAGCTGCCAAAGGGGTTGATCCTGAGTACGACTCTGCCCTCCTGGAATTCTATCTCCCTTACCATGAGTTAATCGATGTCATGTGCAGACTGGCCATCAACAACGACTGCATGACAGATACTCTGATCAACCTGAGTGCCATGCTGGGTTTCGAGGGAGTCCCCCTTCACCTAGCTCTCTTTCCTCGACTGTGGCTAGATGTTCACGCCGCCAGTCACATCGACAGGAAGCACATAGCAGCACTACTGTGCTCTTCCTACACTGTGGATTACGTTGACGCTGTACTCCTAGACGAGAGATCATCCCTCTCAGTCCCTGCCATTCACGCCTTCCTGAAGACCTTCTTCCCAAAATTGGCAAGTCACGTGCTGACCGAGCAGACATGCTCCTTGATCGACAACGTCGTGTCTTCCCTCAGTGGAATGGTCGAGGCAGTTGACGTCAAGACCTCAGCACCTAGATTAACTGGAGACCTTCGAGCCCTGGCACTGGTTTACAGCAGTGGCACAAGACTCGAGCCACCAGCTTCACTTCAGCCAGCTTTGGACACGTTATTGCTGAGGCTGAGGGCCGTCAAAGCAAAGGAAAGCAGCCAGGAGAGTGAAGCACCAGCGAAAAAACGTAAATTTGGTAATGACGAAAAGAAGGAGGAGACGACAGAGGGCGAAGCTACCACTGAGGCTGTGATGGATCCTGCAGGGGAGACTGGTGACTCCAGGGATCCTAGGGATCCTAGGGATCCCAGGGACTCTAGGGATCCCATGGACGTCGAGGATAAGGATAAGAGTGAGAAGGAGGAGAAAACGCTTAGAGAGGTTGGAGAGAGATCTGGAGAGAAAAGCTTGAACAGTGTTAATGTAACTACGAGTGCGAATGCCAGCATCACCTCGAGCATCTCTGGCTCCACCACCACTGAGGCGTGTAATAATCAGCTCGTGTGTTCACTTAATAATTCTTCATGGATTGATATGCTGGAAAAGACTATTATTAATCTTCAAGTGATTGTGACCATGCAGAGTAAGAACAATTAATTTCAAACAAACGAGTTTAAAATAATAAAAATTCATTGAATTGATTGATAATGGTAGAGGCTCGGAGACGGGGTGGAACAATGAGAAACATTGAGGATTAATTATCAGTTATTATAATTAATGAAGAAAAAAAAAGGCTGTAAGCGTATTTTTTTCCTCGCTGAGAGAAAACACTTGTCCTCAGCAATTGCAACACTTGGGACTGACTTTTTTTGTGTATAGCTTAATCGATGAATACGATGAATATTTGCCAGGCGTACTACGAAAAGTACAGAGAGGAGTTAACAATAGTTTTCTTTTTCTAGTTTATGGTATAAATGATATGCGTCTGAAAATTCATTCTTTTCTCTGTTCTAAAACGAAATAAATATAGATTTTATTATTTATTTCCAATTTGTATGTCTTCTTCATTTACCGATCCTCATATATATATATCTTTTTCTGTTTACGCTGTCGCATTGTTCTCGTTTTTAGTTATATAGGCAATTCAATTTTTGCAATTGAAATGCTGCACCCACCGATGGCCCGTCCTTCCCCAATGATTTCTGAAAATTAAGACTTGATATCGTCTTCATATTTTTAAATAAAACCAGAGCTTGTCACATTCAATTTTTTCTCACTGAGTGTCCAAAGGATATACGAAACTGTGATGAGTTTCTAATTTAGTTATGTCTTCAATTTCAATTTTTTCCTTGATATCATGATGACTTGATGACACACTGCAGACTTCATAATATCTTTCAGCCCTTTATCACTCTATCGGGTGTTTCAGGAACTTTGCAGGCGGTGTAAAATACATTGTGTATATATTCTGTGTCAGAGTCAGAGTTGTCTAAAAGTGGAGATTGTAAATTCCTGCTCCGCTGGAGTTACACCTCAGGTACTTCCATGTAATCTAAAATTCAATCAACCCTGAATCCTTAAAATTCCATATTTATATTACACCTAAAACAAGTCAATTTAATTCATTCGATGTTCATTTATTTATTACGTAATGTAATGAATATAATGATGGTTATGTTCCCACCGTATCTATCGTTTTGCCCCATCGCAGCAACTTTTATAATATCAAATTTTGATGATAATGATAGATTTTGAATAACTCCCAAAAATATCCTGTGATAAGTAATTTTACTAAATTCCAGGGCCCAGATTTGATCTATTGATTCTGCTTGAAAATGGATCACCAAAAAGCACCACACATAAAAACAGTAATTACAGATATATTTGGAAATTTACAAAATTTTCAAAATCATCCCACCTGTTGGAAACGTGAACTAGAATTGGTTGATTGTCTTGAAGCATATGGACCTCAACATGTTGAAAGTAAATGCAATGTTCTGATGAAGAATCTCACAGAATGTGTCACTAACCGCAAACAGAGACAGAGGATAATAATAATGCAAAACGAGCGCAACAGGCAGGTTAGTGATGGTGAAAGAGACCAAGCCAATAAATATGCTAAATCACCTCCAATGGATACTTACTGAAGTGTTAAATCCGGTTCCAATGCTGTAATTAATATGATAATAGTCAGTCGATCAATAAACATCTATCCAAAATACTAGAAAAATTATTATATTTGTTTCACTATATTATATAATTAATGTAATCCAAATTACGACTTGAGTTACTATAAAATATAATATTCTTTATTCGAAATGGTGGCTTTCACAAGTATAACATTATTATATGTACAAACGTATAATTTTAAGTAATTATCATTTTTATGAAAATTATTTACGTCGACACTGCCATTGTCATTTATTTTTCCAACTCAACATGCTATTCTGTAACTATAATTGAAAAAAAAATATTTCAGGTTGTTGGAATGTTGAAAATGCTTCTACTAATTCACAGTATTCCCTTCCATAAGGATTCCCCCATAATACTTAATATGCAATAACGTGTTATAATCTGTTATGAGCCATCTATACATATATGGAATAAAATTCAGTACCTTTATTATTCATCTCGTCGAAATGTAAACCGATAAGAATCACAAATCATTGCCTTCGATTATACAGAATTTCCAAGTACATGTGGATTTTACAATTTATAATTGGAGATGTAGTAAATTGCTTATCAACTACCGTAAACTTCAGGCATATCATATCTACTTTTATGTATTTAGGAGGAAGAGAGTTGAAACATGTTTGGATTCTATTACCAACAAAATTTCGGAAGAAAATGATCAATTATTATTGTTAAAATTACTCATTAATATTGATGGAATTAAGAATTAAGAAAAACCAAAATTAAATAAATTTATCATACTCTAGTCAAGTAGAATGATATACACAGGAGTACTTCATCAATTACGATTCAATCAATAAAATTGGGATTTTCGATTGTAAAAACACTGATAGGAAAAAATATAGAATCATTTTTTTTTCTAATGAATTCATCAGCGTGCTATTGACTTGATTCAATGCAAGTGTTGTCATTCCTCCGTAGTAATCTATATACAATCTTTCTTCGCTTATTAGTCTGCGTTGAATTGGTATCATTTGAGAAAAAAAAATATACGATGAATTAACATGGTTTATGGATTATTTACATTGTCAATAATAATATCAATATAAAAATCCGTTATACGATTTATTCGGACGTGATTGTTAAATACTGTTCCCAATAGCTATGATAATTTAACAATGGAAAATAATTCTCCTCAATTCAAGCGATATTTAATCGAGAGTGGGAAAAAGTCCACAAACGGTATTACACTAATTAAGTACACTTGACATTTTTCGAGCAAATTAAGTACTGTCGCCCATATTTATAAATTCATGCTCATACGTTTCTTAATACTTGTAATGATCAATAGCTGCCCCAAAAAAAACATCTGCAATTAAGAGTATAACTATTGAATATCGATTTATTTAAGTTGATACGATTTTTTGTGACGGATTTGACGTTGCCGTATGCAATGTAACACACAGTACGATGATCACTGACTTTTAATGATCAATTTTTCTTTCACCCACTGCTTTGGTCTTATTTTACTTTGATTTTCCTTGTCTCTATATTTTTTATTTCAATTGTTTCAAAATTTTGTATTTTAAGGCACTTCGATTGCACTCTTTATATAAAAAGAGCCCAATATGAAATAAAAGTGCATAGAAAGTGGTATAAATTAATTTTGAAATTCAACTCCATGTACTTATACTCACACGAGTCATAAACCAAGGAAATTAGTAATCTCACAGGTGCAACACTCCTCCAGTTTGATCATGACTGAAATGATTCGGCTGGTGAACATGAGTAAAATCTACAATCTCATCAGCTTCCTCATCACTGGCACTACCAGTAACACTTTGGGTAGATTGATGGCTTCCAGATGATAGCTGGCTGTTCCTGGAGAAGGAGCCACGTCTGGGAGCTGCCATGGCAGCACGTTGATTCGCTGGTTTTACCGTGATTATCAAATTTGAAGAATTTGCAATCATCATATCCGTTACCTGTTAAATAAAAAAAATAGTGATTACATTTAAGCATTTCGTTGAACAATAGTCTAATCTGTTGATAAATTTATATTGTATATAATCTACCTGATCCAATGTTTTTCCAGCTACCTCAATCCCATTAACTTCTAATACTTCATCATTAACCGCAAGAAGTCCAGTGCTCTCAGCTAATCCCCCAGGTACCAACCGACTGATGAAAACACCAGGAACTTTTTCGATTCCACCACCAGCTGAAGGTGGTAAAACTCGAAAACTTTCTCCATCTTTAATGTAGAAACCCAACGGTTTATCCGAACCATGTTTCAATAATCTGACACGTCTACATGTCTCAGGGAGAATGTCAACATCAATTATTGCTGAAACCTAGAAATGAATGTCATATAATTTTTTCGTCTATAAGTATGTGTAATAAAACCAAATTTTCTAACTATTACCTGTCGGAAGTCATGTGGATTGGAAATAGCTAGTGGTGGCTTTGGTTTCCCTGGTGTGCCACCCAATATACTTGAAATCAAGTTTTTTGGCTTCAAAGTACCATAACCATTGACATCTTCGACACCACTCCCCTTTCTTGTTATGAATACTCTGACTAATGGCTTCGACGCTGCCAGTGCACGTGCCAAGTTATTGTCATTATTAATTGGCAGTGAATCGCCATCAGTGGGATCAGTATACCATATTAAAAAATTTTCTTCTTCACCCAACTCATGTTTTTCAGCAAGTAGTCTCCAAAAAACCTCATACTGCATTTGTTCATTTTTCTTTATAGAAAATCTTATAATGTCAGCATCAAACTAGATAAAGATTAAAACGTCGTTATAAAAACTTATCTACCGTGAATAGAAACGAATAGAACTGGAGAAAAGTACCGTAAAATTGCACTTTTCTCTCTTTCTCTCTCATTCCCAGCGGTTATATATATGTACGAGAGTTTATAATTACTCAAAAGTTACTCACTTTACTCTTAACAGGAATGACGTCGCTATCAATAAGATGTTGATTATGATGAAGTTTGCTTTTTGACATTTTGAATGGAATGAGCAGCAATTAAGAATTGATTATCAGAACTATGAGATAATCCGATGTGAAACTTTCATCCAAAGCTGAATATAAATGGATTAAAATTATTCCACAATACTAATTTTCACGGCAAAATATTATTGATTGTATCGGAGGCGTAATATATTTTTATTAAAAAATTTGGTGGTATCAGGAACACCTGTTCATTGTAACACCACTTTGTGTCACATTCATGCCATAAAAATGCCTTGTTGCCCACGTACACGTACACCCATACACATACAATATTCTTTTCAATATAACCATGGAAAAAATAAAATTCTTCGATCCAAGCACCTCCCACACCTCCCTAATCCAACCGTCTATTGAAATATATTTATCCCTCGACTACTCCACTCATTCTTGATAAATTTAAAATTTATCTCCGTTGGATAATGACAAATTGTTGTGCAATCTTCTATGAGTAAAACTGAGCGATTTCTCGCCAACTGTTAAATATACCACTACACACACTCGATATACTGCACTCACAACTCCTTACAACTCCACCTCCTCATGCTCACCGTCCTCACCTCACTCACTAACACTACTAACACCACTAACCAGTCATAACACATGCAGACGCGTTCGTGTGCCCACAATATATATGCAGGGAGATGGGTGCAGTGCAACTAGGGAACGTTGTGAAGGTAGTGAACAATAAAACGCACGCAGTCAATTCCAAAGAGGATTGACTAAAGTAGAGGCTCAGTTCTGGGGGTTGGAGTGACCCCAGCTGCAGCGTAGTACTGCACCCCAAGAGAGGGAGGGCGCTACACGCAATGCTGGGGTGTCCATCAAGTCGAAGGGGTGAATTTTATTTTCTGTGGTATGAATGCTTTTTGTTTTTTAATTGTTTAACTGAAATTTAGCCGACTGTAGAATGAGCGGAAGGGGGAAGCCACATCTTGGGGAATTTCAAATGGAAAAAATGATTCAATCTATTGAAGATATACTACTAATGAAATTATGTTTTTACAATGAGCGTGTTGTCTAATGGGCAACGTGCTTGGCTGGCACACGGACGGCTAGGGTTCGATCCCGCCAACATTCATTTTTTTTTTGATAATTCCTATTTTCTTTTGTAAATGACTAATAGATGCTAGATACTTTTTCAAAAATTTCGAATTTTTCACTTTCAGTGAAAATTTCAGTGAATACCTCCTCGATGGTCATGTTACCCTGATAGTTTTTCAAAAATTTCGAATTTTTCACTTTCAGTAAAAATTTCAGTGAATAGCTCCTTGATGTTCATGTTCCCCTGATATTTTCTCAAAAATTTCAAATTTTTCACTTTCAGTGAAAATTTCAGTGAATACCTCCTCGATGTTTATGTTCCCCTGATACTTTCTCAAAAATTTCGAATTTTTCACTTTCAGTGAAAATTTCAGTGAATACCTCCTCGATGGTCATGTTACCCTGATACTTTTTCAAAAATTTCGAATTTTTCACTTTCAGTGAATAGCTCCTCGACGTTCATGTTGCCCTGATACTTTTTCAAAAATTTAGAATTTTTCTCTTTCAGTGAAAATTTCAGTGAATAGCTCCTCGATGTTCATGTTCCCCTGATACTTTTTCGAAAATTTCGAATTTTTCAATTTCTAACTTTTTTACTCGACACTTTACTACTCGATCTTTTCACCACTTGTCGACATACCAGGGACCCACATTACCAGCTGTTGGTATTTCAGGGATCTCCACTACCGACTGTTTGTATTTCACTGGACGTGAAAATTCTAAATTTTAAAATTTGAAAGTTAACATTTTTTGAAATTTTTGAAAAAGTATCAGGGGAACATGAACGTCAAGGAGGTATTCAATTTTTAAACGATATTTCGAATGATTAGTCATTTACAAAAGAAAATAGGAATTATTTACAAAAAAAAAAAGAATATCGACGGGATCGAACCCCAACCGTCGGCGTGCTAGCCAAGCACGTTGCCATTAGATAACGCGCTAATTATAAAAATATAGCTTCATTAGTAGTATATTTTCAACATATGGAATAATTTTTTTTAGTTTCCAGCCTAATGATAATTAAAAACGTTTGTATAGGGGTTTCGATAATCAATGACTCTTGAAATATCTATATGTAATAATAAAAAAAGAGAATCCAAGAGACTCATAATTGATTTTAAATATATTGTTAACGTTATTGTTAAATGGATTGTTATATTCATTACGAAACCATGTGCAAAATTTCAGAGAGCGAGGAATTATTAATTTAAATTGAAATAATGTATAAAATAATTATTCTAGTCATCAGCTGGAATAGAAAAAGGGCGGGTGAGAAGGGGACGAGAGATGGCGGAATAGAAAAGATTTTATTTATTTCAAATAACCATTAAGATGTTTATTGTATGTTCGTTACACTTCTGCAATAAATAATTGAGACTACAATCAACTAACAATGAATCAAAGGAAAAAAATAGATTATCAACGAATATGATTTTTCACTTGATTACTTTTTATCACTTTGTTTTAATATTTGTGGGTACACGATACGCGTCTACAAAATGACATTCGACAGATTTTTGACAGCACCGAGAGTTGCGATAAAAATCTCCAACTCGTGGGCTTCAAAAGACCGTCAAACATGTGAATAAAACATAAAAAATTAAAAAATCTACAAAATAAATAAATAAATACTTGGATGAAGGGGTGGGACAATTGTTCGGCGATTATCTCGGATTTAACTGACTGAAGTATCACATTTGACAGTTAATTCGTCATACTCATTTACTAGCCAAGCGTCTGGATGATATATTAATCCGAGTAATGGTTTAACTCAAAATGAGGAATGAATCATTGGGAATTAATGGATGGTTTTGCCCTGAAGGAAAATGAGGAGGTAGAGTTCACTAGGATATTCACCTCTCCATTTAACGCGAAACAATTGGAAAGTTCACAAATTTGTTGTTTCCAAAGAAAAATTAAAATCATGAAATACTAGAGTTGCACAAGTTTACAAAATGTGACTTTTTTCAGAAATCAATAAAATCGTTGAGAGAAAATTACAGATTTTCATATCTGTTATCTTCTCTGATAATTACGTTTCACTATTTCCCTACCGAATAATCGATGAATTACACACGCACACATAATCATCTACGCCGAGCTTTAATCAATAATGATTCGAGTACGAAAATTGTTATTGAACAGTTGATACGTTTCTTTACACGAGAGAGAAAGAGAGAAGTTAAAAAAATGATATGAAATGTTTTAAGCATCGGTGATGTGCTTAATCTGGATGCTCTGAATAGTTTCCTCTATTTGTCTGCCGGAGTCGACGGAGTTTTTCTCCTTCTCGAGACTGGAGATTATATAGACAGGGTTTTCGCTGCTGGCTAATGATTCTTCATGATTAGCTGATGTTTGCGGGGTGCAGTATCTAGTTTTCACCTGTGGAAAAAGCAGAGTTTCATTGTCTGTAACGAATTTTCTCAATTTTAAATGATTTTCGCGGCCCTACAGATCGTCAAGTTAGTTTCATTGAACATTCATAGCATTAACTAATTTTCTGCGTACACTGTACAGATCAAATTCATTCTTTTAAATTTAAATTTTAATTGTAATTAATTTTTTGGATGGGAAAAAGATCGTTCCGCTTGACTCCACTGTAAATTCTATTCAAATTTTGGATAAATCTTTTGGATCATTGAAGATGATCTGAACTTCAATGTCCATCAAGCCCACCTTATTCCTATAAATTCCACCAAGTGCAGCGATACTCCCAACAATAAAAACAGCTGCAACTCCAAAAACAACCGTAGTAGCTCCAAATACCGCGAGTTTAGCTTGGCCGACCTCTTTCTGCTTGAGGGCCATCACATTGTCCTCCCTCGCTCCTGATTTAACAACAGGCCTGTGAACAAATCGGGATGTAGTGGCATCAGCGGTTGTCCCCAGAACAGCAAGACTCCTGTTCCTGGTGAGTTCTTCAAGATGAAAAGCCACATCAATTTTATTCCTTCCGGTGATTTCAAATCCAACGATAGCCGAATCCAAATCAAGTTCCACAGCGATTCCATCCCTCACCTCAGCCCCGAGATCACTGAGTAAATCACTGACAGCAACAGTGAACTGACTGCCATCATCACTTACAAAATGGCCAGGAAACCTCAGAGTCACCTCGACAGCTTCAACAGGAGTTACCTGACAAATTATGGAGTCCCTGTAGAAGGGTTCAGAGTCAATGACCTGATTGCCAGCTTCATCAACACACCAGCACGTCTCCCCAGCGCACTGGGTTGGTTCGAATTGTCCCTCTTGATCACAAGTTGTTGGCACATGTCCCCTCTCCCTCATGGCTTCACACCTTGTGGTGAAGATCCTCCTAATAGCACGCTCCACATTATTCATGTAAACCTTGAACTCAGGATCAATCCAGCTGTCGATCTCAACGGTCTCAGCCCCCTCGAAGGGCCCTCTCCCCTTCCTCGCCTGTCTGAAATTACATTTTGGCTCCTTTCCTCTGACCAAAGAGCCCTTCAACGCAATTCCTTTTTTATCAACACACCAACACACCCCCACATGGTCTAGACACTGTACAGGCTCCCAAGCCCCTGTATCAGGATTACACCTTGGTAGAAACGATGACTGTTTAATTCTCAGTGAGTTCCTGACATTTCTTTCCCTCTGGAGTTCACAAGGTGTCAGGACAGGGCAGACGTCATCACAAACGAGTTTACTGGAGAAGTCATTGTGGCCAAGAGAGCAACCAGACTTGGGTCTGCACTCGTTCTTCTCAGGATCAAAAAACCATCTTTGAGTGTCATTGAAGGACAGAGACAGAGTTGCCTGTCCAGCGCAGTCGATGAATTTGGGTGGTTCAAAGCATACGTCCCGTGGTTTGGGACAACAAAGTGCATATTCATCGAGTGGTGAGAGCTCACATTTGTGGGTGGATGGGCAGTGATGGCCGTGAGGTCCGCAAATGGCAGGTGTTCCCTCCTGGGTGATTAGGGGTGCCCCATTGGGACAGGGGTTTTCCTTCTTGGGTAGGCAAACAGGAACAGGTGGACAGGGAGGTGCGCTGCATGCCACCTCGACCATTCTGCATGCCTCATTGGGTGCCCTGCAGCTGACCAATCTGCATGGGTCTCTGCAGCTGCATATGGGACAACCCGAGAGGTCGAGCTCTAAGCCCTCGGTGCAGTTCAGACTGCACTTTATGTCTGGACAGAGGAGCGGAGTGCTGCAAATTGGTGGAAGACCATTGGGAACGCGTGTTCCAGCAACCTCTCGCCCCTTCTCATCGACACACCAGCATGTGTCTAGGTGGCATTGAATAGCCTCGAATCTACCCTTGTCATCGCATTTTGGGATATAGAGCCTTCGAGCTGGCTCACCCGATTCCCTTGCTGCATGTTCAGCTAGTGTCCTCGCGTGCTGGCAGCCTGTTGCCACTACTGGTGTGACGCATTGAGTGCCACAGCCCGTTGAACAGCACTTTTCTGACTCCGAACACTCGTGGTCTGTGCTGCAGTGTACCTCGCAACTTGACGAACTCGGAATCAGATATGGACACTGGCCTGATTTTGTCAGGGGTAGGCAAGCCGGCACTTGTGGACAGCTGTGACCTTCTCCACAGTTTACATCGACCATTGTGCAGACTTCTCGGCTGTTGCATGTCACTTCTGCACATGGATCACGACAGACACATGTATCTGCACAGCCTGTTTCGTTCACCTCAAACCCATACAGACAGCTTGCAGGACAATTAGGGGACTCTCCCTCCCGGCAAGTTTCCGAGATTATAGCACGAATTTTGGTGCAGTTTTGAGATTGTGGGGTGACGTTGCGGAGAATTGGAACACCATGAGGATTGACACAGTGGCAAGTCGAATTGGAACATTGAAGAGGGCTGTAGGAACCGTCTGGGAGGCAATCGGGTGGGGGAAGGGCTAGGGTCATGCCTGAACGCGTGCCCTCCATGCGCTCTGCGAAATTTCGCAAATATTCGCACATTGTCAGAGGGCGTTGGGAAGTCGTGGCCGTAGGGTTGGAGCAACAGACGGAGGAGGAAGAGAATGGAATTTGAGTGCAGGTGTGGTGTTCCGGGCACTCGGAGCTTCCAGAGCAAAAGGTTACTGTGCCGTTCTCATCTGAGAGCGGACCCCCAATTGTGCAGGGATTTTTATATGTCTTTTTTGGTCGACAAGTCGGACGTGTCAGACACAGAAAATCCGGACATCCTGTCTCCCGGAAGAGGGTGCACTCCTCGCCGTCTGGACAAGTGTATCTGCGAAAGGGAAATTCTTTTACTACTTCTTTTTGACCATTTTTTTCTCTCTCTCCCTCCATCTCTTTCACAAATGTGGATGACACTTACCCCTGACAGGGATCATCGCACTCGCAGGTGTTGCATCCTCTGTCATCAGTCTTGAATCCATACTGACAGATCTGGGCACATTGTTGCAGAGGACAGGAGGCATCGAGGGCCCTAGCCCTGGGTTTCACCTCCTTGCAGGTGACATTTTCCGCAGGTCCCATAGTCCCAGATATTTTCTTACCATCGGTATCAACGCACCAGCAAACGAGACCGTTCCTCGAGCACTGGCGGGGCTCATATCCTCCATTATCTGTACACTGGGGTATGTATCCCCTTCCCTCTCTCTCGGAGATGCTGAGGAGTTCGGCGGACATTCGATTCTTCCTGCAGGAGCTCAAACCCGTGGCATATGAACAGACTCTACCACCGCAGTGATCGCTGGAGCAGCATTTCTGGGGACCTGGACAATCCAAGTCGTGCTGGCAGGGAGAGCTACAGTTAGCAGGCGCTTGAATCCTTGGACATGTCCCTGGACGCTCTAGTCGCAGACTCGATGGACAACAGACTCCGTATTCAGCATTTGGCTGGACCAGGCAACGATAAAGCGGTGGACAATTTGGTTTGCCTGGTGTGTCACCACAGAGGAAGGGTCTCGCCGAGTCTGTGATCTGTAGTGGCTCGCCCGCTGGACAAATTGTTCCCAATGATTTAGCCTTCCGACAACTAGGTATTGGAGGACAGGGGGGACGAGCACATGGTGCATTTATCAGTTCGCACGTCTGACCCGTTCCTGGACATGTCACTTGCTTGCATGGATCTCGGCATTCACACTTTGGACAGCCACTTATTTCGTCCATCTAGGGGAATATTCATGGATATCATCACGGGAGTGAACTGCATGTGGATTAAATTAACTCGGGGCTATTGATTTTGTGGGAGAATTTCGGTAGAGACTTTCTGGGACATTCGATTGGCGAGACCTGTGCATTATTAAGGGGGATTAATCTTCTCGGGAACGGAAGGAATTAGCCGGCTCGATTGATAATAGGTGATTAGCCGGGGACTTTTTTTTGGGGAATGGTTACCTAATTCTTTGACGAGGGGATTTAATTTTGTACACATCTATCTATAATCGTTTAGATAAATGAAATTATTTAGGGACTTCACTGGTATTTCGGGTTTTGGAAATCAAGTTTGAATTATTGGATTTTATATAAGTATATAAATGTAAGACGTTAGAGAATTTCAAAGTTTTGGTTTTGTATTTTAACTTGTCCCATTGAAATATCACCCCGACGAAATGTATTGAATCCCATCGAAGGCTCCACGTACCTCGAATCCCAGAGGACACAGCATACGACAAGAATGCGCCTGACAGCCTCTCGGATTGTCACAGTCGATGAAATCCCTAGCGGGTGCTCTTGTGCCGGAGACTTGGCTGCCAAACTCATCAACACACCAGCAATTTTTTTCATTGGCCTCGCACTGGATCCTCTCGAATTCGCCAGTGATATTGTTGCACTGCGGAACAAATTGTCCGGGTCCATGAGGAACAGCGGCTATGGCCAATTGCTCGCAGCCCGTTCGTTCCCCCAGGACACATCTGAGACCACAAACAGTCTCGCAGCATCTCTCTGATGGACTTGAGCACTCAAAATCACTGGAGCATGGAGGTGCACGGGCTGGACATGAGCTCAGCTCCGTCAGGACCGGACATCTACCTGCTGTCCTCGATATAGGATCTGAAATGATTTTTTTCATTTTTCGTAGTGAAGAAATTCTAGCAAATCATAACACTAGTTAGCTAGCCTAGCTATTTTGCGCGTGAGTTTTCAATACCAATGAATAAAAATCATTCGCACAGACACGAGTGAAAATTCACTTCATCCGTAATAAAATCTGTGAACTCGTGACAGAGCCAAACCCGTGGAATAATAATAATGTCCTTCAAGTTATTTCCAGATGTATCGAGATATTTCGAGTGAGAAGGCATTTCCATCAAGCAAAAAAGCAAATCGACAAGGCTATCTCGAATATGCCAGGGATGCAGTAGATGCCGACTCCGGAGCAACATTGTAGGAACAAATTCTCCGAGTAATTTCCTCGCAGTCTGAAAAATTCTAAGATAAGTTGAAAGAACCCTTTGTCCAGCGTCGGCTACTTCCTATCGATTTTTCCATGAATAGAGACATTCGAGTTTTCGACATTTCGTTTGAATAAAAATTGAAATGAGAGCGTGGCCCAGTGAAGATGCTAGGAAATCTTCATATGATCGCGAGACCTATATTTATTCATATAACTTGAATGCGGTACGGATATGCATCATCAATTATGTAACTTCAATTAATTCCACTCGACATGAAGCAAACAGCAATTTGAGAATAACGTGGGTAAGGAAAGAGTGTTATTACACAGTGATAGTAAGTGGGAGCTTCGCTCAGGTAAACGAAAACGTGTAAACGGTAAAGTGTGGCAGTAGGATACAAGGAACCGTTAACTGGACTCTGGCTTTATTTTTACGTTGCCCCACGCCTGTAATCGCTTCCCCGCACTCTCCATCTCCATCTCCATCTCCACCTCCATTTCCACCTCCATCTCCACCTCCATTTCCACCTTTACCTCCATATTTACCTCCACCTTTACCTCCACCTCCACCTAATTCCATTCACTACCTATTGATACCTCTTAATACCTATTGATATCTCTTGATGCCTCTTGATACCTATTGACACCTATTAATCGACGCCATTTTCGTATGGAACCCTTAAAACAATGACTTGGACAGTGTGATGGCGTCACGTCAATTCGTCTGAGACATACAGGCTCACGTGACTTTTCATTAGACTTTTTTCATTAGGAAAAAATGACAGCTGTTTAGATCCTCGTCATGCTGTCGCCAATCGTCTCACAAGCTTATCGATTAGCTTATCGATTGTATTCCGACGATTAGGAGTTTTCTGAATAAATTGCTCACAAGAAATTCAAATTTACCAGCTTGGCTCGATGAGAGGACCAGAATGAAGGGCACAATGGCAACCAACATTATCCGTGGTACACCATTGCGATCATGTCGACGCGAATTGTCTCGCATCCTCGGTTCATCCAATTGTAAGTTTATTCTCCTGGGATTATCAACTCCTCCACTCGCCTGAAATCACAAGAAATATTTCGAAAAATTAGAATTCTCACACGTTAATAAACAGCGCCTGTTTTCATATTCATCTGACTTTTCCTGAGTTTTGTTAATTAAAAAAACAGGGCGATACTGGCGAATCGCAGTGCATCAGGGCTTTAATAAGCTCCATGGCCTGTTGAGTGTCACTTAAGAATCTCCATTTCGAAACTTTTAATTATGAAAAGGGAGAAAGGAATTGTAAACAGAAGAATTAAGTAATTAATTTTCCGGGAAAAATTGAGATCAAAGGAAATTCATCACTTTCTTCAGTAAATTTGATGATTACGCGAACTTTATTAGTTTTCGTAATCATTAGAAAATTTATAATTCGATAATTATACATCATGAATAAATGATGAATGAGCATTCTACCTTTCGCAAATGGGATTGAAGTATTTCGTATACTTTGTCGATTGACTATCGACTTGTTAAGGTATAATTTCCTGATTGTCTTGGAATTGCAGATAAAAGTTAAATGGCGGTAAGGAAATTTTGGTGGAAAGACGGTGGAGAATTTCGCTCGATGAAATAACAACGGCAGGCCACAAAGGAAGGAAGGTAAACAGGAGATGTTTTTGTTGCACGCAAAGAACGCGGTTTGAAAGCTCCGAGGGAGGGTCTTAGGAATAAAAATAACATGGGCGTGTGTAATAAGCAGCAATAAAGTACAACAAAGAGTAAAAAAAGTCTCATCTCTTCCAATCCACCGAGTGTTTGAGTATTTCGAATATTTCCAAGCGCTCGAATTGTAATTAAATTCAGTTACTTTCTACTTTGTTGTTTTCCATACTCTTCACTCAGTTCCTGTTAACTCGGTAAACTCTTGAGTATCTTCAAAGGTGAAGTACCTCCCCTTATTCCCTAGGTCTACTAATTGATGTGAACTGTAAATATAAAAATTTATGGATTCTAATTGGTCACGAGAATTCGCCAGGAAAATTTAATTGCCCAAGTATTTCGGTGACTATTGAAGGCATTTGATATTTGAATACAAAGCTCAAAATAAATTTAGATTTTTGATTGGAACTCTCAGTATAATAATACAATGATTTTTTTAACCGCCGCACGGGTGCCGACCCTTGAGTTTAGGAAATGGAAAATTCTCCAATTGTGTTTCTTCGAATTGAAACCATATAGCCAATTTCTTGAGAAATTTTTATGTTCGTCCCCGTAACGGTTTAACGATATCGCCAGCAGCGTCGCCGTGTAAAAATAAAATATTGAAGGGAAAAAACGCGGGCTTGGCCCATATAAATTCAGAAGATAATTCCCTGCAAGTCAGACGTATTTTTCTGCCTCAACTACTACCCGGATGCAATGAAATTTTCAGTGAAAAGCCTTGCGGTGAGTACCGGCGAGAGCAGAGGAAATAAACGAAGGACCCATGTTCTCTGGAATATAGTTTGGTGGTCTCTTGACGCTGGGATCGATATATCTGAGCTTTTTATATTTCCACGGTTAAACCCAAGACCTCAAACTATTTTTTTCCTCCATTTCCCTTCTATTTTTAATTTAAAATTTAAAACTCAAGAACCTAGCAGTAAACGAGATTATTTTATGCCTTTCATTTGGGGATTAATTTTCAAATCATTTGCCTCATCAATGCAACATCGCGGAACAATCTCCATTTATACAAATTCACAATCATAATGTCATATTTATACAGAAATATTTTAATAAAACTTGTACGGATTTTCTAATGCTTTTTGAATGCAATTGACAAAAGTAATGTTTTTTTTCCAGTGAGAGGGAGATGGAATAAAAAGAAAAATGAAAAAAGGTGGAGCAAGGGATGAAGCAATGAACAGCAGAAAAGGTTGACGCAGTTGTGAGGCTGATAACCGCACCGGGTATTACTCTGACCAAAACGAAACAGGTATTTTGCAGATGTATGAGTGCGTTACAAACATTACACACATGGCAATCCGGCTTAACACCGGATGTAGGTCAACTCGTGCTCATCGTGTTCCTTCCGGGTCGTCTGATCAACCATCCCGCTGAACTCGTACTTTCTATTGTCGTTTTTCTCACACCAATTTTTAAAAATACTTCAATCAAAGCTACCGTTAATATACAGTTATACTTGAAATAACTATATTAATATTCTCACTTTAAATATACAAACATATTTTTTAGAAGATAGAAACGAATTGCTCAGAGAACCCTTTAGGTTTGTTAATAATTTTTTCCCGTGTGTGTGAATGAAAGAGAAAAACAGAGAAATAAATTATAGCGCCCAATTAAATTCACTTGTTCCAGACAAATTCGTTTGAGACAGGAATTTAAATAGAAATTTTATGGAGACATTTTAGACTTTTAGTTGTCGCGAGTTCATTCACTTGTCAGGAATGGATTTTTTCCTCAGTGTATGAACGTTTTCGCGGAGTAATGCACAGTTTAGTTTCTCTGGTTTAATCAAGGAATTAATCATGATATGAGTTAACGAGTTTTCCACTCGCAAAAGAGAGTTAATTAACTGAAACAATGAAACATATTCGTAGCATGTATGAGCTGGTATATGAATTTCAGGAAAATGCATTTAATTGCCAGAAAGTAATGCACTAGCTAATTTAGGGTAATTACCTAGGTGATGAATTAATGAAATTCAGAGGAGGGGGAGAGAATTCGAGTCTTGTGGGAATTTAAACAAATCAATTGAACAAATAATTGATTAGAAATTTGAAATGCACAGTGAAAAGTTAATGGAAAACGCCAACGGTATGGACTGATTCGGGAAGGAGTCAATAGCAGACAATAATTGTTTGATTTATCCCACCGCAGAGTAATTTATTAAGCCGAAACTCAGCAGAAGAAAATCAAATGACTTACTCCCCCAAAAGATCATCAATAATCCCCAGTAATTATCTGGAATACCTTCACCCACTTGCTGAGTTCACTGAAACTTTCATCGTAGTTTCTATAGCTTATTCAAACAGACAATCACGCCCGCTCGAATCAGGTACGTCACGTAGAAGATATAAGAAGGAAAGAAAACAGAGAATTGTTGAGACGTTTCCAGGATGTTATCCAGGATGAATACAAAGTACCAACACTCGACCACTTGGCACTGATTTTTACTCCCTTTGACCCAACGGAGGGTCGCGGAGAACAATCATTTGGCTTCAAAGACTCGAACAATTCTCAATCAGATTAAGAAGATACTGAGTCTCTCTCCACGCTACTTTTCCAAGTATCTGCTTTATATATATTGAATATTTCATTCTTTATAATTCAATTCTCTGGTAAGAGCCAAAGTTTTCATCTCTTTTTATCACTTTTATCTACTTCGTTCGAATTTATTCGGCTCGATTTAATTGGCAGCGTTTTAGTCATTTGCAAAATGAAAATTCAATATGACAGGCATCTGTAATCTCTACGTTCCCACCGAAATAAATTCAGTGGCGTTAATTGAGAATTCGATTGAAGCGGAGATGTGGAGACTCGAGAGCATTACCTCTATGACACATTTACACCAACTAAAAGAGTCTCGGCGCGTCATCGTAGAAAGTTCATGACGTATACCGGATTCAGCCAAATAATTTCCCCCTCGTCCCAATTCGTAACTCAAACAGATTTTTTTAAATCCCAGCGTGCAGGGTTGCCCAGTCAAACATCCTTTCATAATTTTTCAAACTTTTCAAGTTTTTTAAAGCTTCTTTGAAATGGAAAAAATGCGGTATGCATTTTGCACGCGCTAGTTCATTCGTATTCTCTCCGCAGTTAACCGGTGGAAAATATTTTCACCTCCGCCATCAACATTGCTGGTATTATTGACGCTCAACGGTACTAAATTAAACAAAAAAAAAACCTGAAAAGAGAGGTAATAGAAATGTAGGGAGTTTCAGGACAAATTGAGGTGTAATTTATTAATTTATTGAAGTGTAATAATAGAGGTAAATCAGTGGAGCCGGGGGAATAATTCATATTTGAGTTCATGATGTACGGTGAATTATTACTCAATTAATTCAGTTTCCAAGCTGATAATTGTGAATCGCTTGTATTTCAATTATCAAATTCACAATTATATTTATATTTATATTTATATTTATTGGTTCCTCACGGTCATTGCAACTGGTCAAAATAATTGGACCTATTGATATTTAATTAGGAAATTATTGGGACCATCTCTGCCACCTCTGCCACCTCTGCCAGTGGGTTCCCAAGCAATTATCCGCTAACCGAGAGATGATTTCTTTGAACAGAAATCCCCGAAAAATTCGGCCGTCTCCGCAAAGCGCGTGTAGCATCCGGCAAAATTGAATTAACCACCACAAAAGCAACAGTTACGTATCACACAAAAACCGCGGTAAAAATGTATTATATAAATTATAAATTAATTTCACCAAAAGAAAAAGTCGAGTTACACATTTCAATGAATTATTCATCCCCGAAGAGAAACCGATAAAAAAAACCTCTAAAAAATGCCCGCGAAATTGAGTGAAATTTTGATCTGGAATGGAATTGAATGGGCGTATAATGCTGGCAAAAAAGATAATATCCTGAGGACAAAGCAACTGTCAGAGAGGATATGAAACCAGGACAATGACACGTCAATACACCAGTTGGTGACATGCAGTAGCAATGTAAATTGATAAAACTTACCGGGAGGTGGTGTGTCAAAGCATAAGCCCGAGTGATGTACATGCGAGTGTGGCACTTGAAAAATGATGTTAAAAAAAAAAAAGAGAAGAAATGTTGGTGTGAAACCGATGGAGAAACAGTTGGTGGGTGGTTTTTGGATGGGCGTCGTGGAATGGACTGAGGCAGCTGGAGGCAGCGTGGAATCGTGGAGGCATGGTTGGCTCGACCCAGAGGAGCGGCGGCGCGTCACAGAGAGGGAGAGATAGAGACAGGGAGAGAAAGAGAGAGAGATGTCATGTATTTCCCCTGGTACCTTTCTACACACACGAACTACCTGTACTCGAGTTCTTAACTATGACCCCCTTCTCTTCAATTCAAAATCCAATGCTCCGGATGGGCCATCACCAGCTGTACAACAAATAAACCTACATGAGTTTCAATGGCCAGCGAATCCATGATTATACTCCTAGATCGAATATCAATGCAGGCTAAACACTAGAGGAATTATAAATTATATTTTTCTACAGAGATTTCATTTTTATTTGATCTTTTTTGTATTGAGGCTTTCAGCTCATTTATAATTGCTCCGAGCAATTATAAATTATTAAATTATATTACATGGAACAAGTAATGAATTAATAGAACTTTGAAATGGTTTAAAGATATAAATTACGAATGAAGCAAGCGGAGAAGGTGTAAAACATAAAATGTAACACCCAAGAAGATATAATTATTGTTATCATTATTACTTTAGAACAAGTTGACACTTTTTTGAAGAATCTTCCGTTCATATCGAAATATAGATATGAAAGTATATATTTTTTTAGATAACTGATGAAGGATTTATAATAAAAAAAATTGACTACCCTGTAAAAAGTCTTGATGTTCCATTGGCTTGAGCTAAATCCCGCAAAATGCTGTCTAATTTCTCCATGAAAAACTCACTTTATCGGTCATAAACTTATGCTTCAGTACTCGAAATAAAATTTCGACGGCTTCCATAAACTTAAATGCAGTGGGAATCCGAAGAATCACGTAAACACCATTAACACCGAGCAAACATACAGTCGAGGGTGTATAAAACACACAATAAAGCGTATAAAAACAAGCAGTTGACCATTCCTATGATTGAGAGAGTATGTACCTGTTAATTTTCGTTAATTGCATTCGTATACTTTAGTGAGAATGATAAAAATAGAATAACTCATGATTATAAAGCAAAAACGTATAAAAAGTGCATAAAAGTGGATTTATACTAATTAAACAAACGGCCAAGTGTTAATTAACCCGGTAACGATGCCCTAAACTGCGTGAAAGGGAATTGGCTAATGACCTTGTGCCCGAGAATTCCTTAAATCGGAGTTGAATGCACTCTGAAATAGTGGTTTAGTTTGCGAGCTTCGGGGAAAAATAAAAGAGAATAAAAAAAAATGAAGGAGAAAAAAATAAAAGGAGAGGAGAAGCCATTCTCCATCTCCAACTCCTCCCAGAGCTCCTCAGCATTCCTAGGGTTTTACGGGTGAATTCGTGCGAGAGCGAAGTGGAAAAGGATGATGCTAAGCGGCCAATCTTCCCCATCACCAGTTTCTCCAATGGGGAACAACTTCCAGGCCCCACTGACCGACATCCACATTTTATTATTATCCACAGCATTTTTCTCTCATTCCCATTCATAAAGAGACTAAAAATAAACATAAAAATAAATATTCAATATATTGTAATGTAAAATTATTAAAATCCATTTAATTCACCAGAACTCCTGAAAATCCATATCGATCCTCCCGAAACCGGTAATCCGCGCCATTTTCTCATTTTCTAATTACAATTTTCATTAATATCGCCCCAATTATTCAAACCGCGAGTAAAAAGGAAAAAAGGGATAAGTAAAATAGGAGGAAATAAAAAACAGTTGGAGGCCGGAGGTGGCTGCATGCTGGACAATTTACGAGCATCCGGTCTCAGTTGTTGGTAAAATCGTTGGCTCCAAAACGAGGTGCACGAAGAGTCGAAAACGCCGGAAGTTGGAGGCGCAACGAAGGCAGACGACAGAATCGTTGACGTGAAACCGACGGAGATGTATTTTCGATCGATAAACTATTCTCTGTAATTCTATTACAGTAAGAGGAGAGAGCGGTCCATCAGGATGATGACTCGGTTGGGTGTAGCAGGGAGCCCTGAGGAAAACTCAATTACGGGTAATTGCAATTACGATGGTATGGGCATATCGAAAATTTCATGCCCAACGGAGCGATTGCAGATTGGGCCGAGTCAACGTAGCGTCGACCCATCGAAGTCTCCAAGTTGGCTATCACCTTGTGAGATGATGATGTCCATGTTTTCCCCTGTGGTATAATGTCTCGAGACTTGGCTGGCTATACATATTGGGGGTTAACCATTGAACCCAGTCAAAGGAGTGATGTAATTAGGTATGTTTTCATGTTTTCGAAGGGCAGAGCCTTCGACAGCCTTGCCTTTGACAGATTACCAAACTCATCGAGTTCCCCAGCTATTGAATACTTACAAGGCAAGAATCTTGCATGAATTTCGATAGAAAAATGAAAATCCCCGGGATGAGTGACAGGCGCCATTGAAGAAATCGCTGGAACTGTTTTATTAAGTCAGTGTAAAGTCTCAGCCCTTGACATTCCCTTGTGATTTACCGGGTTTTTCAATATTCCCTGGCATCTCCACCAGCCCCTACCACTGAATACGAGCGAATAATAACTTTGGGAATTATCTACGTTCTCCACTCCTCCTACCTCTTCCCTACAAATATTATCGTTCCTCCAAAAGCCCAGTTCCCCTCCACAAACATCACATCCAATTCGTGCGTCGAGAACGCATTCTCCTATTAATTATGTGTATTCATAATTATCATAGATAATAGAAATCCATTCATTTGAAATGACTCGATTATTACCGCATGAATTATCAGCCAGAGCTGGGCTAAATCAAACCAGCCATTCATATCCAATAATATGATAATATTAATATTCATTCATTACACCCGGCATATAATAAGAATAATCAAATCCACATTAATATTCTACTGATTTGTGCCATTAATTAAGCAATAAAAATACTACGCCAATGCAAAACAAAGGGGTAAAACATCTTTAATGTGAATTGAATAAATAAATTGAGTTCATTACTCATTACTCAAGCAGTTGTGTATTGAAAAAAAAAGTGTTATATTTTAAAAAATTGTTAAGGCCCGGATGGACTGTCTGGAAAAGATCATTTACTCCAAAATTGGGACTTCTAATTACTCCGTCAATTAATCGTTTTTTCCTATAATTGTTAGCTAGCGGCTTAGTTGTTGACAACCGCTAGAACGCTAGTTAACAATTATTGAAAAAAAACAATTAATTGCCAAAGTAATTAGGAATCCAAATTTCGGAGTAAATTATCTTTTCTAGATAATCCACCCGGGCCTTAAGTGTTATAATATTAAGTGTTATATTGTTCTAAGACATTTCCGTAACTGCAGTCTAGTGGTATCTTTCGAAAAATATTATTCCTTGAGATGCCGTTAGAATTACTCACAACAAGAAAATTCCATTATCACTATTTCGCGATATCAAGTCTTATTGTAATTGAATAAAAATAATGAGTGGAAATTGACGATTTCTATCGAATGCCTGATGAGTGCGTGTTATCGGAACTTGGAATGAAAACTTGACAAACAATAAACTTCGGATAAACAATACCTATTATTCATTAGAATGTTTAAAGCTCGGGTGGATTATCTAGAAAAGATAATTTACTCCGAAATTCGGATTCCTAATTACTTTGGCAATTAATCGTTTTTTTTCAATAATTGTTAGCTAGCGTTCTAGCGGTTGTCAACAAGTAGGCCGCTAGCTAACAATTATCGGAAAAAACCATTAATTGACGGAGTAATTAGAAGTCCCAATTTTGGAGTAAATTATCTTTTCCGGATAGTCTATCCGGGCCTTAAGGCTCGGGTGGATTATCTAGAAAAGATAATTTACTCCGAAATTTGGATTCCTAATTACTTTGGCAATTAATCGTTTTTTTCAATAATTGTTAACTAGCGTTCTAGCGGTTGTCAACAACTAAGCCGTTAGCTAACAATTATAGGAAAAAACGATTAATTGACGGAGTAATTAGAAGTCCCAATTTTGGAGTAAATTATCTTTTCCAGACAGTCCATCCGGGCCTTAAATCGTTTTATAGTAATTTTTGCCTGATAATATCAGCTGTCCATCTTATTCCGAAAATAGACAATCTCAGTGATAAGGACAAGTCCATTGTTCCCCTATCACAATTTCTTATTAATAAAATCAAATCCGTGAATATGATTGAATCGATAGATATTCGATACCAAGTACTGCGATATCGCTGGGTTTATCGCTGGGTTCCTATAAAAGCACATGTCGAGTAAAATTCTGCTACAACAAAATCACTGAGTCTCAGAAGCTCATTAGTGATAACAAACCATTCGTTCACTAGTTTATTAACCGTAATAATAATTGTTTTGTGGTTTTTTTAACGGATTTGTGGACAATGAGGGATTTTCGGGGGTGTTTAAGTCTTATAATAGCTGTGATCAATATCCTCGAAATATCGGGGCATGGTATGTTAATGGAACCTGTCAATCGACTCAGTGCATGGAGATACGGTTTCGATACTCCAATTAATTACAACGATAATGCTAATTTTTGCGGTGGATGGGCGGTAAGTTCAGTTTTAGGGGGAAATTGCTAGTTTTATAAAAATATTTTTTCAATTCCGCCGAGCGGAATTTATTCTTAAACTTAGCGCAACACTAAATAACAACAATAGGTCTGAAAAAATGTGTAGGATAAACCTTTGTGTATTTAATATTTCTTGTTCCTAAATTGTTACTCCGATAAATCATAATTTTTTAAATTAAAAAATAGTAATAGAGCGGTCTTTATTCAGAGTATTTTTTGGTAAATGAAAATTATACTAGTTGTAATTAAGAACAATCTCTAGTGAAGTTTTTTATTTTTTTCATTATTTTCAGACTCAACATCAATTAAATGGTGGTAAATGCGGACCGTGTGGAGATAATTATTTAGACAAACAGCCCAGGAACAGTGAGAACACCGGATTCTATGGAAGTGGAACAATCGTTCGAAAGTAATTAACAAATATTAATTATTATTATTATTTAGTCATATTAGTCATAACTGAGTGGGAGAAAACGTTTAATCGATTGTTTATACCCAAAGGTGGAAAATTGTCCTCTAATGTCGTGCCATACTAATTAACCGGTTTTAAAAAATCTAGTTACACCGAAGGTCAAGTGTTGAAAGCAATTGTGCGGATAACAGCGAACCATCGAGGGTACTTCACCTTCGCCCTCTGCCCACTAGCTAAATCAAGTGACATAGAAACTGAAGAGTGCTTCGATCATCACCCAATTTTCACAGCAGACGGCCAATCGAAGTACATCCTGCCTCGATACGATAACGATGATTATGCTGTTGAATTGGTTCTACCTGAGGGGCTAACGTGCCAACACTGTGCTCTTAGGTGGCACTACACAACTGGAAATAATTGGGGAATTTGCGAGAACGGCAACGGAGCACTTGGCTGTGGAGCTCAGGAAAATTTCAGGACGTGTTCAGACATCGCTATTCACGCCAGATAATTATTGTTTCTGCCAAAAATCTCCAATAGTCTACTAAAGAAAAGCGTCGATTTGTGATACCCAGAATTACCGAGAAGAGTAAAACAAAAATGGAATTTTCTTTTTTTTAAAATGTATTTCTTTCTTACTCAAACATTCTTATAATTTACATAACAATGCTATTACTAATTACATTATCTTCTCAAACATATCTCTTGACACTTGTTATAAAAAATAATGACAATATATGAATTATAGTACCTCTAACACAATCAGTGGTCATTTTTTATTCTTACAAATGAAAAAAAATAAAGTATCGTAAGGAAGTAAAATCTTTTATTAATGGATAAACACATTTTTTCATATTTTCTTCACCCTCTTCCAAAGAAAATAGTCATCCTGTTCGCATTAAATACCTAGTATCTTCGTAAGGAATCACAATATTGAGGGAAAGGCCTACGGCTTATTGTAATCCCAGAACTGTTTACCTCTCCCATCATCTCCCACGATTGATCCACTAAAGAATAACTCAGAATAATTATTTAATAAACCTGCAAAACTACTATTCTTTGAAAACCAATGATATCCTTAAATGAAGAGGAACAATCAATGTCCAACGCAAAGTATCAGAAATGTAATTTCAGTAATTAAATGATAATTTATTCCCTGAATTATCCATTTATAAACCAAAATATTAAGTTTCCTCTGAATATTGTTCAATCAATCAATCGACCATTTTTTAAATATCCTGAACAGACGATGGGATTTATAAAAAAAAACAGTCGAGTCGTTCAGAAAAGACTGTCCCTGTATGAAAAATCAATTATTCAGTATCTTAAAAGCAAAACTCACATTCAATGGCGTCTTCAGTCCCTCAGTACTTATTCTTCCCTGAGGCCTGAAGTTTCTGCTGATACACCACATACGCAGACATTGGCTGTCGCCTTGCTCTATTCATCATTTTCTCCTTGAAGCTGTGACTGGGGTTTTTCCTCTCTCTATTTTTCTTCAAACTGACGACCTCGAACGAAGTCGTTCCCCCAGACATGCTGAGAGGCACAAACGCATCATCAATGCTCAAACCCCTGGGTTTTCTCTTCTCATCATCGAACATTGTCCTAGTGGGCATGAAGATATCATGATTGATCTTCCTCTTCTTCATGGGTCTTGAGGGCACATCAGGAAGATTCTCAAGGATCTCTTCAGGAAGTCGTTTAGTCGGTCTCTTAGATCCAGCTGCGAGCCCTTGGCTGCCATTTCTCTGACTCTCAGTTTCTCCCGTTAGGTCCTGCTTCTTCCTTTTTATGGTTTCACGCTTTGAGTTCTCTGAGTTCACCTTCTTCTTAGTCTTCTTCAGCTCGACCAGAGGCTCCTCAACGTCCTGCGCCGTCAGGATCCGCTGCTTATTTTCCTCTGACTTTTTCTTCTTCTCCTTCATCTTCTCCTTAGGTCTTTCCTCAGACAATACCTCCAGGGTACTCCTCCTACTGGACAATCTCTTCATCTTGAGGATTGGCATCGAATCATTCAGTTTCTCTTTCATCAACGTCCTCATGTCGACTAATTCAGAATCATCTAGAATCATCGTGAGGTTCATCGCTGTGTTTTTACCTGGTTTTTTAAGCGGAAGTCCTTTCAATGTTGATTTGATTTTGTCACGGTTATCCATACTCTTCTTCACAGTCTCTGGTTGCACCTGGAGTTCCAAAGAGCTGCTGGAGCTCTCTAACTCTGCCATTTTCTTTTTGGATTTCTTCTGGATTCCCTTGAGTTTTAACTCTTCATGACGCTTTTCACTCGTTCTTTTCTCCATCTTTGGCTTCACCTCTAGTTCCAACTCTGATTCTTCATCTTCGAGCTCCACAGTTTCATCATTCTCTTCCTCATTCTCTTCGTCATTCTCTTCCTCATTCTCCTTTTCATTTTCATCGTCGTTTTCTTCGTCATCGCTCTCCTCATCTTCCTCTTCATCGTCGTTAATGAAGTCATGCAAATCGTGTCCATCATCTTCATCGGAACTCAATTCTGACTCAGAGCCATCAAGGTCGTCTCCAGGTACGTCTTCGTCAGAATATACAAGGCTGTCCCCATTCAAATTGTATTCCCTCTCGATGTCCTTCTGTGCTTCATCGTCGCTTGAACCTGAGCTTCCACCGTATAAAAACGAGGGAACGACCCTCGACTGCTCCACGTCAGAGTCTTCTGATACATCCTCCATTTCCGATTCCGAATTTACCATTACTACTGTCGACAAATTTTGCTTCTTCTTCTTGAGGATGTCGGGTTCGTCTTCTTCGTCGCTTGATGACTGTAATTCGTCGATATCGAAGTACTTTTGTTTCTGGCGCTTCTCTGATTTTATCGAGTTATCATGCGAGCTATTGGATGGACTCTTGAGTTTCATCGACGACTTCAGACTCTTTCTGGAAATATTAAGAGTTTCTTTAACCTTTGGAGCTTCTTCATCAACTACAAACTCATCTCCGTCATCGGGTGATGATTTCTCGACCGCGAGAGATTCTCTCTTTTGAGGAGATTTTTTATCGTTATTTGCCTCTTGTGTTGATTGAGATAGTGATCTTCGAAGGCTCTTTCTGGAAGTATTAAGAGTCTCTCCAACCTCTGGAGCTTTTTCATCTTCAGGCTCATCTTCAACGTCTGATGATGATTTCTCGACCGCGAGGGATTCTCTCTTTTGAGGAGATTTTTTTTCGTTATTTCCGTATTGTTTTGATTGAGTTAGTGATTTTCGAAGGCTCCTTCTGGAAGTATTAAGAACCTCTTCAACCTCTGCAGCTTCTTCATCAACACCAAGCTCATCTTCAACGTCTGATGATTTCTCGACCACGAGAGATTCTCTCTTTTGAGATTTTTTTTCGTTATTTCCGTATTGTTTTGATTGGGTTAGTGATTTTCGAAGGCTCCTTCTGGAAGTATTAAGAGTCGCCTCAACCTCTGCAGCTTCTTCATCAACTTCAAGCTCATCTCCACTGTCTAATGATGATTTCTCGACCGCGAGAGATTCTCTCTTTTGAGGAGATTTTTTTTCGTTATTTCCGTATTGTTTTGATTGATTTAGTGATCTTCGAAGGCTCTTCCTGGAAGTATTGAGAGTCTCTCCGACCTCTGGAGCTTCTTCATCAACTTCAGGCTCATCTTCAATGTCTGATGATGATTTCTCAACCGCGAGAGATTCTCTCTTTTGAGGAGATTTTTTTTCATTATTTCCGTATTGTTTTGATTGAGTTAGTGATCTTCGAAGGCTCTTCCTGGAAGTATTGAGCGTCTCTTCAACCGCTGGTGTTTCTTCCTCATCATCTGTTTTCTCATCATGTGTTTTCTGTTTTGGTTGAGTTAGAGATCTCCTGAGGCTCTTTCTGGACTTGTTCAGGGTCTCCGATACCTCTGAAGGGACTTCATCAGCTTCATCCTCTGACATTGGCATCCAACAAGAATTTATCTCATCATCCTTATTTTGCTTTGATGACCTCATGAGGATATTGTTGGACTTTTCAACGACGTCCTCAATGCCTTGAGCTTCTTGCGCACTTCCGACGTCTTCAACATCATCTAATGGCTCCTGGCCAACGAGAGATTTTTCCTTACCACTCAAAATCTTGTTATCATTACCTTCGTCTCCTGGTGCTTGAGTTGCTGATCTTCTCAAGCTCTTTCTGGACCCTCTGAGGATCTCGTCAACCCCTGAACCTCCTCCATCGCCTCCAGCTTCTTCTCCTTCTTTATCATTTTTTCCACCGACGTCCTCTGCTGCCACTGGACTTTTGTTTTCGTTTGCAGCCCTCCTGAGACTCCTCCTAGTCTTCTCACGAGCTTCACTCTCATCCTCTGAAGACTCCCCTTCATCGTGGGCTGTCGTTATATCTTTCATCTCCACTTCCTCCGTCCCTGAAACTACTTTCTCCTTCTTCAAAGACGTCTGACTCGCCTTCACCCCCTCAGACATTTTCTCGAGAAATGATTCCCTTCTGCTCTCCTCCGAGGGCTCCCTCTCCTTCACTGGAGTCCTGATCTTCTCAAGCGAAACTCTCAAAGTCTGAGTGACACCCTTGCTCTCATCAACGACTTCAAGCCCCGCCGAGGAGATTTCCCCTGGGCTTTTTCCCTCACTGGACTTCATCAAGGAGCTCCGCCTGGACGTGTCTCTTCTAGAACTGTTTTCCTCATTGGGGCGAGAAACCTTTATCTGACTTTCGAGCACTGGCATTTCCTCGGTATCGACCTCCATTGCTTCAATTTCCTCTGGTCCCAGGTAATTCTCCTCAGAATTCTCTCCTTTTTCTTCCTCTCGTGGACTCTTCCCCTCCACTAGCCCCCCAAACTCAAGCCTTCCTGATTCAAATCCATAGATTAAATCCCTGGATCGATTCAACTGCTCCTGCAATTCTAGATTCGCCTCAGGCTCCTCGGAGTCTTCCAGAGACTTCCTAGATCCCCTCCTACCTCTGTTAGCCTTATTCCTCACCTCATTTTCCTCATTCTCCTCCACCCCCTCGCCCGACTCCATCTTCTTCTGAACAATAACAGTGTCATCGGAATCGTAATTATAATTGTCCCTCTTCTCGCCGGCGTCATTCTCATCAGCCGACCAGCCCTTACCCACTAACTCAAGGTCGGATTCCTCGTCGCTTTTATCGTCCTCATCCTCGACGTTCACTGGAGACTTGGATGTGCCCCTCTGCCAGTCCTCAGCAGGAATATCCTTGAAGAGGCTCTTGAGGTTTGATTCACCCTGATCGGCTTGATCTGCTTCGGATTTCTGGGATTGCTTCTCGTCATTGAGTCGGGCCACAATGTCACCCTCAGGTGTTTGAGACTTGCATGGGGACATGTCATCATTAGACACTGGGGCGATTATAATCTCGTCGTCATTTTGAACGCTCTTGGAGGTTTTATCCTGCCTGAAGACCTCGACTGGCCTATCAGCCTCATCGGTATCTGTGTCATCGATAAAAATTATCGAACCCTCTTTGTCCTCCATATTCTTTTCACTCAGATCATTCTCCAGGGTGATTATTTTCTCCTGGTGCTTGGAATTTGGAGTTATCGGTTTCAGGACTTTCTCATCGATGTTTGAGGTGAGGACAATGGAGTTCAAGGATTTCCTATCGGTGGCTGAGGCCTTGAAGAGCTTTAGGGAACGAGGATTGGTAATTCTAGGGGTCTTTTCATTCTCTTTCCCAGGACTCGTTTCCAACTCCGTTTTCTCAACGAGGACCTTTGGAATGTCCTTCGAAACGACGTCGAGGAGCTTTTGACGAGTGTCTGTTGAGGTCTGCTGGGCGATAACCGCATCCTGGGGGGTATTTATGACGTTGTCAGAGGCCGGGGGAGCGGGAGTCGTTGGGACGGGCTCTGGTTCGTCCATGACGAAGACTTCGTCGTCCTCTTGAGTGTGTTTTAAGACTTTCTCCATTTCCTCGACTACTGGAAGCTCCGTGAGGTGCACCGATGCTCGTTGTTTGCGGAATGTTGATGGAGTCGTGGGACGATCCTCTGAATCTGGGTCAACCGATGAAGCCCGTGTTCGACGAGTAACTCGCACCATCGGGGAAAGGGTCTTCGATTCAGAGCCTGCTCTGGTCGTTCGTCTCAATCTCACTTTGGTGGGTGTATCAATGCCTGTTGTTGCCATGGAACTTCTTCTGGTGGTTCTTTTCCTTCCATCACCCCCAGTATCGCTCTCGGTAGCTTCCGAGACATCAGATGTCGTTGATGTCTTCCTGGATCTCAAATTCCTCACTGGATCAGCCTGTGTCGACTCCAGGGTCGGTGTTCTTCGTCTTTTTGCTCTTGTCGATGTTCCATCGCTCGTCACAGACTCCGGGGACGAATCGTCCTTCGTTATCTGCCTGTTTCTCGTGCTTCGACGCAGAGGGGAATCCGTCACAGACAGCGCCGAAGCTCGTGTTCGTCGACCTGAGGAACACGAAATAATGACATGTGCAATGATAGTATTGCAAAGTCAACAGCACAATTAAATAGAAACAACGCGGAAAAATCGTAAAAAAGATAAATCCAATACTTTGCTGAAATGAATGAATGAATGAATCACACCTGAAATACCAAGATTTTGAAAAATTTTGTGCAAAAATCGCAATCGCCTAAAAGGCCTTGAAAAAAAATATAAAAGAACACCATTGACTGCAGTAATCATTTATCAAGTCGCAAAAAGTGATAACTTCATTGTTTGTTCGAGGAAATAGAGGGAATTAAGTGATTTGAGAGAGGAAAAATGAGAAAATAAAAGGAAAAAACCGTTACAACCTCGAGGAGCACAACCCTCACCTCTGATCTCGAACTCGTCTTCGGATTCCTTTGCACTTCGTGGCATTTTTCAAGGTTCGATCTAACACATTTATCCGAAAGACAATCTTTTGTTAATTGATGTCTTCTTTTTGTTTAAATAATCGATGAAAAAATGTAGACTTTTTTGGGAAAACACGTGTTGCCAGTTCCGGGTGGACCAATAACGATATATGTATATGTCCAATGCGTACTATGTAGTATGTACTGTCGGTACTGCCGCTGTAGCTGGTCGCCGGTGTCTCCCGCGCGGTTTTTCAACGGTAACACCTGAGAATAATCCACGTAGCGCCACCCACCATCCGACCATCGAAAATTCTAAAAACACTATTCACATATTACATATTCATTTTTCTTCAGGCGCTTCAGCCTTCAGCCGAGCCTGCCCAGCCTGCCACTCAGGGGTAGGTGACATGATGGCGCATGAAAACAGGTGATCGTGATCACAAATTACCAGAGTTGTTCCACCCCAAGACCCACCAGGTGATGAAGTTCTCTCAAAAGTGTTGGAAAAACGTAAAATAAAAAGTTGAAAAATCAAGTGGAAAATTCGGCAATTCGCAAGTGATGCAGTGCATCCTGGAAAAACAATTGTTTTAACATGTTTGGTGCCTTATTGTTATTTAATTATCATTTGAGACAATTGTCTTATCATTAACTGCGATAGACACGTTTCAGTGAGGCACACGTACGTGGAACTGTCAGGTGTTACCCTGTCAAAACCTACCAGTACTTTCAATTTTTCCATCTGATGAGATAGAATACGTGTCAAGGTGGACTTTTCGGCAGGATTCCATAGGTTTTCACAGCAGGTGAGAAGAATTCAACAACAACTCAAGCACTTCTACATTGCACTCTGTTCAATGTCACCTCAAAGCCTGACAAATAGATTATCGGTAAACGGAATAGATAATTGCTTTTTATCGATCTGGTTTACAGGTGATTTCAGGACAATGTCATTTCCGCCTCTGGTGAGCTCTACTCCACCGCCTCTGGATCACAATTTCCGGGAATCCGACGAGGATGATGAGTTTGGAGACTTTGCAGCAGGTGCACTCGATGGTAAAAAACAATTCCTCGATAATTATTACACAAATGCATCTCTGATATTTTCCAAGATGCAAATAAATAATATACTGTAGCTCATCGCTGAATTTCGCTTGATTATTTTGATCCCCAGGCTCTTCAACGACCTCGGAATCTCCCCAGAAAATGTTGACTCCCCTGCAAACCCCGGTGTCATCAGTGGCTCCATCGCCCCGGGTAAATGGCACGACGTATTCGCCACTTCCGAAACTCCTGGACCCCAACAAATCCCTCGACGATGACCTAATAATAACCGTTGAAAAGACAAATGACACAGTGAGCAGTATAAAGTTAGGCAATAGAACAAGCGTCATAAAAAATTCCCCACCCACTGACTATCCCCCAGCTCTTCCCCCTCAGGAAGCCCCACAGGTGGAGGATATCCTCAAAAATTCCCCAGACTTGGAACTAGTAACTCGTAGCAATAGCAGTAGTCTAGCAGATAGTTGTTTCAAGAGTGATTCATCGACGAATCCCGAGGGAATTGACGATCCCGAGCCCCTGAGTCTCGTCCTAGACGATCCCACAATCTCCCAGGATCACCCAGAGCATCTGCTGAGACATCCAGACCTCGAGGACGACTTCTACGACTACGATAAATTCAACAACTCCCTCGACCACGAGCCCTACCTCCACAACGTCTCAGAAACACCTGGAGATCTCCCCCAGCATCAACTGGGGGACATAATCGAGGATAAAAATATCCAGGAAAAAATCCTCGAGTCCTCTGACAATATCTTCGGGGACATAACATCGGAATTCTCGAATTACCTCATCAACTCTCACGGGAATGAATTTGTTCATCATTTTACGATATCGGATGCTGATGGTGATCCTGACAAACTCCTGGACGCATCTCGGGATAGAGATGGCAAATCAAACGATGAATTTTCTCCATTTGAGGTTGCGCTTGATGGAAATACCTTGGAAATCGAGAGTGTTAATAATAATTCCAGTGTAAACGTGTTTCAAGCTGATTTTTGTGATGACAGGGGTGAGGGGAAGGAAATTCGCGAGGCGATTCATGTGGGAGATGAAGAGTTTGAGAGGAGAGATTTCAATTTTTTGGAGGCATTAGAGGGAGAGCCGACACTGGAAATTTGTCCTAAAAGTGTAGAGAGTTTTGATGGGCTTCGGGGGTTTCGAGAGGTGGAGGGACAGGAATTAGGGGATTCAGAGACTGTTGTGGGGGAGGAAGAGTTCTCAGAGTGGAAAGTGCAGGATGATGACTTCGGGGACTTTGCTGACTTCTCCAGTGAACCCGTACCACAGGTGAACAGCGACTGGGGGAAAATAGAGGAGATTGGACTTGTGGAGGGGGCAGATGATGATAATGATGATTTTGGGGAGTTTGGGGACTTTGGATCCTGTCCAGCTACTGTAGAGACCAGTCACAGTAGTTTTGATTTAAGAGAGTCCATCTGTCGGATAGATAATAAGAATGTGAGTGTAGTTTTTTTTTCTTAAATTAATCTTTATGGCTTTTTGAAACTCTATTTTTATTCCCTTTTAAGTACTGATTTATTTGCTAATTTTAGAAATTAGTTTTTCTGTTCTTTGGGAACATAATACACTCGGAGAGTCATCAATAGCAATAACGTAGCGAATCATTTGATTAAGAAATCGTTTAATTGGGTGTTGCACTTAGAGAAAAGACTCGCAATAAATTAGCACTGATTGGAATCGATTTTAGAGGATAATTATTCATAGAAGGTGAAGATTTCGGAGATGATACATTGGTATGATTTTTCATTTAATGTCTGAGGATTCTAGGAATTAATTCGGCGTTTTGTATTGTCTGTGAACGATAGGTTGCTAATAAGATCGAGGATATTATTTGGAATATGTTTCCAACGGTTCCTGAACCCTCTCCTGTTGATGTGACGACACTGATAGCAGGAGACGACATCGTTTGGAATTTTTTGAAGAATATCGAGGAAACGAATGCCCTGAGCTATCAGTGGAGCAACAGTGGTAGTAATAATGCACTTCTGGCGGCTCTGGGCATTGATTCTAGAAATATTGTAAGTATTTCAATGAAATTTTTATTTTTTATTGAGTTTCAGTAACAACTACTCCTTTGTATCAAATAAATATACAATTGTCTATTTCTTTTTCAGTTATTTGGGCCTAGATGGAATCCAAATATCCCCAGGTTCGCAGCAAATCTTGGGTACGCACCCCTGGAACCGATGAAAGCATCGAACACTGAAGGACATACATCAGCAGTGTCTACCTCCAAAACCCAGAATTCAACGAATTTGGAAGTAAATACGTGTATTTTTCATTAAAAAATTTCCCCTTAATGCTGAGAGATATATTATTAACATAAATTTTTGTAGATATGAATTTATTTCTTCTAGCTAAATGGAAAACGAAATAATTGTTATAATGGTAAAAAGGACTCTTGAGAATAGAATGTATTTTTTGATTTAGAAAGTACGCGAAAGGTGGAAAGTAGCGACAATTGATTGTTACTAATAATAATTATTGGACTTTCAGGAGGTTCCTGCAGCTCAATTCGATTGGAACAGTTCCGGTCTTGTGAATCCCCTGGATGCAAGTGAGTACAATTTGACGGAATTTGATAAGAAAGAAAAACCAATCACTGAGAGTAATATCTAATGAGATATTTTCTGTTATTGATTTGACACCTATCTCCTCCCCGCTTGTCCTCTGCTTAATTTTTCCGTTGTTATCATTTCATTTGTATATAAACCTGATGGTAATGGTGATTATTAAGGTGGTGGGCTGTCAGCACTTCTGCCACTAGATTTATTGTATCCATTCGATCCTTTACTCACAACTCCTCACTGTTCCGGGCACTCCGAGTCCTATCACCATCACGCTGCTTGTGCCAGGAGCTCGATATATTACTGTAAGTGGGTAACAGCTAATTAACTAATATCCTAGCACATCTGGGAGAGTTCGAGGGTAATTATCACAAAGATTCCTACACTCTAGCAACTCTACAACTATCTCAATAACGTGGAGTTTTTAATGAAAATGTGATAAGAATTATAATTAGCTGAAGAAATTTTCTACAAAAAATTTCAATCATAACAACTCGTTATCGAGATATTAACGATTCAATTAACAATGTAAATCTCCCTCGAATCTTCTTCGAAATAATGATTAAAAAGTTAGATTTGCATGAGTTTTCTGTCTGTAACTGTTATTTATTCTCTACTGGAGATCCTGGAGACTCTGCAATAGACTCCGGTGCAGAGGCCGTCGTTTTCAAGCCCCCGAGACAGCCGCAAATCTCGAGAATAATCGAGCCCCTGCCTGGGCCCAGTACAATCGACTGGAAAAAGAAACCAGAGGTTTCTGAATCGAAGCCCGATCCCAGGATCTCTACCCAGAGGCTTCAAAAACTCATGCAGAAGCCTCCACCGAAGCCGGAACCCAACAAATGTGATATCAAACCACGCAAGAGCTCTCTGGGAAGAAGAGAGCGAAATCCAGAGCACGCAGTTCTCGATAGATACGGCAGGCAGATGGTCGTCAAGCCAGAAACTGTTCAGGTCCTCAAACAATTGCCCGATTTGTCGTTCCTCAGTGCCAGAACTCTGCTGTTCAATCCTGAACAGAAACAGATTGTTCAGGATCTCGGAGCTATGATTAACAGGAAAATGCCTGGTTGAGTAACCTCGGTCTGAATACGTGTTTGAAGGGTTTATGATTGAAAAATCTTCGATAAAAAATCTTGAAATTGAAACCCAAAACTGGAGGATGAAGTACTGAAGTGAGGATATCTGAAGAAGCATTTTACAATCAGCAAAATTTAAAAAGGCAACATCCCAAAATCTCCGTTTCAAACCTGTGTTCAGACCAATTAAATAAATCAAACGTGTGACGAAGTGACAGTAAATGAGTTCAAAAATTATTTATCGTAAAAAAATATTGAGAGAGTTTAGGAGGAAGTGGAATAAAATTTAACGCTGGGAATTAAATTGTTTAAATTCAGATAAATTGAATAATAAGGGAAGAATTAAATTTTGATCTCATGTACTTGTAATTTCTCCACTGAAAGACTCCCCGCTCTTCCCAAAGGTTGCAAACCAATTTTTCGTGAATATTCCTCGATGCACACTACACATCTAGTATTTGTGTGTGATTATGCACATCACAATTGATTGACATTCCGATTTCCTTAATTTTTATTAACAGAACATTGAGAACAAGAGATGAGTATTCCATTGAATTTTTTCATTGCTACATTATCAGATAGATAAACAAAATCATAAGATTTTGAATAATTACACTCGTCTCGTACTTCAATTAATCCAAAATTTAATTTTTTTATTCCCCTTTTTTAATTAAAAAAAAAATACGTCGTGCCTGCCAGAGGATTTTGTAATTACCTACCAGTTTTGTTAAATGAATTTTTCTAGTCGACGTGTTTATCATTTTTACTAATTTATTTATCTTCCCACAATTAATTAATTTAAGTGATTGAGTCAATTAACGAGAAAAGGATAATTGAAATCAAAGAGAAATCATTGATCGATGATTCAGGAGTGAAGAGACAAATTAAGTATTTAAGTAATTCGGATATTCGTTTTACAACTTTCCCCCTGTATTATAGCCAATTTTCTCAGTTATTTGTTTCCAATTGATTAAAAAACTATAATCCATCACTGATTAAAGGATCTCTGAAGGGTGAAAATTGTGTGAATACTGAAATCCATCACGTTTTTTATATGAACAAATTTAAAAACTATTTTCTAACGACGACTATTCAGTGCTCCGTGTCTGCAATATATTAATCACGAAACAAAAAGTATTGCGAGTACTTAATCGAGTGAATATGTATTCTGTGGGTGAATCCACTTCGTAAATTGGACGTTCATTGATGCTAATTGTTATGTTAATTATTTATACCTATTGTAATATATATCATGTAATATATTGTGGATATTAAGAACTAATATTACGACTAGGAGAATGTTGAAGAATATTAAATAAAAGCCTTTACGTAATATTGCGGTTATTTTTACTGCATTACCCGTTAATTTCATTTTTATTTTCCATTTGATTTTTTATAAAATTGTGGGTATATATATAAAAGCATTTGACATGCGTTCTGCGCGTCTGTAATCAGAATTTTAAGGAACATGTAAAAAAATGAATAAGTGGAAATAATTGTCAGCACCATTAGAAAACCAATGGTAAGGGCGTAACAATGCACTAGTTGCATTTAATAATTATAATGATGACTTTCTTATCACTGGGTTCTTGCAGATTATGCCAATTTCTCTCTATATGTTTAATGTGAAAAGATGACGACGTTTACTCGCCCCAGGGATTTATCCAAAGGCCAATTGTTGTCTCTGGTGATAAAATGTTCGGATTTTGCTGCGAAAAAACACAGGAAGCAGAGAAGAATGGACGCAGAGGCAACTCCTTATATAAATCATCCTCTGGGTAAATAATTTATAAGCTTCTGGGTGAGGTTAGGTCTGAATTATCTATCGGTATAAATTTGAATTTCACCCACTGCAGGAGTTGCTAATATTCTCACAGAAGAGGGAAATGTCCAAGATCCAGTGGTCATCATCTCTGCGATTCTCCATGACACAGTGGAGGATACAGAAACAACTCTTGATGAAATTGAAAGAGAATTTGGTCCGGAAGTGAAGCTCGTGGTGTCCGAGGTGACAGACGACAAATCACTCCCAAAAATGGAGAGGAAACAGCTGCAGATTGATCACTCTCCTCACATCAGTCACGAGGCTAAACTCGTTAAATTGGCAGACAAGATTTACAATCTTAGAGATTTGAGCAGAGAAATACCTGTCGGATGGACTGTAGACAGGGCTCATGAGTATTTCAAGGTGACGAGAAATATTTTTACGACAAAAATATATTTCTCTTGAGGGTGTAGCATTTCCCTTCAAATTTCATTTTGTTTTTTGTTAAATTAATCGTGTGTTGCATTTATTCAATAATTTTTCACTCCAGTGGGCGGAGCAGGTGATCGAGGGATGCAGAGGTACGAACGAAAAATTGGAGGCAATACTAGACGATATATTCTCATCCCAAAAAGCACGTGAGCACTTGATAAAACAGTAACGGGTTTATTTTTCATAGAAAACATTTCATGAGATAATAATTACTGCATTCATATAAAGTATTAATATTTTCCAAAAATATTGATTTACCCTCGTTATTAAATTCCAATTATTACAATTATTTATTTAAGATGAAGGGATTTTCTTCGAGATCACTTTTGAGTTAATATCTCAAAATTGATTGAAGATATCAATATTTCTGCAATTATTGCATTGCATTTATCTCAATGTGGGTTTATTGAGAATTGGCCTTGAAGAATTCCATCATATAATCGGCAAGATCCTGAGCATCTTGAACAGACACAGCGTTATAGAGAGAAGCCCGGATGCCTCCGACAGACCTGTGACCTTTCAGCTGCAACATTCCTCGCTCAGCAGCTCCAGCTAGAAATTTCACCTCCAATTCCTCGTCATTCTTTCCAATCCTGAAGGGCAGATTCATTCTGCTCCTGGAGTTGGACTTCACTGGACAGCTGTAAAACCCGTTGGACTTCTCTATTACGTCGTAGATTAATTTGCTTTTGATCAAGGAGAGTCTCTCCATTCCCTCAACCCCACCGTGTTGTTTTATCCAACCGAACACACGTCCCACCACGTAAATTTGGAATGTCGGTGGGGTGTTGTAGAGAGAATTATCATTAGCCATAATTGTGTAATCAAGAACTGAAGGGCAGACTGGAAGTGCCTTTCCAAGGAGATCCTCCCTGACGATTACAAGAGTTACTCCAGAGGGCCCAATATTTTTTTGGGCTCCTGCATAAATCACTCCGAACTTGGAAATGTCAAGCTTTCTCGTTAAAATATTGGAGGACATATCAGCAACTAGTGGAACTCCATTGGTTTCAGGGATGTTATCGAATTCAATACCATGAACCGTTTCATTAGCACAATAATACACGTAAGATGCGTTGGGGTCGAGTTTCCAAGTTGCACGATCAGGTATTTCAGTGTATGAATTTGTTTTTGGAAGAACATGGTTCACTTTTCCGTATTTCGCTGCTTCCTTAGCCGCTTTTGCAGACCAAGATCCTGTGACCAAGTAATCAGCGGTTCCAGTTTTGCCGATGAGGTTCAGGGGTACAGCAGCGAATTGTCCAGTACCTCCTCCTTGCATGAACAGAACTTTGTAATTACTGGGAATGTGTAGGAGTTCTCTGGCGAGATCCTGAGTGGCTTGATTAACTTTAGCAAAGTCTCCAGACCTGTGGCTGAGCTCTAAAATACTGACTTTAGTATTCCCGAAGGACAGAAGCTCCTCCTGAACTCCTTTCAGCACCTTAAACATCACAAATTCCTCAATTAATCGATCAACTAAAAATCTGTAAACATAGAGTTTCAATGAATACAGCAGTTTTGAAGTATCCTCGAAATTATTTATCAAGTATCAATTGAAATTAATGAGAAAGGATCTCGTATCAATGTGAATGACCTTCCACAGCAGGGCCGTATTCTTTGCAGTCACGAACATTCATCGGAGAACACGACAATCAATTAAAATTAATGAAAGATATACACAAAGAAAAAAATGGACATTTCCACGCGATGCGCCATTTATGGGGAATCACTGAGTAATTGCTCCCGAATTATTATCTCAGTGATTAGCTCCCCTCGGCGTTACGAAAACATGATAAGAAACATCACCCCAAGTATCGTTGCTAAAACGTAAGGCATTTTCCAATTTTCAATATTCATTTCCGCTGTTGAAAAATTACTTTATTATTGGAGTATTGAAATAATTTTGTCCCTCAATAGAAAAGATAGAAAACGATTGTCTTGAATGAATTATTTTTTTTTAAATAAAAGGAATAGTTGGAAAGTTGTTTTTTTTTATGAAAGGAGTAGTTGGAAAGTCGTCTTTTTTTAATGTGAAAGGAAAATAGATTAAAACGAAATTAATGGGAGAATTTATTGTTTTTTAGATCAACCACCTGTTGATTGGTCTTTCGAGGGGATTAATAGATCGATTGAGTAATTACATTATTAATTAAAGGTAATTAATTTCTACTTACCTCTTGTGGGAGTTTGGCAGGTCCAGCCCCGAAATTTATTACTCTTCCACTCATTTTGGTATCTTGGGTATGAAAGTTACTCCTCAAGGTGGATATCGAGTTGAGGAGCCGATGAAACTGGTCGTGGGTCTCTTCGTATCGGGAATAAAAAAATTACTGTCTCCCCACCTCTGCCAGTCAAGGTCTGATGAACAGAACCGGACAGTTCAAATGTCCAGTTACTAATTATTAATTACTAATTCTTCACCGTATCAGATAAAAAAAAATACTACAATGAAAACGTTATTATTACAATTTGTCTACAAAATTCACTCCATTGAAATGCACATTAAAAAATCCTCGATATAATAAAAATGACAAAAATTTTTTGAATTGATGGACCAATGGCGCGACAGCTCGCCAGAAGTCAGCTGATGATGGCTGACGTATATCAACACTAAAAAAAATAACATTCTTAGAAAATCAATTCGCAATAATATTGTGACCAAATAAACAATTGAATTCCAAAGTGTCGAAGAATGTTAATTGTTATGTACCTATTAAATCAATAAAAATGATTGAAATAGCTGCTAAATTGACAAAAGGCTCAGTGTATTTTTCCGGTGAGGTTATCGAGTGCTATGTGACATTTACAAATCCATTGAATCCGATCCACCAAAAGTCCCAGAGTCACTGGTAAATCCACATTTTCAATAAGAAAAGAAACATCTTCCTTTGTCTTTCGAGAATAGTTTTTCCTTTTACCTTTTTTATCCAATTGTATGCAAAACATTTAGAATATTTGTAAAAATAGAAGATTTTATATTGATTTCATCGATTAACTAAATTTATTGATATTTATTATGATTTATTGACTTTTTTAAGATAAATAAATTGTTTTCAGTGATGTTTTCGAAGGACTGGCATGGGCGAGTGCTCAGGTTCATTGCCAATGTTCCACAAATGCAAAAGTCGTTCTCACCGAAAAAATCAATGCCATCAGTCGATTGGGAGTTGTAAATGCTGGTAAATTAATTAATCAATCATTAGTAATCAATGAATAGTTTATTTTGATCATCTTCTCCGCAGACACGACATTCGCGCCTGGACAACAGGACAACGGCCACGCTGTGGTGAATACGAAGCCAAAAATTTTATTCTGCGACTTGAGATTATCGCCGGGAGAAAGCAAAACATGTGAGCAATTGTATTGTTGATTATTCTGCGATGATGATAGGATAGGATTGAATTTTCTGACATTATTTTTTTGGCTTGTATAGATATTTACCGGGAAACAATTCCCGGCGATGCACCACCTTCCTATCGAGGCCAGGCCGTGAAATATTCTTATAAAATAACAGTGGGAACGCAGAGGGTCACATCACCGATAAAACTTCTCAGAATTCCCTTCAGGGTTCTCTCGTTAAGTGGTAATGCTTTCCGATCATTTAATAAATTTAATTTAATCTTTAAAAATGTGGAAATGTCCGGCATTGAGGATAAATTTAGGTACCGACCACAATTGCATAGAGATATGATACAATGAATTGTTTCACCATTCCAGAATTGCCCGAAGTGGCCATTTGCAATGACAGCGTCGACCTCAGTCCTAATACCCCATTTATGGAGACCCAGGAACGTGAAAATCCCCTGGATATTGCTCTCCAAACACTCCAGGTACAATTAACAACACACAGGCTTCGGAGAAAATTATTATCAATATTATTATCAATAACGTATCCTACAGAATTTAACAGCAAGGCGTAGTCCGAATTTCTACAACATAACAAACGGTCGAGGGAGAGTAGTTCGGTTCTGCCTTTTCAAGAATTCTTACAAACTTGGCGAAGACATTGTCGGAACATTCGATTTCTCCAACGCGACAGTTTCCTGCGCTCAATTATCAGTATCACTGCAGTCGGAGGAACACGTTGCAGAGGGTTACAGACGAGGAAAGGCAAACTCAACGCTAGTCAACTACAACAAACACCACGAGGTATGCCTGGGCCTGAGGTACTCTCAGCTGGTGCTGCCCATTCCCTTCCACGTCACCCCAGACTTCACAACTGAACTCGTCATGCTCAAGTGGAGACTGCACTTTGAATTCGTCACAACTCTGAAACTCATCGAGACACCACAGGAGAATATGATGAACTGGCAAGGGCCTTCCAGTCTCGATGTCGAAACCATGATCTGGGATCTACCTCTCCATATTTATCCCTCCATTGCTCCTGCGCACTCTAATCAACAGACTAAATATAGCATTACCATCTAGGGAATGAAATGTACTTTACGAATTCTTGTTACAAAATTTTTGAGTATGAGTTTCTTAATACAAGTAAAGACGCCTTAAAAAAAATATTTTTTGTTTGTTAGTGTATGACCTCTGCCATACTGTTTTTTTTAGTAGAACATAATGTACAGTGAAGACATTTTTTATCAGGAACGTGGATTATACCGGTAACTGTGTCCACCATCATCCATTGATCTAGCGATTGAGGGGAGTGGGGGTGGTGCAAGAGGGGGCATGAAGGGTGCATGATAATCATATCTGTAATACGCCAGGGATTCCCATCGGGGTGGATGCTGTGTCTCGTAAGTTGCCACTGGCGAATTGGTGGGAAAGTAGTTGCCTCTCTCCTGAATACTGGGCACATATGGGTACTGAGGCTCCAGGAGACTCTGCAGGTGCCTGATATAGGTGATTGCGTGCCTCAATGACTCGATCTTCGATAGCTTTTTTCCCGGGGGCTTGCAGATCGGTAATTTCGATCTCAGCAGCTCAAATGCGCGGTTCATGTCTCGCATCCGCGTACGCTCTCGATCGCAAGCCGATTTTTTGTAATCTAGAACATATTTTACATTAAAATTGTTGATACAATGAGAAATTTTACAACTTTTTCTTTGTCATTTAATGCGTTCCATGAAGGTAGCCCCAAAAACAAATGAAAAACCAAATCCCTCGGCAGTTCCCATTCAAAATTTCCGTTGGCCAAATGACGTAAAATCCCGTCCCCCCGGAGAAATGATCATTACTCTGACTGACGATGAGAAGAAGTCGAAAAGGCACGCGACTCAACGAAGCCGAGTGCTTCGATTCATCCCTGCAACCCTTGATCAAGAAGATTAAAAAATGGCGATTGTTTCCCCAATCCTCTGAAGAGAACCTCCCAGAGAAAATAGAGCATGAAACAGGGACGAGAAGACACAGTCCCCAGCGATTGGTGCGGGACCAGCCGTCGACGGAAATAGCAAAAGTAAATTACATCAACGGTAGAAAATCATCAGCGAGCAAATGCCTCGATCAACATCACCAAGATATTTTCACACAGATGTGTTCCCCGGAGGTTAATACACCTGACCCCCCACCACTACCGGATGAATTCTCCACGATAATTTCCGAGGAAATTTCCGTTCTCGAGAGCTTCACATCCGAAGAAATGGCGGGGATTTATGAGAATTCCGCTGAAATGATTTCGGCAAGTTTTGATATAGAAGAAGTGGAGGACAATGAGGGGAATTTTGTTGAGAAGGTGGAGAACTCCATGAAGAGTCTGGAGGACAAGAGAGAGGAGAGGACCTGGTGGCGGGTGATTATCGATTTTCTTGGGATGTTCTGGTGGGGACGAGAAGACAAACGAGAACCTAGGAACAGGACGAAGAAGTCGGAGGGCAGAACTCTTCTCACTGGGAACAAAGAAAATACCCGCATTCGTCAGATTTATATTTCATCTCTTGGGAGGGACGTCAAGGAGAGGGTGAGACCTCTCAAACCAGGGGATGATTGCCAAGAGGAAGAGAAACTGAAGATCAGACAAATTAGTAGTCCTTTGTACTGACTTGGAGACAAATACGAAGTGAAATTCACAAAATTTTGGATAAAACGGAACAATACTTTACCTCTTTCGGTCTGCGAGGGTTCCCTCTGCACGGGTTTGATGTTCGCCTGGAGGATCTCCAGGTGGGGATGAGGTCCAACGAGCTCAGGCTCAGGAACCCTGATGACGAGAACTCCCTCGGGAGTTCGTTCCTGCCATCTTTTTCTCAGGGTCTGCCTTCGAGAAACAGCTGGTGTCTCCTCAAGTTCTCTCTCGTTCTTCACTTCGACCTCGACCTCGTTCCTCGCCAATTGCTGTTTCTTCGTCACTTCATCAAGATCGAGCAGTACCGGGTACTGAGAAAACTCCTCGTTGCTGCTATCAGACTGAAATTCACAAGTTTCAATTACGTAAACAAGTGCCACTTTTCCATAGCCAGCTTTCCTAATGATTAATTCCCTCTGAAATAAATGAACTTATCAGCATTCACCGCTTCGTCACTCAATTCTTGGAATTCTTCTTTTTATGGGAATTTTTCACATTTCATACCTTCGTGGATACTTCACTCTTAATGCTCGCTGTTTTTTCCATTATACGGCTCATTGATGAATTGTTAATAATTTAACTGAAGAACCCGAAGAGTGAAAGATTTAGACACGGAACACCTCATTCCAACTCCAGAATGTGACTATCGGGGAAGTTTTTTCGCCTGTGGATAAGATGTAGATCGATCGAAGACGAACAGTTTCGTTGTTAATGTTAATTTTATCCGGTTATTAAGTATTCAGGTGTTCAAACAGAGGTTCTCAAATAATAGGCATTTGGATGATACGCCTCTCTGCATTGTTGGATCATCGATCAATGCCTCAGGCGTGGAGGTGCCAACACAGTCCCCTTTGGCTTATTAATCCGTTTAGAAGACTTAAAAGTCATCAATATATTCTATAAAAAATACTAAGCCCCGGATGGACCATCTATCGACCACCCTCTTTTGTTTAAATTTTATCTTTTTAGTCTAAAATCCATTAAAATTTGGAATCTTGGATCTGGAGATTGTGTTGCAGGGAGCACTTGAATGGACATCAAAAAATCATTTAAAAAAGAGGAAAAATTATTGAAGGGCGTTAAAAAGTGATTTTGTTTAAAAGGAATCTCCCAAGTTTTTTTTTTAATTATAAAAAATACGTAGCTTACCATGACATGACATATTGCACTTGTGGCCGTAATTATGTCATATATATGTCTATATATATATATAGTAATAAGCTACGTATTTTTTATGATTTTTTATTAAACTTGATAGATTCCTTTTAAACAATATCGCTCTTTGACGCCCTTCAATAATTTTTTCTCTTTTTTTTCATTATTTTTTAATGTCCATTCAAGTGCTCCAAGCAGAACAAATTTTATCCCAAAGTTTAATGCATTTTAGGATAAAAAAATAAAATTTAAACAAAAGATGATGTCCGAGAGATAGTCCACCCGGACCTTGACGCCAAAAATTAGTTGTGCATATAAAACTGATCTCGAGAAAAAATGTATTTGTTATAGTTTACCACTTCCTTTTTGAATGTTTTGAATAATTTTCCCTTGGATTTTGTTTTGGAAAATTGTGGAGTGCAGGGAGAAAAAGAAAATGTTCAGCCCTGGAAGAGCTCTGGATTAGCATAAGTGTGAAAAGACCGTCGTTAGGGATCGGAATGAAAGTAAGAATGTAAATACGTCCTGAAAATAACAATACGTTCGTTCCCTCCATGACTGAAGAATACAATGAGCGGAGAAAACTGGGACCTAGTGAACAGACTCCGCCCCTTTTTGTTTTTTTTTAATTGAAAATTTCTTGTTCTCATATTTGATTTCCATTTTCTTTCGAATTGAATTTCAAAAGAAAACTCTCACTAATTTCAGCAGAACCAATTAATTAATTAATTAATTAAGATACGACCTCATGAAATTCTTACTTAGGATAAATAATATCTCTCGCAACTAATCAACGAGATAATTGAATAAATAATTAATTAATTGATTAATTAATCAATTATTCAATTGTCTCTTTAATGGCCGGCGTCATTGGAAAATGTCAGACTTGTTTTTACAAGAGAGTTCATTAGTCAGAAAAAAATGTCCTGGCATTTTCTCGTCGAGCAACTCATTACCAAGTTATTTGCGTATTTAATACACATTCATTCACATCGACTGAATCATTTGTTAATTATTCAATAATCTTTATAATGAGTGGTTCTACGAAAGAAGATAACAAAAACTTCAGTAGAGAGCCATCTTGTCAGCTGTTCTTATAGTTTTTCTTCGAGGCAGTGTGAATTGATTTGTTTTATTAAAAAAAAATAATAAATTGGAAAATTAACACTGATCTGATTAACAATGAGTTACAGAGATTCTTGGAGATTCGTCAGAGGCTCTGGACCAGGGGTTCGAGGGGTTTTATTCCTGTACATTGAACTCGCAAGACGTACCATTGTCCCAATAATTGTTGATCTGGTCGAAGAATTCGTTGATTGGTGGGAGAGATCGCCATCTGTAGAAGATAATTTTTCCGGATGAGAGGTAGTTTTTATGAATGTATCACTTCTAGGTGTTGGTCTCACCAAATGTCATCGATCGACTGAAAATGAGTTTCTTCATGTAATTTTTGAGAGTCGACCGCAATTCTCGATTGAATCCCATATAAATCCAGGGGTTCACACAGCTGGTAAGACTGCTCAGAAGAGACAGGATAGTAAATGCAGGACCTACAGGTGAACAATAACTATACTATATGCAGTAATATTAATGATTTGGTTGTTGTTTTTAAATGTACGGGCCTTGGTAAAAAGGTGTTTTGAGAGCATCAGGGTCCCAGGCAGCCCACAACTGGCACCCGACGAAGGGAGCACTCGTTATGACATGAAGACTGACTACAGTGATCATCTGCTTGACCGTTTTGATCCTCGCCCTCGAGATTACAGGCTCTCTATTATTCTCCCTGGAGTCCATCCTCTTGACCTCGCCCCTGTGCCCAAAAACCGTGATCTCTGTGTTCTTCCATATCTCCCTGCAAATGCTGACGTAAGTGTACACCAGTACCGAGAAGGGCAGCATTAACACCGTTATGCTATACCTGACAGTTTGCGGAGCAACAAAAAAAACATAATGACTGCCATTTTTTTATCGTTTTCAATCTCAAGCCGAGGTTCGAACAATGAATCAATTACCAGGTGACGTACGTTCTCTGGCCGTGGGGTGGGATAAAATCAGCCCAGCAGTCCCAAATGCCAGGTGAAATTTCTTGATATGAGAAAATAAAAATCTGGAATTATTAAAAAATTGATGCTCAGTTACAACTCTCAACTCCAGAGAAAGCCGTTGAGAAATGCTCCAGTAGACAGAGGGGAAGGTTCATCTCCGATCATTACCTGGGGAAGACAAAGAGCCGAGGAGATACCCCAAGCGATGTAGACCATGAGCCTCGCCTGCCTGTGGGTTGTCCTGCAGTAGTTGAATGGATAACAAATGGCATGATATCGATCAATTGCGCCGGCTATTAAGACGTATGTACTTGCATAATGCCCCAATGGCTGACCAAACTTGACGAGCTTGCAAAGCATTGCACCGCCCTGAAATCTGTTCTCATTAACACCGAAGCGTTCCCCATTATTCAAATTTAATTAATTGATCAATATTCAATTGAGAAATTGTAGGAAACGAGGAGGATAAGGTGTAGCGTTGAAAAAATAGTTTTCATCGGATTTTTTAGATAAAATCCGACTAAAATCTCACCTGCCACCGGTGATGTCCCACATAAGCTGCGGCAGGACGTTAAGCACTCCAGTCATCAGATCAGCAATGCTCAGGTGCATCATAAAAAAGTACATTCTCGTGAGTTTGCGCCTGCGACCGCAGTACCGTCTCAGATAGAGGGCAAAGAGCACCAGGAAATTACCAATCACCGTAATGACAAGTATCACTAGCAAAACAACCATCTCCCAAATAGCCAGGTACTCGTCACGTGGATCCTCAGTGATAGTCGATGATTCTTCCATTATTTGTTTGTTTCGACTGAGCATTGAACGTCGACTAAATTAATCGTGGAGGTCAATGCGGAAATCGCGGCCCAGAATTTGATTATTCATCACCTGATGCTTTCTTTTTCATTATCCCACGCTATTTCAATGTATTTTTCTTTTTTTTTCCCTCCAAAATTTCGCCGGGGAAATTGAATAAAAATTGGTCGAAGCAATCGTGAGAAATAGAATATCGAAATAGTTGACGTTCCACCGCTGGAAAACGAAGGAACTAACGAAAAAACTATGACTATCCAGTCGTATTGACACTATGAACGGCCATTAATCACAAAAACATTAACGTTAATTGATAATGCGAGCAAGTGACACTAACGACTGTGGAGTCAATCGAGAACTGAGCGAGAAGCTTCGCCAATCGGCGACGGAATATTTTTTATTCCCTCGAAACAACTTGTCATTATGACCATCAACAAACTAGAGCTAGAAGCAATGGTGATCGGAGTAAGGAATAAAAAACGAGTAGATGTGGAGAATTATTATTACCTTGAATTTATGCACTGGCTCGTTTATTTTTTATCCGATTGGCACATAGATACTTTCTAGACCATTGATACTAAGAGATGATGAGCCACTTTTTTGCTGATCGTCTCGAGTTTCAAGCGCGCTTCGCCTTTGCTAGAGAAAAATACATACAATACCATAGCAATATTTTTCTACATCATATTCTATTACGCAAATTTATTTAAATCACAAAGTTGTTCACTGCATAGCCAGGAATACCGTGAAATATGATGCCGCCGTCTTCAGAACCTGCGGTATTTGTTAAATTTTGAAAATCCACTGAGAAAAATAAACATTTCCTTGGCTCTATGAAATTTTGCTGTGAAACTGCTCTAAAATTCAGGCAGTTTACATAGATTTTAATTTTCATTGAAATGTGATGAAAATTTCGAGTAAAGTACGGGAAATGTCCGTAAAAATTTTTTACTGAAAGGGTATTATCTCACCACAGCGTATGTATTCATATTCATGACGATGATTTTGCCAGCTGTCAAGATGATGGGATTCTGACTTCTCATGAGCATTATAGGAATGAGTCTCTGCGTTTTCCGCGAGGCATTATACCAATTGGCATTTGTCCTAAACACTACCAGTTCAGCAATTCACGTTAACAAAAGAATTCATCAACTTACAGACTCTCCGTGAGCTCAAAACTAGCGTCCATCAATCTTTGGGCTACGAAACATTCGACGAAAAGATGCACCATCTGCATCGACACGAACAGAATGAACTTCACGATTTTCTCCATAGATTTTAAGTTGATCATCACCTTGAAAATTTTTCACCTTGTCAAATTTACAGGAATTTTAGATTTTTCTAACTGAAAAATGAGGAACTTTCCAGGATCACAGGACACCGAAAATTAGTCGAACTAGTGAAAATCCGATGGAATTCAATGTGCAATTTTTATAATGACATTAAAAATTCAACAAAATTTTTGTGCCGAATCACGTGACGATCTCACCTGCACAGCAGTTACACTTATTATTATCATGTTCAATCCGATAATACCAAGGAATGACCACATGAAAATATCCTTTATGTCTTCTGCAAAACTACAAAATCTCTGTAGACATTCTTTTAACATTTTATTCCCAACTAGCGTATACCATCTTACATTTACGAATGTTATCCTTTGATATAAAAAAAATTTCCAATAACTTACTCATATATTTGTGGGTTTAAAATGGGAGCTAGTATATCGGTGGATGGATTGAATTTTTTTTGGATATGTGTGTAGAAATGAATATCATTTTTAATACATAATAATATATCATATCTCAGCGCTCTATCAGGAACGCTGAGATTCTTCATGTTAAGATAAGTCGCTAGACCTTGATTCCTTAATTTTTTATCAGGTGAATGGATATTTGTATCGTAATAACGATTACATACTCTATCACACGTCGATGGATTATAGCACATTTTCTCATGTACTCGAAGCCGTAATCAACCCTGTCCTTAGGATCATGAGGTGGCAGATGGATAATTGCATATCTACAAGGAAAAATGACGCAATTAAACTTGAAATTGATTTTTATCACCCTCTACCTACTGACAGTTTAAGTTAAATTTCCATGAGTCTCTAAATGTGTTATCTTGTTATGGATAATAAGGAATACTTCACCCCAATCCCTTGAATAATCCACAAGCGTGTTCTGCATACATCAAGAACATTAAATCGCAGGATCCAATGACCGTGATAATGATGATAATGCAGACGCCGGACATAAGGAAGAGCGGATAGTACCAGACGTCCAGATTAATTGAACCGAAATCCATTGGCATCGAAAATCTGTTCGGGGCTGTAATATTTGTGTGCAGAAGAAGAGAAAGCGCTCTTTGCTGCAGCGGTTCCGTCGAGAAAACTATACCGGCCATGTAGACGCCAGCTATGTAAATGATTTTTAGATAAAATTCATTCAATTTAAAGATAACGAAAAATAGGACGAAAGAAAATACGACGAGTCTAGTAAAAATGAGAAATTTTCATAAATTTTTAGTCTAAGAATGGGAATTTCTACCGAAGTATAAGAAAATTTTTGCAAGTCGCTTTAAATTAGATGATAAAAGTCACCCAAATAAACCAACGAGAGCTTTCTTGCGAATTCACTGTGGTAATGAAGCATGTAACGTCCATTATTCCTCGGAAAAATGTTCCAATTCTCTCTAATTTGTTCCAACAAATACGTCGACTGAAAATGAAAATGTAAATCGAATTCACTTGAACTATTGCAGTGGGTATTACTCACCCTTTTAAAGAACCACCACGCGTTCATAAACTTGACAGTAAGTGCTAAGTCTATAATGAAGGGACTAATGGTTTCCAAAATAATCTCCATGTTGTCCCGATATTTCCAAAATGCTACAATCTGCAACAGAATATAAATTTTCATTTTCCATTCATGAATTTTTCTATTAAATACTTGTTAAACCGAAACAATTGATGTAATTATTTATTTTCATGCGTGTCATACCTGGGGTGTCACTTGAATGACGACAACAACGAAGATAGCAAAGCGATACATAATTATTTCCTTCAGCGATTGACGGGGCCATGTACCCGTGACAGTTGCCAAGAGCTTGACCAGTCTGTAGTAAGGATGATCCCAAAAATCCGGTGAAGTGGCCATACTTCAACAGAGCCTCATTCTCTTACTTCCCTCTGAGTTACTCGTACCTCATCCCTATTTTAACTTCTCTCCTTGCCATTTCACAGCTCAAGAATAAAATGCTCAAATCCGCAACCTCTTCGACGAGTAAAAAGTGTTATTTCCATTGTGAAAACGAAACATCTGCGATTGACAGTCGATCCTATTAAATATTCAAACACTCGAGGGGAGATTTTTTTTTTTGTGGAGAAAATATTGACGGACACCTGTCATGGGGTGAAAATAATCCAATAGTAAAGCTAGACTACGTGACGCTGAGAGTGCCACGTGATGGTGGAAATAAATGAATAACTGACTCAAATCGAACAGAGAAAGAATAATTTTCCCCTTCGCACCCGGAATCAGTAACAATTTTAAATATCAACCTTTTATTTTCAATTTATCATATCTGATTCCATGCAGACGATTTCAAATTATCGAATTACTCACTGCATTGCTAAGAAGACTGTGAAGTAAGAAGCCGCTGTCTTTAATACCTGAAATTAATTAATAATTAAAAAAAATATATATTGTTACTTTGTTTAAGGCTCGGGTGGATTATCTAGAAAAGATAATTTACTCCGAAATTCGGATTCCTAATTACTTTAGCAATTAATCGTTTTTTAAAATAATTGTTAGCTAGCGTTCTAGCGGTTGTCAACAAGTAGGTCGCTAGCTAACAATTATCGGAAAAAACGATTAATCGACGGAGTAATTAGAAGTCCCAATTTTGGAGTAAATTTTCTTTTCCAGACAGTCCATCCGGGCCTTAAGAGTGCGAAAATAAATATAGTCATGTTATACAATGGCATATGTGTCCATATTCATGACAATCATCTTCCCAGCACTCAGTACAATGGGAATTTGACTCCGCATCAGCATGAGAAGAATCAACTTGTGGGTTTTCTTGGATGCCATGTACCACTTTGCGTTGGTTCTGGGGAATTTAATACCCTGAAGGATTGAAAGAATGACGGGAAATATTTACGACTCACAGGGTTTCTTTGAGCTCGAAACTGGCGTCCATCAGCCTCTGGGCTGCCAGACACTCGATGAAGAGGTGCACCATCTGCATGAACACGAAGACAGCGTATTTCACCACTTTCTCCATAGCATCTAGGTTCGTCACAACCTGATGACGACACATTAATTCTACGTCATTAAAATGACAAATCAAATGGACACATCACGAAGTGCAAAGAATAGAAAGCAAAGAATTCCACGTGACAGTTTGTGCTGACATGTACCTGTACTCCAGTAACACTCATGAGGATCATGTTGAGGCCGATAACCCCGAAAAAATTCCAGAGGTAAATATCTCTGATACCTTCTGCAAACCTATCCGAAGAAACAAGAAGCCAAGATGAGGGATTATCACAGGTTATGATGATTATTCATCAAATACAAACTCTATCGCCCGTTTATGCACCACAACGCAGCTTCTCAAATAATAAAATCCCAAATCACTGGTCTCATTATCCTCCTGCGGTGGAAGATTCTCAATGGCATATCTTTGGAAAGACGACAATTTTTCAATTCAATATTGCAGCTATTTCACACAGAAAAAAGAATTCTTATTAAATTTCTCGGTGAAAAAATGAATATATAAATAAAGGATGGAGTTGGTAGAATTGAGAGGGTTTTGGTGGAAGGAAGAAGTCTTTTTCCTCTGTATTTAACAACACATGGATACGTATTATTACCCTAATCCTTTGAACAAGCCGCACGCGTGCTCAGCGTACATGAAGAGGAGCACGTCACAGGATCCCACAACAGTCATTACGAGAAATGTGCACAAGGTGGACATGAAGAATAAAGGGTAATAGTAGGTGTCGAGGTCGAGGGATCCAAAGTACATGGGCGTTGGAAATCGTTTTGGTATCGTCAAGTTGGGGTATAGCAAAGGATATATCATTCTCTGCTGCAGAGGTTCTGTCGTGAAACTAACAGTACCCATATACACACCGACTATTGGATTATTCTCTCAATTTTTATACTGAATATCAACGATAATCCACTGAGGAAAAGAATATACCTTCTCACACAATTCTCTTTAAGGCTCGGGTGGATTATCTAGAAAAGATAATTTACTCCGAAATTCGGATACCTAATTACTTTGGCAATTAATCATTTTTTTCAATAATTGTTAGCTAGCGTTCTACCGGTTGTCAACAACTAGGCCGCTAGCTAACAATTATCGGAAAAAACGATTAATTGGCGGAGTAATTAGAAGTCCCAATTTTTTCCCTTAAGGCCCGGATGGACTGTCTGGAAAAGATAATTTACTCCAAAATTGGGACTTCTAATTACTCCGGCAATTAATCGTTTTTTCCGATAATTGTTAGCTAGCGGCCTAGTTGTTGACAACCGCTAGAACGCTAGCTAACAATTATTGCAAAAAAAAACGATTAATTGCCAAAGTGATTAGGAATGCGAATTTCGGAG